ATATAATAATAAATATGCATGTGTTATCTATTTTCTTTTATATATATTATCTATTATACATTTATTTAATTTATATATATGTATTTGGTATAAATTTTACATTGTCACTTATTTAAGGATTGTTGATAGGCTTGAACAATTTGATAGAGCTATTCTTGCATTTTTTAGATTGATGTTTTCTTGGCAATTTGCTTGTTTGTATTTTCTTTGATTAAGTCCTCTACTTTTTTAAATTCTTTTCCAATGAAATCTAATCTTTTGCTCACATTTTCCTTAGACTCTTATAGGGTTTATGAAACCTTAAAAGTTATTGCAAAGATTGGTTACCAAAACACTTGCAATGAGTTTGTAAACTTTTGCTTCAGGCTCGAGGAGATCAAGCTCTTTTTTGACTATTTCATTTTCGTGAGATTGCTCTATGAGTTTTTACCTGCCTTCAATTAGAGTAGGAGTGCATACCTTCAATATACTTTTGCATTTCTCTTTGTAAAGTCTAAAGAACTTTGGACTCTTCTTCAATCTTGCTTTATAACATCTACACCTATTCAGCCATTAAATATTTTAATATATATCATGATTTTTATTCATACAAAGCAATTTCTTCGTTTAGTAATTACAGCTACTTCTCTTTCTACGCAATTTTAGCTTTAATTTCCTGATTTTCCTTGATCAGCCCAACCATAAGAGCAGGGTCATAGGAAGGCGTCTGAGGCTGTGAAACCGTTTGTCCCGATTAAGGCATTTTGATATGCGCTTTTTTTGTGGCAGCTTTTTATGGAGTGACCACAGGAGTTTGTTTCATTACAGGATACTGTTGCATAGATTAGGTGTTTCTTGATCTCTGGTAGTCAAAGCGTAATGTATTTGGAGTACCAATTCGTTATATTTGAGATGTGCGTTGCGTTGGCGAGACAAAAGGACCATATTAGTTCAGATTTTGGAATTGAGGTACTACAGGGTATCGTGTTGGTTAACGAATTTGCATTTATATATATAAATATTTTTTATTAATGTAAAACTAGGTGGATCTAGACATTGACACAGGACAATTTGATACTATGGAGAGAGACTTTCAAGAGGTCTTACGTGATCTAGGCACCGATTAGAACTTAGAAAGATTTCGATCTGAGTTTGATAAACTTTATCGTTCGCTGAAAATCATTCACGAGAATCAAAGGCGATTGATCAGCAAATGCAGAGAGTACAATGCTGAAATCTCTTAAAATGCATCCAAAGTACTTGCTCATTTAACATTAGATTCAAACTGTTTTAAAAATGACAGCTGATGATTCTGCTGCTATTTAATAACTGAAGACTCAATTGGAAAAAGCATATAAGGTGTTGGAGATTCAATAGGAGAGGGAGGAGAAACACAAACAAAAGATTAAAATCTAGGAAAATGAAATCAAGTAAATTGTTATCCAATAATATAGACAACTCAACCAAACTATCGAATAAAGCAAAGCCTTAAATTCAGGGTAGACTACAACTGTACATGAGTTGCTATAAAGGAAGTAGGAACTCTTAAAAGAAAAAGAAATTTTATAGATTCAGGTATTTGGAACCAGATCTGAAAACCAATCTATTTTGGATAGAATTAAGTCTTTGGAGACTTCAAAGGAATCAGTTATGAAGGAATACAAAATCTTATAGCAATAGAAGGCTGAATTCGAGGAGAGATTGTAGAAGGATGAGGAGGCAAAAAATGTAACTTAAGCAGAATTGGAGAAGATTAAAAAGGATTTTGATTCTTTGAAGGAGGATGAAAAGCAATTGGGGAACGAGAGGAAGAAATTAAAAAGTGAAATTGAGAAGGTGACTTTACAGAATAGTGTTAAAACTAAAGAAATTGAAAATTTTAAATCAGAAAAGAATAGAGTGGAAAAGGAATTAAAGGATACTAAGGAGAAGAAGGATTCTGTGGTCAAAATAAATGAATAAATTGAAGAGAAGATTAAGGATACTCGATTATAGATAGAATTATTCGAAACTGAAATTACATAACTTCATCAAAAAATAAGTGAAGGAGAGGAGAAAAAGAAGAGAATGACTGAGTTAGTGAAGGAGTAGGAGGAATTGGCAGAAAGAATTGAAGAGGAAAAGCAATTAGCCAATAATGGATTAAATTAATTGGAGGATGAAATTCAGATAGAGAGAAAACAAGCCTCAGATGATAGACAAGTGATTGAGGATCTAAGAAGAGCTAGAAATATTCTATAGAAGGAAATAGATAGATGTGATAATAATAATAAGAAAATTGAAGAAGATTTCATTGCAAAATAAAAATATTTAAGTGAAAAGTAGAATGAATTAGGTGGTTTGTAAAAGAAAATCGATTATCTCAATAAGAAGATTGCAAATGTTGAAAAAGAAACAGAATAATAATGTTTATAATTTTCATAAGCATAAACCAAGTATTTTCATTCCTTAGATGAAATTAAATTAAAAGATTCCTTAATTAGTGAATTCTAGAAAAAGAACATTGAAACTGAAGCCAAATTAAAATAACAATAGAATCTGTATGAAACAGTTAGAAGTGATAGAAACCTGTATTCAAAGAATTATACAGAAAAACAATAAGAAATTGAAAAAATGAGAAGAAGTTATAAAATAGTCAATCATTAGATTTCATAATTAAAGGAAGAAATTGAGGCCAAGGGAAATGCATTAGCAAAAGAACATTTGGAACATAAAAAAAAGGATAAAACTATCGAAGAATAATCTAGAGTGTTGGAGAAGTATAAAACAGACATAGATGAAAAAGCTGAGAAGATTAATAAGTATATTAAAAGGGTTGATAAATTGCAGTTTACAATAAAAGATGAAGAATAGTAGATACAGAATCTCAAAGAAGAATTTGAATTAGTCGTGGCAGAAAGAGATATCTTGAGTACTTAACTCATAAGAAGAATTTCAGAAACTAATCTACTTTATGAGAAAATCAAAATTAACGAGAGCACTCTTAAGAAAGGAGAATAATAATATAGAGAAAGACTGGGAGATATATAGATGTTGAAAGAGAAGATAGCTGATTACAAAAGAGAAATCAAGGTCTTCAAAAGAGAGGCCGATACAATTAAAGATTTAGAAGGAGATATACATAATCTTACAAAAGAGTTAACTGAGGAGAAGTTGAAAGCTAAGGCTTTGACAGAAGAATTAGAAAACCCAATGAATGTTCATAGATGGAGAAAGTTGGAAGCAACCGATTCTGAAAATTATGAATTGATGACCAAAATCCACAGTCTACAAAAGAGACTTATATAGAAAACTGAGGAAGTTGTTATTAAAGAGAAGGTGGTGGAGGAGAAAGAAAAGGAATTGAAGGCTTTGAAGGATGAGATGAAACGTAAGCCAGGATTGGAAGATTAGGCAATGATACCATATTATTAAGACAGTCTTAGGCAGAAGGAGGAATAGATGAAAGCTATGGATTAAGAGTTGAGCATGTATTAATCGCATATCAATGAATATAAGTTGGAAATAGATAGAATCAATAAAGTAAGAATTTCATTTAGTTTTTCAAGGAATTACAAAGGGTCAAATAGAAGTATTTCAATTAAAAGAAGAGAGAATAGCAACAAAGGGACCTCCGTATCTAGGAAGAATAGGGATAGTCGATCTAAGTAGTGTTACCAGAGAAAAAGTTTGTGGGTGGTGGTTTTGCTCTATAAAAATGAAATATCAACTGATATAAAATTAACTAAAATTAAATTGGGTTCTTTGAATGTAAGATCGACTTGGTGTGATTCTGATGCAAGTTTCGATCTATATGTTTATATATTATTGTATCAGTGGAATCGAGAGGGGGAAGGTTTGGAACTACTAAATTTGCGATGTAAATTTTTGATGTAATCAACTAAAAAGAATGAGATTAAAATTATTTTACTAATTTATGGGAGGAATATGTGAAGCTAATCGAGGATACCCTATTGTGGAATCAGGTCCTTTTGAGTGCATCCTGCCTACGGAGATCAAGCCTTATGAAATGAAGAGTAATCTTATGGAGGTGTAGGAGATGTGTGCCACCAAAATTCAAGCCATATTTAGAGGGCATTAAGTGCGAAAAAAGGTAATACTGCAAGATAAGGATAGAAAAGAGAACTTGAATAATCTTATTATCCAGATTCAAAGGTGGCTGTTAAAACAGACCTTCCAGAAATAATCCATCATGAAGTTTCGAAAGTGATGTTATAATTAGGAGCTTTTGATTACTCAAAATGTCAATCAATCCCTGGGGCTAAGACTTTATGTGCTTATTAGTTTATTGAGAAGGGAGGGATCTATATAGGTTAGTGGAAGGACCATAAGAGGAATGGGAAAGGAAAGCATATATTTGCGGATGGGTCAATTTATGAGGGCAGTTGGGTGGATGATAAAGCAAATGGTTATGGAAGATTGATTATGACCAATGGAGATTATTATATAGGAGAATGGAAAAATGATAAAAATGATGGAAAAGGAATTTATGTTCATTCCGATAAATCTAGGTACGAAGGAGAATGGAAGGAAGATCAGCTACATGGTCAAGGAAAGGAGATCTGGGCAGATGAGTCCGCTTACTTTGAAGGGTAGTTCGTAATGGGAGTTAAGGAAGGGTTTGGAATTTATAAGTGGGCAGATGGGTCAAGTTATGCTGGCGAATTTAAGAATGGGTATTTTAGTGGATAAGGAACTTATTGTTGGTCAGATGGCAGCAGGTACAATGGATAATGGTCGAATAATAAGATGAATGGATATGGAGAAATGAATTGGGAGGATAGGAGGAAATATATAGGTATAGATTAATCATGATGAGGGGAATTACAAGGATAATAAAAAGGAGGGTTATGGAGAATTTTATTGGCCTGATGGCAGAGTGTACAAAGGATATTGGTCTAATGGATTTTAGCATGGAGAAGGCATCTATATTGACAGATTTGGAAGAGAGATTTCAGGAGAATGGTTTGAAGGATAGAGAAGATGAAAATATATATCGTACTACTTTTGATTTAAGTAAAAGATCAAAGTATTTTTATTATTTCGAGAGATCTCTAATAAATAATCAGTTATTTTTTATTCTTTTTTTCCATATAATTTCATAATCTTTAGTATTTTCAAACATCTCCTTAGCATCCTGATAATTTGATTTTATTGTAAAAAACCAAAATCTAAGAAAAGGATTTTCTAAGAATAAGAATAATTATTTTAATTATATCAATATTGAATCATAAGATTTTAGATTCTGGGATAATAATAATATTATTAAACAACTTTAGATATTGTAAGTATGCACAAGAAGCTAAATTGAAAAAGATTTTGGCCAAACAGGGAAATCTTCATTATATAACAGCTTAATCCTATAAAAATATCCTGATAAGATGGCATATCTGGGATTCAAGAAACCCTCGAAAATAAAGGTTTAAATATTAGAATGGCTTCATATCAAGATTGAAGTTGAATTGCAGGATATTCTTTCTAAAAAGTACTATAAATCAATTATAAGTAGATTTAATAAATTTACAAAAGATCTGATACAGTGATTCTGCTAAGCTCTACCAAGTCTGATTGATATTCAAATCATGATAAGCTAATGGAGGAGTGCATTTAAGAGAATCAAACAATGAGACATTGAAGACCTCTTCATAAGAGAGAAGATTCATTCAAAAATGATGAAGTTGAATGAGTCTTTTAGAAATTAACAATTCAAATGCCATTCGATCAAAAATACTAGTTGTTATATCTATAGATAAAGCATTTTTATTAAAGATTAATTTGTAAGAAGTTAAAGAAGTGAGGCTATTAATGTATATAATAATAGTTTGAAAACTCATTCATTCATAGATTGTTCTTTTTTTTGATCAATTAGATTCAGGGTTTCTTCAACAAGTTTCACAATATCTTCGTTTTTATGACCTAAAAGACTCTCCAATTTTTTTTCTAGTTCAGTATCATCTATGCAATAAGCTTCGTAGTAGTAGAGTAAAGTGTAGAGTACATTTAAATAGATAATGATATTTTCAAGTTCTTCTGGTTCTTCCAATAGGAATTTGATTCTCAGTATTTAAAATACTCTTAAGTCTTTTATCAATTCTGTAGATGTGTATGTCAAACAGTTTGAGATGATTCCATAAATGAGTCTTAAATAATTTTGATCTGACCTGTCTAAGTTCTAAAAGTTTTAGATAACCTCTGCAATGAAGGGAAGATCGGAAACAATCTCTTTTTGTAAGTTTTCAGAATCTACATTAGTAAAGTTAGCGAGTAATTTGATGGAAGCTTGTCGTATAAATACACTTTCATGGTTGATGTATTGTTTCACTGTGTCATGTCCTTTTAAGAAGAAGATTCTTTAAACAAATTTCTCATCTTTGAAAGCACTGATGCCAATCATAAATCTGAGGATTGTGGATATTAAAATTTGGTTGTCACTTTATTCTAAGAGTTATACACAAATCTACAGAGTTGAGTTATCTAAATCATTAGCGATATCAGGCTGCAAGGAGATAATTTAAATGAGATTTTTGACAAACATAAAGGTGACTTTTGGGTATTGCAATTAAAGTGGAAGCAATTATTTCATTAAATAAAAAGTATATCGAATCTATAAAATAGCAGGGACTTAATTACATCTGGTGTATATTTTTATATTATGGCATCCAATTCTTCTTCAGTAAAGATTCTAAATTGATTAAAGAATCTACAAAGTAATTCAGATCCACTTTTAATCATTTTGACTTCGCTGTCAGTGTAGACATCTCGTTGGTTTTCTTTGAGTATTTGATTGACAAGAGGGATGAGATTATTATTCAATAAGTACTCTAATTATTTTAGAGTTAATTCTTAGGAGCAAACACTATTGAGTGCATCAAATAACTAAATGATTAGGAATGTATTTTTACATTATCAATCATTCTGATGTCCATTCTTTGTTTTGCCAACTTCAACTGGTTAAGAAAAAGCACTTCGCATTCTGCAAGATTCATTTTGGTGCAAATATTACTCAAAATTATTATGGAATAGTAATCTGAGGTTTTTGCAGCTGCAAACAATTTGGTCAGCAATTGTTTATCATTTGCAGCTTTCAATAATTTCTGTTGGCTATTATCGCCATTAATGAGATAATTGTGAAGTTCTTGTGAATCAGAAAAAGGGGGAATTTCAATTGAGGGATCGACTTCATTAACAACACAACTTCTCTTGCGGTTTTGACTGAATAAATCTTCTAGTCTCTCCTTCCTGATGGAGAATCGAAATTCCTCTCTTTTTGTCATCAATAATGATTAATGCTCACTTTTCATAATAATATTTATATTCAAATTATTTGTGCCACTCTGAATGTTAACTCTGACTTTGATCAAATAGATCGTGAGGATACTGCTTCCTTCTCTATTAGCTTTTAATAGAATATGAGCTGCATACTAATATTCATCTAGTTTGGGATCGCCTTTGCTATCATATTGAGGAAGTGGATTCAAGTGAACAAATATTCTTCTATCATCAACCACAAATTCAATGAACTTGTATTCCTTTGATTCAGCAGACTTCTGAAGCTCCAATTTGCTATCTATAACTACAACCATTGACTTAGTTTTAAATCTGATGAATTTCAAATTTACTCTTGATAAATGTGATATTGCATAAAATCTGGTAGTTTCATTTCATTCTATTGCAATCCTTCCTGATAAAGATTGGTAATAAAATCAACATATTTTTCACCCATGTTTTTGTCAATTATGATTATATTCATCAATATAAATTATATTGTATTTAAAATTAATCTGATTTCTTTAGAACATTCACTTCGATATATTCATCTTTTTATTCATCCTTAATTTATAATATCATAAACTAAAATGAAAGAGGATATGGTTATAGAGCGAAGTTCGCAAGACTCTCTTCCAGTTACTCAAAGATCCTCACTGTTAGACAGGAAGTATAGTGGTCGTTTCATGTTCTAGTAATCGCAAGAGGAAGAACAACAAACACAAATTCAAAGCAACAGAAATCGAATCAAACAATAACTAAAATGTATTCTGATCTTCATTCTAGGCCAATTGAATGCAATAATCAATAAACAAGTTCAACCCTTTTATATGCGCGAGGAGTAGTTGATTGAATTGGGTCGTAAATTGGACTTGCAAATAACCTCCATTGATGTTGACAATATTATACTCAACACCAAGGAGTTTTTTGAAGATTATGAAATCCATGAAAGGTTGGGAGAAGGATGTTTGGGGTTAGTCAAACGAGTAGTCCAAAAAAATACAGGCCTAGAATTTGCTGTTAAAATTGTAGCTACTTAAGATGATGAAATTATTCGTAATGTAAAAGACAATACTTATTCATTTTCAGATGATTATTGAATTTAAAAGACTAGTTGAATTATCCCATGACAATATTGTCAAAGCCTACAAGATGTACTTAGATTTCGACACTGGATTTTAATCCGAGAGCCAAGCATTTGTCATTATGGAGTTGATTAAAGGCAAAGAGATGTTCGAAGTCATCAACGATTCAGGACATTATAGTGAAGATGACGCAAAGGAACTCTTTAAACAACTGCTTAGTGCGATCGAATATATGCACAGACATGGCATTTGTCACAGAGATCTTAAGCCAAATAATATTTTATGTCTATAAGGTAATTTTGTCAGAATGAACTTCTAATAGATAGAAAGCAAATTAAAGTTACTGATTTCAATGTTAGTAAATTTAGTGACTCATATAAACTGTTTGGAGACCTACGAGACACTCAAAAAATAGAAATGTGGACATACACAGGCACTGTAGCTTTTTCAGCCCCTGAAATATTCACAGGAGGAGGTTATAAGTAATAAGTACTTTAATGATATATTGAAAGTTAAATGGTTGATATGTGGAGTGCTGGCTGTATCCTTTATTCGATGCTTTCTGGTTAATTGCCATTTAATGCTGATTAGTATGCAAATTTATCCTTATCCTAGTTTGTATGATCTTGTGGAAAATATTAAACTAGCCAAATATGATTTCCCAGAAGAAATCTTTTCAGAAGTCTCAGCTGATGCCAAGCATTTAATTTAGCAATTATTGAGGAAGGATCCATAAGAGAGACCGCATCCTGATAATGCTTTAGGGCATTCTTGGTTTAAAGGCAATGTAGTTAGGAAAACTTTGAGACACCTGACTATAAATAAAAATATTTGTCATCTCTCAAACAAAAATTCAAATAAGTAACGATAGAGGACATTTCTATTGAAGAAGGACTGTTACACAGGGTCAAGTGATGGAGAAGATGAGAATTCTTATCATGATGTTAAAATTAAAACATCCATAAGAAAGAGTTTGTTTTACTACATTAAACCTATTCGAGAATAGCAGTTAGACATGTACTAAGTCAAAAGAATTGGTGGATTCATCGGCAAGTCCAATACGATTTAAATAGAAGATTTTAAATATAATGATTAATAGTGATTAAAAATATTTAATTAATTCAATAAATAATTTTGGTTATCCAAAAATATCTTTTTTGGGCATTTTTAAACCAATTCATTTTTTGTATTTCTAATCATTAATTAAATTTGGCAATGTAAAATAAGACCATCTTCGACAAATTAGGAGGCTAAGCTAACATTGACGCTGCTGTTGTCAAGTTTTATCAAAAAGTGCTCTCTGATCCATCTGTCAGCCACTATTTCAAAAACACAGACATGAAGAAATAAACAGAAAATCAATAAAAATTCCTTACCATGGCTTTTGGAGGACCCAACAACTATAAAGGAAGAGTAACAAATCCATTTTATATCATTAGGACATGAAAGCTGGTCATGCTGGTCTTGGAATCACAACAGCCGCCTTCAATACAATTGTTAAGCACCTCGGTGATACATTGAAAGAAATGGGAGTCCCAGCAGAAGTTATTGCTGAAGCTGCTGCTGTTGCAGAAACCACTAGAGCAGACATCGTTGAAATCAAATGATTCATATCAATATATGTCATTTATTCATTACCATTCATCAATTTCATCTCCTTCCACCCTTTTGATGCTCTTTACTAATATCGATATTAAATGTGATGATTATTGGAAATCATTCAATTCGATCATTTTTTTAAAAGAATTCAAAAATTACAATAAGATAATGGAATTCTTTTGATAAGAAAGCAATCAACACAATACACGCATTAGAACTTTGAAGAAAGAGAGACATCTATTATATCAGTAATATATATTAATTATATTTCATATTAATTTAATCAGTCCCAATTTATTTTATAATATTGTTAAAATATTGAAGTGTGTATTAGGTTGAGTTTCGTATATTGTATTAATCATACTTAAGAGAGATATCAAAGTGAGTAATAAAACTTATTTTGCATTCCTAATATTTTAACAGATTTATTTATATATAATTATTAACTAAAATTTATATAATTTATTTTCATAAATTTATATATAATAAAATTATAAATAATACTATCTTTTATTGACTTGAATTATTCATTCCCATTCATAATCTAATAAAAAAGTCTTAAATATGTGAAGGTGTCCATCAACCATAGAATTTAGCAAATATTTCCCTTTTTAATTTCATCACTACCACAATTGGAAAAAACTACTAATATCACCAAAATATTTTGAAAAATTTAATTCTAGGAATATGTCGATATTCATTCTAACAAAAATCTTTGTTGGTATTCGTATAATGATAGTCTAAGAGATTTGAAAATCTCAATTTTCTAATTTCTCAAAGAGATTGATGAGAAAAATTTTAATATGTTTTGTTGTACATCAACAATTGTTGATTAATAAAATGAATACTCTATATGGCATAAAATCAAATTGAAAGATTTCTTTAATATTTTTGAGTAATAAAGAATTTCAATAATATTAATGTTAATTATTGCTTCAAGAAAGCATACTGATATTAAGTAATTTTCTTGATCAAATATTATATTCTGATCATACTTATATACAAATTCTATTATATTATCCTCCAGTAACATATTTATAATAAATTTTAATTAGTCAATTATGATCTCTTTAATAGCATTTACTAATTGTAATCATATTTATCTCATATACGCTGCTTCTAGGCAACGAAGATAATTTTCCTTTTTTAAATACTTAACCACAATCTAGAATGCCTTAAACTTGAATTCTTTCTTATATATATAGGCAATAGTTAAGCTATTTCAGTTGTTATTCTCTTTTATTTGCCATATATTTTTTCTAAATTCTGTGTCTTTTAGCATTTTTATGGAGTGAAGATCCTCTAGAATTGTTGTTCTTACAAGTTTATGGAGAATAGATTAGTTTTTCTTAATCCTCCTTAATATTTGATGCAGAGTATTTGACTGTCATTTCAATTTAATCGTCAGCTAAACTAGACCGTGTGAGTAGATTTAATTGAAAGCAAGTGTCATTTATAATCTTCACAGTGCATTTAACCTACCACAGAGAGGTGAAGGAGAATATGTTTTCATTTTAAGCATTCGAACAAATTTATAATTTAAATCTAGAACAATTAGAAAAGCAGTATAAAATATAAAGAAAAGGAGGGGGCGAGTTAGGAGGGAAGTTAGATTAATTGCGAATATTTATTTATGTTTAATGTGAACATAACTACTCAATATCCAGATTCAGCTAGGTACTTTGCCATTTCAATGACACGTTTGTTGCAATCAGCAGCATTCTAAGGAGCTCCATTTTCTGCATTAATGGTTTGGGAGAATGAAGCAAAGACGGCGACTGTGTTAGACCAAGCAACGCATGCTCCTCCTTTGTTCTATTGATTATCATGTTATAAATATACCTTCTTCAAAAACCATGACTTAGCATCATTATCGAATTGAATTGTATAATATTTTTGATTGTTGACTCTAACTCCAGCTGCATTTCCAGAGTTTCCTTAGTGTGTGAGAGCGTGAACAAAGGCTTACTTCTCATCATAGGCAACCTTGGATACGACGTCTGGATTCTTTTCATCTGGTACCTCAGCTTGATAAGAAGGAAGGACGGCGACACCGAAATTGCTAGCCCAGATGTTTCCATCTAACCCAATAATGGCAGCATATTCAAGAGCTCCGTTGGCTGTCAAATTTGTCACATAAGCATCCCAAGACATGGTTATTTAATATATTTAATGAAATTATATCTTCTCTCATCATGAACATATATATAATTAATTGAAGATACTTATTAATTATATAACTTGCAGAATGTTGTATATAATTTGATTCTTATTTCATTTTTATTATGTAGACGAGAACGAGCTATTCGACTTGTTTAACAATTTGTGATAGTAACGTTCTGGTAAGCTTTCCACTTCCAAGGATTCCTCTATTTAAGGGGCATGAGATTCTTACCACATATTGTATTTTCTTCTTCTTGTACCAAAACAAATACACAGCGCAGAATAAGGGCAAGAAATATCCAAAGAGACAAATAAACAAATCAATCAAAGGATTCAGCAAATTATTCTTAATGACATTCAAATTAGCTTACATTTATGAAAAACTCGCATTTATTCTAATCGCTTGATCCATCATAGAGGAAATAGATTAGATCAGAACCCCATTATATTATTTACCCAAAGGCTGTCACACAAACCAAAGTCCTTATTTGATTAATATACTCTCTATACCAGAATTTCAATTTAATATTTCTAGTCTTTATATATTGGGTCTTCTCTACACCGGTCATCCTATTGGTGAACATTATTTATTCAATAATCAAAGCATTCATTTTCTAATTCAGAAAATATGCTCCTGTTATGAAGATAATGCATGAGAGTAATTCCACAACATCGATCACAAAAATTGTAATGTCTAAGTCCTAAAATATTTTGTACATACAACTGCAATGGTTGTTCCACAAGTAATATACTATGAGATTGATGAATAACATTATAGTAAACAAACTAAACAATCCATATGTGCAACCTCTCACTAATTTTGATTTGCTTTTATTGTACACATTTAGGTCTGTGGCCTTCTTTGTGAAAAAGTAAACTAAAAAAATCAAAAAGCATAAATCAAAGTAATAACACAAAAAATAAGCAAATATGAGATGTCTATTAATCGTGAATATCAGAAAAACTATTTTAGTAATTCTATACAACTAATATCAATACATATATTTGCAGCCAGAATTATCAAAAATAAGACTTGCTTTCTTTTGTTAATTCTCCTCTACTCTATCACTCGCACTGTAATCTGGTATGTACACAATGTCATCAACAATAAAGAGCATGCCGTTCCTAAATAGAGGCTGTTGAAATGGCAACTTACTCCAAGCATAATTTAAGGTTTTCGCATTACCCTAAGACACAATATTTGAATCCTTGATCTGGGCATTAACTCATTAATTATTTTATAAGCAAAACTATTGAATTAAATTATTTGTAAATATCTGCATGACGAATAGAATAATTAATTGTTTGAGTCATTCTTATTATCAAAATAACAAAACTAATGGTACGAGAGAGAAAAAAGGTATATTAACTTAATGATGATAGTTGAAAATATCAAACAAATTCTTAAATCTTAAAAGGATTATGACTAAGGAAAGGGAAAATATTACAGAAATTAAAGGGACTCCCATGCTTGGTTAGAAATACAATAAACATTTTTAAGAATTTTGGATTAGCAATTAGATAATTTAAAGTAAATGAATACTGCGATCATTCCATTAATCAATTCATAATAATACTTATTAATCAAAATAGTAAGAATTTTAATATAAATTAAAGGTGAGTTTTCATAACTATTATTCCTAAACAGAATTTATTTACTCTTCTAATAGATCTTTTAGTCTTTCCTCTAAAGAATTGTCTAAATCTTTATTTAGTTAATAAATATATTACTATGATCAATTGCAAATTTAGTAGCTAAATTTTCTGAGTTATCTCCGTTAAATATTGGTAATCTTACTGTCTTAGCATCATCTATTTTTACATCTATATACAAAATGGGAAAGTTAAGGAATATTGGTTTGCTTTTAATCTTTTTGCATTTCGGCTCTTAACTCATTGACTATTCAGTTTATAATTTCATCTGTGTTCTACTTTCATTGTTGGTAGTGTTTCCAGTGCTTTTCAATTTTTCTACTGTTTTTTATCTCAATCTAGCTTCTCTTAATCGTTTTGCTTATTAATCAATGTCATATTGTGTAGATGCAGTTGAGATTTGAAAATGTTTCAAGGGATTGATCTAAGGTGAAAAAGTACAAAATTATTATTGACTTTCAAATTCTACATCAATTGTTGATTTATCTTATTATTTTTTGATTGGTTTGCTTAATGAAGTTAAATCGATAGCAAGAGGTCTGATAGTTTGTTTCAATTACTTAGTTTCCTCTGATTGTTCCAATTAGCTTTTTAATCTCTCAATATTATCCTTCTTTTTCTATTCTTATTAAGCAAACCATTCATTGATATTCAGATTGTTCTTCTTCTTGATAGCCATATCTCGTGATCTATTACTTAATAAATTGATAACTTATGGAGGTGATTTCGATTTCTCCATGTTTCTTCTTTGTCCATTGCCATGACTTTATTTGGTGTTCAAATATAGTTATTTGTACTTATTGTGAATTTCAATACAGTCCTGAGGAGATAGCATCAGATTCCCATTTTCATCATTTTTGTAATGAGATGCCATTGGAACCTGTTCATCATCCTTTGGTAAATAAAGAGGTATCTATTAGACAGGTACATTAAGAATGGCAAGCAAGACAATTAACATATTTCTGGAGAGTATGTAGGAGCCATTCGTAAAGTCATTCCATAAATCTTTACTTTCTCCGAATCCTAAGCCTTAAAGAATTTACTGGAAATCATTTTCATATATTTTAGAGTAATCCCAACTTTTTTTGACATTCTCTGTATTACTTAGAAAGTAATAGAAATCTTTAATAAATCTTTGGATAAACCATTGTTGAGAGATTTCTGATAATTTCCCATCATTTGTAGCCAAACTTTGGCTTGTGAGTTAGTTTTTCTATTGTCTTTGTCTGCTATCATCATACAAAATTTAGGCAACATGCTTTTCTCTTCTTGAATTCTTCTGTTTTTCTAGGATCTCATTGTTTGTATCTTTTGATTGTTTGGATTATATAAGATTTCTCAATTAAATTGTTTGTGACTATTCAATCTTTTTTGGTTATTCTTCCTACGTGAATAATTTATGACTTGGATCATTTGAATGCTCAACAGATTGCTTAAGGATTCTCTTTTTATCATTTTAAATTTCAAGTACTTTATTGTCCTATTGTGATGATTCAATTCTTTCAGGAGAAAGTAAGAGATCTTAACTTTTTACATTAAATGCCCTTGAAGATTTAATGTTGTCCATATGATTGGTATATAACTTTTATGATTACAAAGTGTATTGACTTTTCTATACATTTGAGACTTCTCTCCTAGAACCCTCAGTTTTTTGTTTCGGTTTACTTGCTCCTCGAACTTTATCTGGACATACATTTTGGCTGTTCTCTTGAGGCTTTGACTTTCCAAATAGATTTTGTAGCTAATTAAGCGAAGTCAGGGGATGTCTATCTCGAATAACTGACATATTATTATTAAATTAATATATATATATTTCATTGTTTTGCCTCCTTCACAACTTCGATTGTTTTGGCCAAACCCTTCAATTAAGCAATTGCCAAATCAAGCAAATCAGCTCTGGTCTCAAATCTACATTGCTCAGATATCACTTCTACTAGACGCTCAATCTCCTCAATTTAATCCACATAACACTTGTAACTCAACTCGACCGTCAAAGTGGGTCTACGAGCCATAGGCCCATAAAATTGGATTGGACCTGGATTCTCATAGTGATCTTTCAAATACCAATTCTTAGAAATCTAACTGAAGTGTTTGAAGAGTTACTAAATAAATTTAACTTAACTTAATTACCTATTTTAAATCCACCTCATAACTAGCAATAACTGGCTATGCTTCTCCATAGGCACTCTTCTACTTGATAGATATCATTCCTAATAATGGAATTACATTAAAATGCCATCTTTCAATTGGGCCTGCAATACCCCTTGCTGAAACACAATACCCAGTTAATCCTCTTTAGATGCTTAGGCCTGCCAAATAACCATAGACTTCTCCTAATTTTGCATCAAATCGAGTAGGAAAGGCACATCTGCCTTGATATCCGAAGAAATGGCAAATAGGTGAAAATGCTCCCTTGTATTTGGATTCAGCCTTTCTAACTTTAAGTTCCTCAGCAACCAAATGTGCCAATAGTCTTTCGGTTTCAATTTGAGATAATTGTATGCCTCCATGAACTTCTCTTTCCATCAACAATTGTTACTAAGTGAAATCAGGAAGAGATTGAAATAATGCTGCAGACCAAGGAGTCAAATTATTCATTATTTCCTATTTGTTAGTTGTGAAATGCTTATCCAACTCTGTAATCAACTATTTGAATTATCCAATGTGGGCGAATAACCCTTCTGGCACTAATACAGTACCAAACTCTTTGTTTTTTTAAGATCGAAGCACAACTACATCTGCAATTTCAGAGACTACTTCTTACAAGGTAAGGCCTCTTTCTTTGATATCCTCGCTGATAAGTACAACATTGGGATGAGTTTAAAGTGCACATTCCAATACAAGATGAGAAGGATCTCTTCCCATTAATCTTATGAAGTACCAATATTTGACAGCACTGGCAGCATCTATCATAATATTACCTATCATTTAGGAATAAGTCTTAGAAGCAGTATCAAAACCCACGATACCTTCTAAAAATGGATGACCAATATTATTATCGACTGTGCATGGTACTCCTATAATTCTGGTCTTAACGTTCTCTTAAAGTAAATAGTTGGCAACTATTATACAATCTGTGAGAGTGTGTGAAGCACCTACTACAACTAGCCCATCTAAAGATAGCGTATTGCAAGTTTCTTTTACTTGTTGTAATTCTTATACTGATCTCATTTTATCTGCAGTACGACCTAGATAATGATATCCACCTTAGTTAATGTAATATTGTAGACTATTCTAATTGATTTCAATATATTCTTATTTGAAAAGACCTTAGGTACCTCCAATGAATCCATATAATGTAGATCCACTTTATTCACACAATGCCAATAATCCTCTAATGATGCAATTTGCTCCTGGAGATTAGCGACCATTCAATGTAATACCAATTCGTAATGGCTTATTATGGGTTTCATGAGCATCATCATGAACAAATTAAAATGCATTTATACTTTTAGCCATAAGTGTAGGGAAATGCTTTTCAATAGCTTTCATTACGTTATCATTATAGTTATGATGAATGACCTTAAGACTTAACTTAAGATTTAGGTGTTTAGGTAGAGCCAAAGGAGTGTTGGATCTTTCAAGTCCTAATTTTGATAAATTTCTAAGATGCATTTCTTCATAAGGTTTTTATTCATATATTTTGTTGTCTACCTCTTCAAATTCAAATCCTTTGCCATTAATAAGGAAGGGAGGCACTTAATCACCTTCGAATTAGATTGGTCCAACAGGATGATAATAATCATGAAATGCCCATTTTTCTCTATTTTATTAATAGAATTTAAATAATGGTCCATCAAGATCAACTAATGCCTTTTTAATAACAGGAACTGATTTCCCTTTTCTGGTTTCCACATCCATCATAGTTACCAATGGGAAACCAGCAGCATTCCATTCAGTTGGACTTTTGTGTAAATCACGAATGCAACTCATAACTCCAGTGAATTTATTTTCAATTAAGATAGCTGCATTAACACCCAAACTATAACAATAATCACAATCAAATTTAGTAGGAAATGCACATCTACCTTCATATCCATAATAATGACTGATGGCTGAGAATTTGCCTGCATATTTTCGTCTATCCAATTCAGCTTTAACCATCTCGATCAATAGTTTTTCAGTTTCAATTTTAGCCACTTGAACATTTCCATGAGGATCACGATCAAGCAATAATTAATCACTAATGCTCCTTGGTAAAAATTCTAATAGTTTTGATGATTCAGGTGTTAATTTAGTCAAAATATTGTTAAATACTTAATCTGGTTCCCATTTGTTGGCTGCCAAGATTGTATTAATTTCTTTGATTAATATCTTTACTTCATCAATAAATTCAATCAATCCTTCTGGTACTAAAATGACGCCATGATTCTTATTTTATTTGTATCTCTTCTCAATTAAATCACTCAATTAAGTAACTATTTATGTCAATGAAGTCTTATTCTTCTCGACTTCTTCACCAATATAAGCCCAAGTTGGTCTGGTTAAAAGTGCACACTCCAATGCAATATGAGATGCAGATCTACCCATTAAACGAATGAAGTGATAGTATTTTTTAGAGGATACAGTATCCAACATGATATTTCCAATAAGTTCACTATACGTTTTACATGCTGTGTCAAATCCAAAACTTACTTCCACAAACTCATTCTTTAGATCACCATCAATTGTCTTTGGACAGCCAACTACGCTTGTTTAACAATTGTTCTTCAAAAAATACTCAGCCAATAAACAAGCATTAGTGTTCGAGTCATCTCCTCCAATCACTACCAAACCATCTAGTTTTAATGATTAACAATATTGAAGAGACTTCTTGAATTGTTCCTCTGTTTCAATCTTGTGTCTTCCACTTTGAATCATATCGAACCCTCCTCTATTCTTGAAATAATTGATAGTATCATCTTTCAATTCCTCATACTTACCTGAGTAAATACCAATTGGCCCTTTCAAGAATCCAAACAATTAACTATTTGGATGTCTTCTCTTTATCTATTCGTAAATCCCAACTATAACGTTGTGACCACCAGCTGCCTAACCTCCTGAAAGCACACAACCTTAAAAGTAGAGCTACAATCTTACCTATTCTCAATGGCGCTCTTATTGTATTCTCATTAGCGTTTGCTGCCTAAAATGTGACTGCCTTCACTTCTTCCTTACATAAGAAGGGAAACATCTTTAGAATAAATGACAATGGAAATATACTTCTCGAATTTGAGGATTAACTTAAATGGTCTCTGTTTTGGTGTCCAACTCTTCTAATTACAATAATTGTGGTAACTCAGGTTAATATTTAGTCCTGAGACTATGAAAGTTGTTGGGTTGAATAATCATTAAATGTATTAATCATGCATTCTCCATCATTAGATATATATAAAGATTCATAGTACGCTTTTAATTGCCATTATTAGTATTTTATACATGCATTTATTCATATATATTATATCAAATATATATTATTATTAAATATAGCTTTACCAGGAATGTTATTCATAAGAGTGAACGATACTACACTATTCAATTTTGAAGAAGTTTAACTCCATGAATTTCAAAATGAATAGGATTTATTCACATGCTCATTTGTAAAATAAAATACAAAGGTATCATAAATAATTAGGTAATCTTGGGAGTAAATTAATTATTTATTTTATCCTTTACATCTATGATTAATATTTTAATATTATAAAAATTATTTCTTTGCTTACAGATAAAATTCAATCAATGAATTAACATATCTAGGTATTCTTACCTGTTAATTAATTCTGGATATATTTAGAACATTTATTGTGTTTAACTTATTGAGCATGTAGTATATTTCTATTATATTGTTATCATAAACTACATAATTTATAAATTAAAACTTATTTTTTGGATATATCATAGCATGATCAAATTTTAAAAATTAGATCCTTAGTAGAATAGCATTCAAAATGTAAAAGTTTCATCTCCAAAAAATAAATCCGTATTCTTAATACTTCCAACGCCCGTTGATATTGAAACTAAGGCTTAGAATATTTTCTCAGGTTCTTCAGAATTATTAAATGTTTTACCCGCTTACGAAAAGGGACCAAAACTTGATAAAAAAGGATAAATTCTTAAGCACACAATTGTTGGATCAGTGCAATAATTTTAGTAAGAAAAACAAAGAAGACTTAATATCAACAAAAAGCCATTTGCAAAACTGAAAACGTAATTTCTATCTGAAGCAGAGTCACAACCTGGAATGAATAACAGTTACACAAAATGTAAAATTCATTTCTATTCTCACATTAGTGACCGAACTCACTTCTAGTAAAGAGCTGACAAAAAAATCCTCTTAGAAAATTAAGACTAAGGAATTTTAATTTATATAATTAAATGAAGAGTAAGTATAATAAGAAATTGTGGAGGTTGAAAGAAGAGTTAAAACAAACTAAATTGAAGTAAACTTCTTCTCTAAAAATTTAAGACGGCAAGGTTAAATTAAGAGATCAAAGGAAAGCTAAATAAAGGTGATTAATTAAAGATGGATACTGCTGAAAGGGCTTTAACTAATTATTAAAATACTTAAGAAAATTGGGAGTCGACTAAATTAAGAGTCAGTTCTCGAATACAACGAAAATAAGGCTACTCAATAAATGATAAAATCGATTAATTTAGAGTGAAGCAAGAAATTAAATAGTTACTGGAACATATTACTCCTATTGAATAAAAATTAGGAAACGATTACTGGGTATGTTTATGTAATCTATATAGAAATAAGGACTTCGAAACACTTAGAATGAATTAAATAAAAAATACCCTTATAAATATGTTGACAAACTAGAAGATGATCCAAGATATTTAGTAGATTCTAAACCTCCCGTCATAGAAATCATAAGAAGACCTAACTCAAGTGCAAAAGGATGTCGTCCATTCTCATCATTTACCTCCCGCTGTTATCTGAATAAAAAATTAAAAGACAATGAGGACTTAGTTTAAAAATTGGTTCCTCTAAATATAGAAGAATTTGAAGATTTATAATTGGAAGGATAAAATATTCTACTTTAGGAAATCAATTCAGTAAGAAATCCTAAGGATAGTTTTGTTAAGATCACCAGCACAATCAACAATGGGGGTTTGAAATCTTATGTAAAATAGATTCCTATTAACAAAGAGCTCTCATTGCCTGATGAAATTATTGAATCTAATTATAATAAAAAATCGGTAATTAACAGTGGTAAATTTGGAAGCTTAAAAGGGTTTTTTTGATTTATAACATTTTACAAAATTCAATAACGTTATTTAATAAATAAGTTTGACAAATAAATAGAAATTCAATTTTTTAATCTGTTTATTAGATTGATTTCTGATAAAACTTCGTATTGTTTAATAACATCCGAATTGTTTACAACATTTTAAATTTATTAACCAAATTAATCTAATCTATAAATATTAATTATTTGAAATACTTCTAATTCAATTCTTAGTTGAGTGTTTACTAAGTTTATAAATTACTCTTTAATTTAATAAGTTCCTGATTTAATGAGTTTTCTTTATCTTCGAAGATTTTCTTTGTACTCAATAAATCTTCATCTTTTTAAGTTTAAATTTGCTCTATTTCTGATTCAAAAGTATATTTTTGTTCTTCGAATTAACTTTAAAGTGAATTTTTTGTTTCTTATAATTCATTATCGATTTTTTCGCAGTTTTCTTCAGCTGCCTTTAGTTAGGCTTTTAATTCAGCTATCTGTTACTCTTTTTATCTATTTTAATTCTACAGATTAGTAATTTATCTTTCAGCATTTTATTTATCCCTTTAAGATGTAGAAGATAATTATTATATTTTCTGTTCCTGTTGTTTAATTTATTTCAATTATCTATTTAATAAGTCTTCTTGTTCAGATACAGTGACATTGAATTTAGCTTTGATTTTTTCATTGTCTCTATATAAGTCATTGAGTTTATTCTAAGTATATTAATAAAATTTAGTACAATTAATTGATCATTCATATTCTTGAATTACACAAGGGTTGTTTCATATTGCTATTCTTTTAGTTCAATAATCTAGTTAAGATTTTAGATCTATTGTTATAACTATTAATTAAATTCCTATTGTTATTGATTAAAGTTCAATAATTCTTTCTTTTATAAATCATAATCCTAATAGTTTTATAAAATTTAATCTTGATATCGAGTTTATTACTCTAAAATCTAAGGAATTATAATAATATTTACTTCTTTCTTTAAATTGTTGATAATATTTTATGCATTTTCTTGATCCTATATATTGGCTTAGAGTAGTTATTATCTTATTTTCTGCAATTCCTCTAATTATTTGGTTTATTCTAAGACTTGGCCTTTTAAATGAGCAATTTGATTCTCAAGAATTTGATTAGAATTTTAATGATGAGATTTTAAGGTGTCTACACCAATCTCATGTTAGCTTCTTAAGTTATTCTCCATCTGTTGAGATTCCTCTTAAAATCTTTACTCGTTTTCAAACATTTTTTCTTTTAGAACATGGAATTGTAGAGTTATAGTTTCTATTTCTTTTTCATAATTAGCTCTCAATCTTTCGTTTTAATCTATGAGTGTCTTAATTTCTTCATTCTTAATTCCTAAGAGACCTTTCAATTTTTCAATTTCATCATCCAAAATTTCAGCCTATGCCATATATTGGTTTTTTATATTGTCCAATTAACCTTAATTTAGAATATCCAATTTTTATCTAAGATTATTCATTTCAATTTGATTGTCCCTCTCCTATTCTTATAATTTGGTTCTATATAAGTCATTATCCTTAAGCAATTTAGTCTCCACATATTCTCTATCTTACAAAACTTTGGTTAATTTAGTTTCTAGTTCATAGATCTCCTTATCCCTGATATCGGCATACTCTCTCACTTTTCTTAATTGATTCTCAAGTAAATCGATCTAAGTGAGATAACTATGTCTTTATTATTCATTTTAAACTGAAAAATTAATAAATAATTTACTTGAGAAGTTGGTTTTTGTAGCCTCAACTTCGTGTGATCTTTCCTTCTCGAGGATAGCATTCCTTTCCTCTAGCAACTTTAATTCATTACTTAGCTTTCGTAAATCCAATTCATACTAAGCCTTTACTATTAAGGTAGATAATCTATATAATACGTTGAACAGCACTATTGAGTTGTTATTCGTATTTGGATTTCCATAATTCACACTCAGTCTTCTTTTAGGCAAAATTCTTTTATAACTTGTCTATGTCTTAACTTAGCATCTAATTCTAATGTATCATTAACTCTGCCTTCTCATCCAAAGCTCCCTACTTACTCATTCGAATTATGGTAGTGTCCAATTCATTTTTCAGTTGTCTTGCATATTATTCAAGGTCGGTTGATCTGTTCTTGTAGTACTCCAATTCTTCGTTGAATTAGAAATCTTGATGATAGCTGATACCAGATACCTTTCAAGTTGATTGAGTTTTTAAGAGATATGCTCGCCTCGGGATTATAAGGATGGGGTTTCTTATATTAAGGACTTTGTTGATATGGTTTATCAGATTTGATATGAGGTGATGTAGTTAACATTTTAATTCGTTAAAAATTAATTTTAATAATCTTTCAATGCCAAGGAAGGTTTTCAGCGCTTTGGTTACCTCCCGAAACTACCTTATCCTTCTTTGCTCTATAATTGGAATAATCATAATTGTCATCAATCTCTAATATTATTAAATAAATACATTTATGGTCTAAAACTAAGTTGTCAAAGCAGGTGGCTGATTCTCTTACTGCTAATCTGATTATTTCATATCATACAATTGTTTCTAAAGGTTTGAGTTGATTTACAATTGATTTTATATACTATCCTATAAAACATTAATTGAATGTTGCTTTTATGATTATTAATCACTTAATGATGATATTTAAGCTTGCAATTCGTCTTATTCTTTTTTAAGAAAATCATAAAAGCTTTGAAGCTTTTAGATGGTTTGGTTGAGAAATTCAATGTCCTTTTTCTTATCATCTATAATCTATTTTTGTTAATCCAAATTGTTTGCAAATTAAATCTATTGTGTTTAATTTTATAGTTTATTCTGCAAGTAATTTGCTTGATGATTAAGTCCTTAGACTTCATTCTATGATCCAGCTCTTTATGGCTATGGGGGTAAACCTGAGGAAAGTTGTGGCATGGTTTATGAAGTCGATCGAACCTAATTTTATTGTTGATCTCTTCTTGTTAATTGAAGTAAAGATTCTGGTAGTACTTAAGGTAATGGAGTATCCTTTCTGCACAGAGCTATTAAGTGAACAGCAACGATAAATTCATTTTTATAGAGGTATCCTTTTTGTCCAAAATCAACTAAGCTCCAAAGTTGATTCAATATTGGAGCGGGAAGTTAAGACTTTTAAAAAAAGGCCTATGCTTGATCACCCTTAATGCACCCTGAATTTGTTTTATCTTATTGATTAAAGCAGATTTCATATCTGTTATACTAATCATCAGGTAAATCGTACTAAAACATTATTGGAATTTGATACTTTTTAATATTCTAGTCTAGGTTCAACATATGATTGGAGAGAGATTTAAGCAGTATTTTAGACTGGTTGGGTTTAGAAATAATTTGATTGAGGCAAAGAAGTTTGTGGTTATTAGAAATTATTAAACTATTGCTGTTGTGGTTATGAGATTGGTTATTAAGGTAGTTATTATTGTTGTGGTACCTATATTCCTTCCATAACTGGAAGTGGAACAGGTATATTTTAGTTCAATAATTATTCATTGAATTCAAATCCATTTTAACAGTATGCAATAAGTCTCATGACTGTAGCAAATTCTGGATAATAAAGTCTGCCTTCCTAATTTTTTACTCCTGCTATCCAAATTCCCTTAAGTGCATCAACAGGAAGTCGACTTTTTTTGAAAAATTAAACAGTGCTTTTGGCTTCAGCAAAGCCTAGACCCTAAGAATCAAATGAATGTAAAATACTTGTGGATCGAAAGGGGCCCAAAGTTGTCTGTAGTATGCCTCTTCTTAAGGTGTATATTAAAACATTTTGAATTAAATTATTATTGATATAAAGCTTCAATACTTAATAATTGTATTGCACTTCTTAATTTTTTTATGCACCTTTCTCTTCTTCTAATTCTTATGTTAGTTGTGGGCAGTGACTTCAATTGGTTTAAGGATGACTCTTCTCTTTTTGACAATTTTTCTGGTTTTCTTTCTTGGTTTATTTTCATCATTTTAAATCTAGTCAGGTAACAACTCTCCTTAGTGATCGCTTGAATCTTATTATAATAGTCTCGTTTATTACTAAATTTAAACAAAATTGGACTGATGAACTAACATCTTGCTTTGATAACGCTGTCTTAGATTTTATTCTAAGAGTAATCTTTAGCAATGTGTGATGAAAAGAATAAAAAGAAAAACGATAAAATGTTTCATCAAAATTAAAATTAATTATCTCACTGCTATTGAAGTTCCTATTCTTTGAATTTTTGGGGCACTATGCTGTCGAATGCTTTGCTCCAATCCTTATACTTTAACCATCCTGATATCATCAAAGCAGCTGTACTCACATTTAAGCATTTTTTATAAGACTTTTTTATAAATTATCCAATAGGTAATTTAGCACTTCTTACTCCCAATTACCTACTTCTATTTAAAGTGGCATTTTTTATAATAACTCTAAAAGATTTCATCTTACAAAATACCTATCAACTAGTCCTCCTATCACATACACTTCGTCTTCCTTGATCTCCTGCAATTCTTCTTCGCCATCAGGACTTAAATAAACAATATTTGCTTATTAAAATTCGTCTATGTCTGTAAATAGCTTCTCATCTGAAACCAATTGCCATTATTTATAATGATATTGCTCTAAGTACTTATGCAATGTTGGATAGATGTTGGTCACATAAAGTTTTAGAGGAACATCTGTTTTTCTGTTTTCAGTGTAGAGCTCAGATAATTATCTGGCAAGTGATCTTTGCTCTTTGTCTGACATGTTGTCTTCAAAACCACAATCAATAATAATCCTAAATGGACTTTAAAGGGATTTCATTCCATTCTCTTTCTTTTGATTTCGTAAGCCTTTGAAGGAATGAACGAAATCATTCTTTTGCTCTTAGGTTTCTAAGGATTAGATGATTTCGTATTTTTATTGCTTAATTTTCTTTTTCTTCTCTTTCTTCTTCTAAACCACCTTTTATCTATGTAATTCATTCTTTATTTATTGTTTATCTGATCTCAGTTATTTATTCTTATCATTCTACTGTTCTGTAATTATATCCTCTCCAAAGAGATCAAATATTTCCATAAAATTAATTTTTTAATGGGAATACCTTGCACAAAACAATAACCCAAACCTACAATTTTAACTGTTCATCAATCTAATGACTTTTAACTTCTACTAGCTCAGCCTCCTCATGTGTAACAAGAACCAGAGGAGGAGATTTAAGAAGCCAAATAAACGAAAATCGATGTTGCCTAAAACTCGATAGACTTAAATAAGAAACGCTATTCAAGTAAGGATGTTTCGGTCATTTCTAAATACATCGAGAACGAGTTAAGTATTTAAATTGAATAATGAAAGAGAATCAATCAATTAAAATTGAAAGACTCACGATTGATATGAGGGATGCTTCTGCCAGTGGCAAGGGGGGAGGCTTTGCTTAACGTAAGGAGATATCAGTAGAATAATTTAACGATGAGGAGAGTAACATCTGTAATACGGTGTACACCAATCCAAAATATAAACGCCTTAAGAGCATGAATGAGCATTCTATGATCTTATTACATTTGAATGAAAATAAATAATATTCGGAATTACTTTATAGAGTGATTAACGATTATCATTTTAGAATTGAACACGAATCTGAGTTTAATGACATTTTGATGAGATCTCAAGATAGTTTTCTCTAAAATCTGTTAATTTCAGAGAAGTACATCAATGAATACGGAATCTTTCACATATTTCGGGAAACAATCAAATTCAGTAAACTTGATTTGATATTACAGAACGATTTCACCTTGAATTCGACTTAACTTCATTACAATAAATGTACCTTTATCTCCTATATTCCCTTAGTGTTTGTGGAAATCAGCTACTTTCCTCTGCTCCTTGCCACCTCACATATAAGCATGTTCTGTCTATATTTTACCTAAGAGAATGTTCAATTTAAAAATTTGACGAATTCAAACTTCGAATTAATGAATTTTTTAAATTAAATTAAGCAATTACTCAAAATTAAAGTAAATTTTAATGTACACACTATAGATTTCAATTTTGTCCATATGCGAATAGAACAATCATATCATATTAACCATTGTGATGGACCAAAACTCAATGAGAGACAGCCAAATCATATCCCACATAAATAGTTCCCTGAATCAACAATTTGGATTCATCAAGTGCTCAACATAACCATTGGTCAAGTACATAGGATGTGAACTAACCGACATAGACGCTTGGAACAATAGGGAATTCAAAGAGGACACCAAGACTGATAGTCAATTTTCGTCTTAGTTTGGTTGGAAGTATCATATCCTTTCTACTAAAATTAAGATTATTCGGTTTGAATATTAAATAAGTGAACCTCAAGAACATAGGATACATCTATTACAATTTGAATCAGAATTACTTTGAGGATGTAAGGATCTACTCATTGAGTGAAGTCAATCGATACCAGGCCGAATTTGAAACGATAGAGATCAAAGTCTACTGCGAGAAGAAGTACTACAAGATGCTCTTCTAAATCACGTATAATGATGAAGACATGGTGATTAAGAAGAATTAAGTATGATATGTATCATTCTTTAGACATATCTGAGTACGTTAATAAATTCGAGACTCACGGGAATAATGGTTTATGATGCTGAGAGGTAGATGAAATATTGAACTTTGATTTGAAATAACTATTTATTTTATGATTGGATAGATGAATTAAATATAATGGTTATTCTTCACTTTTTATCTAGCTTTTTTCGACTACTATTATTATTCACATTGATTTTCAATTAGACCACAGGTTTTTGCGAATCGCTTTTGTCTTCATTTCCATTTCCAACCTTCTTAATCTTTTTAGACTTTTGATTGACCTTAATGTCCACATTGACCTAGTCTTGAGAGTTCAAGACTTGGGCAATGTCTTGTTAAGCTTGGATCTCGGCATCAGTTCTATTAAGACACTACTCACATTTGCACAAATCACTGCATTTCAAGTTTTGACTATAGCATTCACAATACTTCTTTTTGCACCCAGACTTCTTGCAATTACACCCCTTCCTTGTGATATTGGAGTTTTCCTTGGTGGGTTCTTTGAGTGGTTTATCTTAATATACAGACCTGAAATTACCTTGTTATTGGACAGAGAATTAGGTTTAACTCTTTTGTTGAAAACACTATGCAAAAGCATCTGGATTTCTGAGCAATGCTTCCTCAATTGCCTTCGATCTCTCTTGTGGATTATCGATTCTGTTTTTGCAATCCTAGCAATTGCAGCTTTGAGAACACACCTTTTATTATAAATATTATGAAGTCTAATACCCAATTATTGGCAAAGCATTCGCAATAGAGTTTGAGGCATTTGCTTTTTTTGCAATTACATTGGAAATCCGACACTTTTTGATACTAAACCAACTGAAACACTTTGGATTGCAGTTCCTTGGAAACTGTGTTTTGGCATTAGAGTCCATCGTACTGGGATTAGGGATAATAGCAAAATGGGGGCATCAATTATTACTATGGTCTTGGAGGATACCATGGATTTTGTGGAACCATATAAGCCTAGCCTTGTTGTGGAGGAGGTGGATATTTCATAAACATCGGTTGTGGCGGGTATTTCATTGGGGGATAATAGCCGAAAGGGTAATGAACAGGGATACGATGGGGATCGTCGTCAATGTGATCCATGTGTGGAACTTCACCTAATAAATGCTTTGGATAAGGATATCTACTTTGTCCCTTCCTGTCGCTGTTCATATGGGGATATTTCTGTGGATCATAGTCATGATAGACTTGCATAGAAGGTCATCATGGTACCTTATTTTTCTAACTCAAATGGAGGAGGACACATGGGAGGAAATAGTTATGGATAGGGCATAGGTGTAAATCGCGGTGATGGGTTCCCTTAATACCCCCAATCCTCTGTAAAATCTTGCACTTTCTTATTGTCAGGTTTTGGTTATGGGTCATTTGAAACATCCCTTCGTAATCATTTGCATGTTAATTTACCTATTCTGTTCCTCCGAATCAGCACTCATTAATTAAAATATTTAATCTCTTAAGATATTTAAATTATTGATCAAATAAAATATAAATTTATTGAACTCTATTCTAAATTCTCTTTTTTAAATATAGAATGTCTGTGAAACCTACTTCTATTTTAATTTAAAACTGAAAATTTGAATACCAATTATTCAAACTTCTAGGATATTGGCTATTTAAATTCAAAAGAATTATTTAAAATTGAATAATTGATGTTTTTATATATATTGGATGTCTGAGCTGGCAGATAATGGAACTAAATAATAATATATTCATATATCAATAGCTCATAATATATCTGTAACATGCAACTCCTGATATGATGGCCATAGAGGAATAAATCAAACCCTTGATTGGTCTGTAATAGAGCCAAGCAATTCCGATTGTTCCCAAAGTTAATGGCATAGATAACATTCCACTCAAGAGAGCCAACACTATTCCAGTCAATTTGGATAAGAACCCACCCAACAATGGAATGTAATATAAGAGAGTCGTGATGGGAGTGAACAACAACACAAATCCAAATAACTAAAATAATCAAATCTAAAATTCTTACAAACATAAAAAATCCACCAACTCTACATAACCACACTATTCCAACTAACTTACTTAATTAAGCCTAGAAGCATTGATCTAAATTGAAACTTCTGTTGAAGTACCAGTTTACGTAGTTCAAGGGGGCTTCAAAAGATTTGAAAATGTTAGATGAAACTTCTGATGATGGATCTATCTAATTAAGTGGTTGTTCCTCTTCACTTAATTCATGGAATTTATTGAAGCTCTTCAACATATCAGGATTTTTAGCATAGTCCTAATTTACATCATCAGAATATGAATCCTTAAATAAGTATGGCTTGAATGAGTCCTTATGTTATCTTGCTACAATGGCAGCATAACTACAAGCAACCTTCTCAAATAAAACTCGTTGATCACCTATAGTTTATGAATTCTCAGATTTTCTAAACTAAATATATTTGCCATCATAAAATCTACATTATTTATATTCTTATATTACATATATTGCTGAGTCCTGCTTTGATAAGCAACTTTAGCTGCCTCACATTATTATTGTGAAATGGAATCTATTGATACATAATCTACAGCCTTGCTCTTTAGATAATCGGTTAGTTTATAGGCTCCGATGTAGACATTTTCAGCTGTCAACTCCTGTTCTTGGACTGTTAAATCTTCACGTCTGTTCTCATGATTAGGATATGATCCTTCAATTTTGGATGACCATTCACTCTCATAGTAATATACTGTTCTCTTATTCTTTTTGCTTCCTTCCTCTCTTGATTTTTGAACCCATTAATATGTTTCGACCTTTCTTCTCAGTTTTACACAGTTTCCAACCTCCAATTTAAATTGAGGATCAACGATAACGTCGTTTGTGCTTAATTTTCCTTTGACATGAATCAATTGATCTTCCATTCGAGGGTCTACTTCAGCTGGGTTGACTGATTTACAAGTTCTTCTTGCTGCTAACAACCTTGTTTCAGAGATGGCCATTCTTTTATGATATTGTATATTTACCTCCTCTCATTAAACCACAAGCAAGGGAATGCTGCTACTATCATCCCAAATCCAAAGCAAATGGCAAATATTGGGCCAATTACACTGTCGCTGTCACTATCGTCATCATCATTAGAATTGAGAGAATAGTTTCTGCACTCAATCAACTTGGCCAATATAGTTAAAAGGAGCAATTTCATACTTCTTTTTAAATTAATTAATGAGTTTTATGTTTAGTCATAATCGATTTATGCACTTCCAAAGCACTATCAAAGAAATGTATCTTCATAATTATGTACTGGATGATAGATAATTTTAAATAATGTGATTATTTAAGCAGAATAACATAGTATTTATGTAGACTATATACTTTTTGGGACATTTTTAATAAAAATTAAATTAAAATTATTGATTTAATCTTGCAATTATATTTATCTAAATTAAATAGGTGAATTGGGGTCGAGCAAGTATTTAATAGAATTCTGGGGAATTAAACTAAGGGAGTAATTCTTAATGAATGAATGAGTTTAAGACTTTGGCAAATCTTTTGGAGTATCAAGATCAATTTAAACTGGATATTTAATAGGTAATAGAGGCAGATATTAAGTTTGATGCCAACACATTGAAGGGGTAAATCTTGCAAAAATAAGTGTGTTTTAATAATTATTATAAATAAAATCATGTATAATTAAAATAATGAAAAGGTCGTCAATTCCCTGTTTGATTTGGTTGAAAATGACTTCATGGTCAATTATTTGATGGATCCACCGTAAGTGATTGATTTTATGTTGCTAGTCATGCGTTTCCTAGAACTAATAGCAACTAAAATTTTATTGGATTATAATAAAATTTCTCATTATTGGATAATTAGTATGAACCAATGGATTTGAAGTAGGAGGAGCCAATTGTGGATGCAAAGAAACAAAAATAGAAAAAACGAAAAACTTAAAAAAGCAATGTAATGATTTTAAATAGGAATGTAATTAGTAATCTGAGCCCATAAAGCAGAAGGATCCATTTCAGTATAAGAATAACTTAAAAAACACTTACATCAATAAGATCACCAATCTGGTTCAGCAGGATAGTCAGAAATTGTTACAACAACAATAGGCAAAATTTAGAACATCGGAGGAAGATAGACATGATAAAAATAACAGTGTTTCTTATTAGGAAATGGAGGACAGCACTCAGGCCAAATTGTTAAGAAATAGAGAATGCGCCAGGAATTCGAGGAAGAGGAAGAAGATTTACATTGAATTGTTGGAGCATCGAGTCAAACAATTAAATGATGAACTCGAGAAACAGAAGTTATTGAACAAGACAAGTGCAGGTTACTTGAATAAGATGAGTTAGAATCAATAAGTATTTGTTCATTAGAATATTCTTAGTTGTAAGGATTCTTTTTGGGTAGGCAATAATTATACGAGAAATTGGAGAAATCCATCCAAAACAAGGCAGATGACAATGAGTTAAATTTACTGTTAGATTCAATGAGATTTAGAGTTGGTGGAGGAGGCAAAGAAAGGGTAAGTGCCTCCAATTACTTCTTTAATTAAATCTTGGAGATCTGCTTTCCTGTTCATGTTCGATACATGTTATGGGCTGCAAGTGAAAGCAAGGACTTGTTTGCTGATTAATAAGATCAATAGTAATAGGAGGGACAACCTCAGTGGTTGCTGGATCTCACCAATGATCTATAGATAACTGACGCTTAGAAAAAATAAATGAAGAAATCTTAAAGAAGGATTATAAGTGATAAGAATAAATTATTAGAGTAATTTATTATCATTAAAGTCTTAGAATCTTGAGTTAATTCCAGGAAATCAAAGAATAACTATATAACAAAACCTCTTAAGTGGAGAACTTTGTTGATGAGCTTAGAAATATTTTAAATCCTACACAAGTTGGCAAATTTTTAATTGGCTTAGAGAAGGTATAACCACATTCATAACATAGAACAAATTTAAAAGAGAAATGGCAATATCCAAGATATGGAATATATTTGATGATCAGAGTGATGATGAAGAAGGAGATGTTGAAGTCAAAGAAGAGGATTCCATCGAAGAACCAGCAAAGAAAAAAGTATAAATTTGATATTTGTTATGTTACATGTCTCACCATTACAATATTATAATATTTATATCATTCTATTCCAAAATTAAGCCTAATCATTGATTTTTGTAAGCATAATAAAAAATGCCTCCTCCTAAAATTATAGATATTAATAGCATTAAAAATCCAATCTTTGGGCGATAGTATACCCAAGAAAAGCAAATAGAAAAGATTGTGATAGGCACTGCAGCTATGCAACCAAAAATAAAGAAACTCAAACCAGTTAGTTTTTCAGTTGGAATGAAGTCTGTTAGAAATGATACTGGAGATAATAAAATGATAGTTCCAATCGCCTAAATATGAATGTAATTGATATTTACTATTAAAATGTATCCAATACTTCTGAATATCCAAAAGAGCAAGGCATTTTCATTAACCACTTTTGAAAAGCATTCTTCAGGAGTAAAGAGACCCTAAAATACCCAATAAATATCTTTGATTGGCTTGCTATCATTAGGAACAGGGAGATTACAGCAAGTTCTTTCATGTGCATCGTAATCTCTAGCTACTGTTTTATTAAAAGTATCTTCAAATTACCAAACTACTAGTTTATTAGTGTCCCCTCTAGCTATTATTGTGGCATCACTACAAATTACTTACTTGAAACTTATTCTCAAATCTCCATTTACTATTTGATCATCAACCTAATGCATGTAGATGTAGTCATCTTATAGTAAACTTTATAGTAATACAAATTTACAATCTACTAAATCCACTATCTTTATATTTCTATTAGACAATCTGCACATTTGCTTAATTAAATTTGACATTCTAGAGTGGAGTGTTGAGTTCTTTCATCATGTCTTCTTCCAAGATAAATTAATGTAATTTAACACATTAATTTAGAAATGTTTATGCTTTCAAAACCCATTTCGATTTATCATTATTATATCCAAAATGATTCTCAACATGATGGTCCACCCATTTCTGCTCGTATTATTTTTAATCTCCTTTGACCCATTAGTACATTTCCACATATCGATGCAATTTTACACAATTTATTTATGAAACTCCAAAATCCTTGTCTGTAATCAATTCATCAGTCATTAATTGACCTGTGATGTGTATTAAATCTGTTGGATTTGATTCTTAAAAAGGTGTTAAAGAGATGCAATGTTATCTGGCAAATTAAAGCCTATATGAATTGATCGCCGCCCTTCTTTCATTGAACCACAATAAGAGAATTGAGAATGATATGCATACCAATCCAACAACAAATAATTGTGTATCCAATGGTCCTGAACCTGAACGAAGATGATTTATATGCTTATGAATCGAAGAGCCTAATGTAATTGAAATAAGAGTAAATAATTTCAAATATTTCATTAATTAATATTTTTTACGTTCACTAAACCATTATACCAATCCATCATGTGATCTTAGGAATGGAACAGTAGATCAATTTGACCCTGATTCAACGTGAGAATTTGCATAGGCCAATAAGAGAGACTTGGAACATTGTTTTCCTTCTCCTATACTTTGCTCGGTCTTCTTTTCAGATACCCTTGAACTTATTTTGGAATGATCACTCTAAGAATCTGAGAGAGAGGCAATGATGAATCTATAATCTACGGTTTCAATTGATTTCTGAATTCAATTCTATCCTAAGTCAACTATGCCATCCTTAGACCATAACCCAATTAAGTAGGATTTTGATGTTAAAACACATCAAATTCCCTTTTTGATGGTTTATTTGAGAACTTCTTGAGTAGCAAGGTCCCTTTGGTTAGAGATTTCTTTAAAGGAGTCTCTCTTATAAAGTATGACTTTGACATCTGAGGACTGACTTGAGCAGTAGAATGCTTATGACTAAATATAGTTTTGCTATGATGATGCTGCCTGATAGGAGGATTGTTATTTTATTGTTATTCTTCATATATGGTTTGCAGTTTGATGGGATGAGAGGATTTGGTCATGATGATATTGAATTCATCCATATGCTATATCAATGAGTCATCTTATTATAAATTTGCAATTTATTTTGTGAACTCTATTTGTTGAATTCTTTAAATAATAATAAAATTAGATTACATTTATGACAATTGGAGAGTGTCGTCCTTCTTTTAAAGCATGGATTGATTTGACTTATTTTAATACTAATTTATTTGATTGGACAAATCGTTGTCCACATAGGACATATTGTATTGTATGGCTTAGTCTATTTAGTTGAATTGTTTATAAATTTAAGTAATGCCTTATATCTTTTTATTGTACTGTGTGTATATCATTCCTTTTATCTGCTTCTACTATTCCAGTAGTAGTTGTTGATACTTCTCCTCTCCATGTATTACTCTAAACCCCTTAAAATCACTGACTTAATTTAACCAATACAATTACTCCAATTAGCAATATATTATTCAAAAACCTGGAGAGTCTGCTCCTCCATTCGTTTGTTCAGCTCTTAATACAAAGTTTCTCTTTCCTTTATCAAACTCTTAGCCTTTTGATCCGAAGAAAAATTGTTTTGAATCTCCTTATCCAACTATTCAATTTTAATCGCAAAACCATATTCGAAAGTACTATTGGCTTTGTGAAACTCCAACAATTCTTCAAGTTCTTCGTAATGTCCTATCAATTCTGCACGTTGGAGCAATTTAGCATTCAAATCTTCAATCAACATCTATTGCCATTCTGAATTCATTTTAAAATATTATATTTAACTGTTAGTATAAAATAAGAAATATAATTCGTTCATTTTTATAAAGTCACTATATGGCTCTTTAATTCCTGTATCTATTTATTCGATTTTTGGAATTGTTCATCCATAAATTAGTAATCGTGATGCCTATTCTTATAAGTAGCTAGTTCCTATCTTAAAGAAGCAGTTTGAGCATTCAATCTCTAGATCTCCTTTTAAAGACTGTAATTCTTCTCATCATTCAATTCCAAGAGCTTAATTCTATTCTTCAGAGCCTAAACTTCCTCCTAATCCACATTGGGCCTACTTGAATTGTAATTAATGATTTATTCCTTCTCTCTCAATCTTTTAAGTGTATCCTATAAAATTATGTTTTATTGTTGTAGTTCAGTGTCCTTTTATTATAATTTATCCTATATCTCAGCTGTGATTTATGTCAATTGAGTATTTTGCTCTTAGAGACACTTTAGTTTAAATTGATCTTCCTTTTTACCATCATTGAACACTTATTCCATTCTACTTTGTTTAGACTTCCATTGTTCTATTTCCAATTTAAGTTCATTAATGAGAACGTTATTCATTTAATTCTGTTAAAGTCTCTAACTGTACTACATATTTGTGTTCTTATTGACCTCTAATTCAATTTATTTCTACTTTAATAGTTCATTCAATTTATTGTAATCATTTTCAATAATGTTGTAGTTTTGTTTTAGATGATTGTATTACACATCTAATTATGCTTTCTCATTGGCTACGAATTCCAATTCATTTATCTTATTAGCTTAATCTTATATTCTAGCGCTAGCATATTCTATTTTCGATCTTTATTCATTTAATTAATCTATTAATTAATCAATATACGAATCAATTTATTATGATTTGTTCAATTCCATTATCAGATTTTAGTTTAAGGCCTTTTGCTATTCAAAGTTCCTCAACAATTCTTAATTTTTTTCATGCAATTACATATTCTCATGTCTTAATTACATAAAGCTATTCTGTTCTACTTACAAAGCAACAATCTCTTATTTTAATTTCAAACAATTTCTTTTCTGCTATTCCAATTCTTATTATAAAACTTGATTTTAGCCAATCACTCTATTGATCTCTAATTGTGCCTATTGTATCTCCTATGCCTTTTACGAGAATATTTATTGATAATAATCGATCTCTTATTGCAAATTTCTAAATTAATCCTACTTTTATTGTAATTAAATTTCTTGTGTCTGAATGGTCGAATTCAACTGATACACATAAGTTTGTTAATTCTTGTATTCAGCTATTTACTGGCATAAGTGTTGGTTCTCTTAATTGGAAAGCATCAATGCTTCGTTAACCTTCTCTAATTAATTGGTAACAAGAGTTAGCTTTTCTTGCAACTCGTAAGTGTATGTTAACTGCTGTCTAAGTTTATCATTCTCAATTGCATAGTGTTGCTTAGATAGATTAATGGAATAATACTAATTTTTAATTCAAAAGTTCAGTCTAACCAATCTATGGCCTATCTGACAACTATCTTAATAATTGATTATTTTCATTCTATAAATCTTGCTAAATAACAATCACACATAGATGCATACATATTTTTTAGCCAAGTCTTGGAATTGATGTTAAAGTTGAGAATCTCTATAGCCATAATCAGTACTTGGAGATTGTTGATATCTAATCGGTTGTTAAATGGTCGGCTATTAGTATTTGTTAGGATCAACATATATAGTGGTTGTAGGTATGTTCTGATAAGGGACATTCCTGTAGGGACTTTGATTGACATACATAAGTGTATAGAAAATTAGTTGTTACAAACAAAATTTATTAATAAAGTTAGTTATGTTTGATAAATCAAATTGAGACCATTACTCACTTATTGGTACTCATCCAAGATGTCCATAAATAGGAGTCATAGAGATTGGATCCTTGAGTCTCTTATTTAGATTGTATATCTCTCTGGCATTCATTTATGCTCCACTACGTTTACAACTAAATTCTATTTATTATATTAGAAATCAAATACCAAAAAAGATGATATAATATGAAAAATGAAAATCAGATAGTAGGATATATATATATTTATAATACTTTGGTCTTGCCATAAGTTTACTATTTAGAGGGGAATTTAAATATTATTATTATGTGATTTTACTCATAAGTATTGTGTTAAATTTATTATCAATATTTTTCTTTGGGTGATAAGGGTCGTGTAAAATCTTATATTTTTCTATCTGCATTTTTTGCAGACAATGGTTCTCTTATTTCATTCTAATTAGATTTTGGAAATGCCTGAGTATGTTTTTCTTCTAAGACAGAATTTAAAACTGCATTTTTAATCTAGATGGAGTGTGGAGGCATGATTTAACTAAAATGTGGGAAAATGCGATTGAATTTATAAAAAATAACCATTCTTGTTTGTAAAGACTAACACTATTTTTTTATTATTACTATTTACTTCTTTATAGAGTTCTAAGAGTTGTTATTTGTTAATAATGAGGCTTGGATTCTTTTCAATCAAGTACTTCACATCTTTCAAGATGAAAATATAGATATCTTATATATCAAAATACAAGAACTTAACTAAATGAGCAATTATATCATTTGGTACTTGTTCATTATTAATTGTTTCAATCAAGCGTTGCATATTCATCCCAATATAGCATTGATTTGAAAGAGTGAAGTAAATCATTAAATCATCCTGAGGCTTACCAACATCTTCATTTATTAAAGTGGTCTAGGATGCCAACTTGTAAATATAGCAATAATAGGATTGACACAATAGACCAATCATATCATCTGATCCATCATTTGCTTTGATGTTTATATTTAATTTGGTATTGATGATCATTTTCGATAAATCAGCTCTCGCTACCTAAGAACTGATAATTATATGGACTAAAAGGAGCATTTTGAGTTTGACGTAAAATTTTTCTTGTTATTATAAGTGATCTCCTACTACTTGTAACAATTAGTTTAAAAATAATATCTGATTGAAAATATATATAGGTACTTTTGTTTGATCATTTGCGAAAAATTGCTTAAGACGATTGCTAATTTAAAGTTGGGAGATGAATTTAGTGTCATTCACTATAAGTTTAAGATCAGTCAAGGCCAATAGGAGCTTATTAATAGCTGAATCAGCAGTATTGTCATTAAAGAATTGTTTTATTTTGGTAATCATAATATAATTATATATTTGCTGTTAAGTTTGTAAACATATATATATCTATTATAATCAATTAACAAATGACATGCTTTTGTTCATTAATTTATGATTTAAAGCATTAGCAATATTTTCGATATTATATGAAGGATAATAATATTCATAACTACACACTTGATCTAAATTATCCTCACTCTCTTCTTATTATGGTATAATAGAACCAGTTTATGATTTAGGTTACTACATGATACTTGTCGATTGCATCTTTTTATTTAATGAACTTGAAGAACTAGTTTATCTGTTCTTTTGAGTTCTTTTAACCTATAATTCATTAGAGTTAGTAGATTTAACTAAGTTCACTTTAATCGAATTTTAAGTGTGTGAATAATCCACATGTTTATGTACAAACTTTCTACTATTATAGGAGGATTCCTTCTCTTCCAATTTTATAGGAGGCATACTGCTTTGTTAATGGGTTTAACTACTGAAAGTATTCTAAGGTGAATTAATGGTTTTAGGAACTTCAACAGTTCCATGTTTTTGATACATCGAATAACGAGAGGATTTCTCATCTTAAAAATCATTCAAAATAGAATCTTCAAAATTATTCGTACTTCCTTGCAATCTTCCCATGACTTCATTGGTCAAATCAGTTTCTGAAGATATCTTGTTTGTAATTGCAAAGCTGATGGCAGTAATGCAAATAAGATTCTTATTCTATAAGGCATTAATCCTATTTCTGCCATTGTCTCTATAATAATTAACTCTATCATTGGGTTCAGATGTGTTATGAATAAGAATCAATTCTTTGAAATTCGGAACATAAAATACATGTTTGCATTTCGTGAATGTGTGATTCCTATACCCGCAACAAGGACACACTTCTTTGATGTAATCTCTGAGCATACAGAACTTTTGGAAGTCTTAACCATGCATCTTAATTAACTACAAAAAGTCATCGATATCCACATGAGCCACCAAAGATTCGCTTAGACATCTCAAAGTTAAAGGACATTGAAGTTGTCGATAGAAATATTAGATAGGGAATATATTGGTTGTAAGCACCTTATTACCAATGCATTAAGCGAAGTTTCCCTTCATTATGAAGAACAATTTATCCAATACTTAATATTGGTGATGCAATATTGTTCCATTAGGATAAGTCTAGGTTTTCAATTTTTAAGTCAAATCTTACAAAAAGCCTCTTGTAAATGGGAGATTTTCCAATAAGGGCATAAATAGTTCTTGTCTTATTTGATATTGTAAATCAGGTCTCAACCCACTCAAGTCAATAGGCTCCAATTTGTTTCGATTTTGATATCTTTATAAATTTTAACTAAGCTAAGCGCTGATCTTGTATTTCTATTGGGGCTTGTACTGTAAGAATTGTTTAATTAGATAAATTGTAACTAAGTAACCAATGATGGTGACTATGATAGAAAGTACTCTCAGGGGTATTTTGGTATCTCCATTGATTTCCATTTGTCTATCATAGGGATTGCCACTGTTGGTCAACTAGAATATGGTCCATTAAAATGAGGTTATGTACATAGAAATATTACTGTCTGAGAATCTAATTATGCACGACATTTTACTAATCTTGAGCCAATCTTGAGTATAGCGTTGAGGAGGTGTGTATTAGTAAGATGGGGATGAAACAATATGTAACTTATGAGTTGATCATGCAGATTCTTTGTACTCTCAATAAGACAAGCAGAACTATTAAAGACTATGTATAAATGTTACTAAAGTAATCGGATGCAAAAAATTTGAGCAAACAACTTATTAGATAAACTATATCCTAATATAGATACTGCTTAGCTATACTCCATCTGTTCTCTGTGTACATCTCATCGATGTAAACGCCAATGAAATAGTTACTCAAACTTTCAAGGATTGATAAAGCAACTTCAATAAGTTGATATTAATTACAAAAAGCTAAAAATAATTCTTGAGATTCATTGAATGCGAATTCCCAGAGGATTACCAAAAATCCTGTCATGTACATTATCAGCATGAAATAGCGAGTCCAGAGCACTTTTGGTGAGTAAGGATTAAATATAAAACAATTCTACGCTATGATATGAGCCTTATCATCTATTAACATTAAATGGGATTATTTAAGAATGTTTGGTTAAACGCACATAATTTTGCTGAGAAACTTGATAATATAAAACCATCTTTTGGGCCATTTGGGAATAGAGAATGAGTCTCCTTTGGGTAGGAGTGGGCTTCCTTGGACTTTGAATTTTGGAGAGGGATTGGGGAAATAGGAGGAGGAAGCCTTTCTCAATTATTCGCTATGTTTACGCAGGCCCATATCACTTTAATCACTAAATTTTCGGCTATTTTTGGAGATCAACTTTCTGCCATTTATGTTTTGCATTTCTATTTGAAATAACTTCAAGGATTTATAATTTTCCTCGACTTCGTCAATTTTGTTAAATTCTCGTTTTTCCATTGACAATCGGGAACCAAAGATTTCGCCCTCCTCCAAACTTTCCTTATGTTCACTCTTCTACAACTGATTAGGATCTTCAAAATTGACATGCTTCTACACTCCGGCTTGATATGCTTAAATCTCTTATTGGATTAGACGAGGAACTGCCAAAAATGTTTAAGATTGCTGGGAGGAATGCTGAGAGTTGCTTTAATCCAAACTATATTACTAATTAAACATTTTTAATTGTTTTAGAAAAGTTTAATATTTTCAAATTAATGTAATGGAAGCGATATATTGGATGCTCAGAGCAAGAGAACCTTAGATGTTGCAGAACGACCGAAATAAATTATAAAGAAATATTATTAATAAAATAACAGATTTATGTTAAATAAACCAGAGTTGTCAAAGGAATTGAGTGTTTTCCTTGAATTGTTGCATCAAGATAAGGAGGACTACAAGGGCTACGAGAATTATTTGATTGGCAGTGATCTCGATGACATGGAAAGTAAGAAGGGCATCAATAGGGATCTCTCAATTATCTATAGTTAACCTGAGAGCGAAGTATCGACTCAGAGAGACAATGCCTCTCTTAATATCGGGGATTTGTTTTCGTTAATTTTTAGAGATCTAGAAAATCAAGTGTATTCTACATTGTCGCAGCGAATCAAATAATTATAAGTAAGATGGTTATTTAACCTAAGTAATAAATTCATATTTATATGATGAGAGTATCTGAGAAAATCAACGACTTCTCCTTATAGAACCAGAGTCTCGAAACCAACAATAAGCTATTGGTTGAAGCTCTCAACTCATCCCAACAGGAGATTCAAGTCTTGACAGCCTCGCATGAAGAATCATCCCACAAATTGAAGAAATCTATCTAAGATTTGAAGAAATAATGTGTAATTTTAATTAATATCTATTAAGGAGGAATTAAACAAGTCTTTAGCTTACACACAACAGATCAATTCGAATTTGTTATAATAGATCGACAGGGAACAACAAAGCTATAAGAAGAACGAGGAAGAATTTAGGGATGCTTCTCAAAGATTAATTAAAAGCAATTAGGCTTTGCGGTATCCCATTAATTTTGAAATAGTGAAATCATCGTCAATATCGGCAACATCTCTCCTATGCACAAGAGTAAATTGCAAGAAGTCATCAAATACTTGACTGAAGGAAGAGATGCGAGACAGACAGAGCTCAGGAGTGGACATAGTTAATCCAGAAGATAAAAGGAGAATAATAGTCTAAATTATTGTATCTCAAAATTATCATCTAGCCACCCTCAACATCAGCAGTTCTAAAAACAAAAAATCAATGTCTCCTCAAGGATTCACATCCACAAGAAAACAACAAGGCGTCAATGTGCTGGATATAAATTATTAAATATCTTATAAAGAGTTATTTTTAAAGAGTTTAAAAGTAGCAAAGTAAAAATGAAACAGTATTAATTTATTTTATTACTATTGTCACATCTATCCAAAATGTTATGTGATATTAAGTTGATCATTTTCTTAATATTCTAATTACTCGATGTAAAATTGCTAACTCTAATAAGATTCTTGAAGCTAAGTGTTTTCGATAATCAGGTCTTCTAACCTATTTGTCAATTAAGTGATTTAATCTTGGAATTAATCTAAATTCACTTCAAATTAGAGTGCCTGCTCAGTTTTATCACTTTAAAGTTTCTAATTAAAATACAATAGAGTACATCTAACTATTTTTGGAGAATGTTGTTTTTTCGAATGGCTTCGGATAAAATTTAGGACATGTTCTCCCTTTGTTTTGTTAATTCTTAGATCTGATTTTGTATTTCCTTATTAGATTAATTCTGAGAGAAAGAGTTGCCATGAACTCTGTTGACGATAAAGGATTGCGGATGTTTATTTTCAACGACTGCTCGGATTGGCAATCTGTCATCCAATCTCTAGGTCAGATTCAAGATGCTATTGTGATTGGAAAATTGTCTAGTTGGAGTCATGTCTAAACAAACATGGATTGGTCGGACATTGGTTGGAGTAATGGCAAATCTAGTTCTTGGGACAGGTGCTTGTATTAGCATTTTTAATTAAATAACAGTCACTTAAATAAAATTAAGTAGCTGAAATGAATTATTTATTGATAACAAGGAATTCTATGGAAGGAGAGCATGAAGGATTGATTGGATGGGGAGTGAATAAGAATTAGGAGGGTGGTATTTAAATAGCAAAGTAATTTGGTTAATTTTGAATAAAATAAATAAAATTAAATTAATGATGAGATTTAGGCTGATTCATCTTGTATGATTTCATGATTCCAATTCTTTCCCCAACTGATAGATATATTGCCAATATTTTATATATATAAATGAATTAAGAGAAAGATTGCTCTTATATGTAACAGGTTAAATTTGATTTGCGTCGCCGAAGGATACACAATGGACACTCAGGGTTTGATTGTGAAGTACAGAAACGCAGAAATTCTTTCTCTCTGAGTTCTGATGCTTGTAAGAGTCCTCAAAGGAAGGCGACAAAATACTTCGAAAATCAAAATCCAGGATAGAATGCGTATTTCTGGAGTTTGATAAAGTCAAAGCGCAACGAGAATGAATAGTTTATTCAATAGCTTAAGTCTATGGATCCAATATAAGTGAATGAAGTCGAGCCAAGATTGTAATTTTTACTAAGAAGCTTTGGTTATGAGGATGAGAAGTCTATGTTCGAGATTGTAGAGAATGTGCAATAGAATTAGAGATGCCAACAATGGACATAGGAGGAATCTCGCATCTTGATTTGGGCGATTTGTAAATTGGGAGTGTAACATAATTCATGGAAGGAGTTAGGCAATCTATTGAATCGTTCAGTTAAAGAATTGAAAACGCATTGGACTGAATTGATCCATCATACACAAAGAGGATTGTTGTGGACAACCCAGGAAGATTAGACATTATAAAACATGATAATGACCTACTTGAATAATTCATAGACCATCAATTGGAAGTGTATGGCCAATGTTCTCAATAAGTCTGATAAGCAATGTTAAGATCGTTGGTACAATACGCTTGATCCTTCGATATCAAAGGAGGCTTTTAAAATTGAGGATGATTTATAATTGTTATAGTTGGTGTAGAAGTATGGTAAGAGGTGGAGGCGAGTGCAGAGGGAGTGGTCATTGAATAGAAAGAGGTCTCGTTATGACTTGAAGAAGAGGTTCTACGAATTATTAAATTAACCAGATTCAGGTTATGATAGTGATACATCTTCAAATTCTTCTTCGAAATATAGGAAATTGAATTAAGATGATATGGATAAAATATAGAAATTGATTTCGGAGATGCAAATTAGTGAGGGAATGCAATTAGAAAATAAATTAGGCAAGGACAATTTACTCAAGAACAAATTGTTGAGTATTGCCAAGTGTGACCTTGATAAGATGTTGAATCAATAGAGAAAAATTAAAATACAATCTGCAAGCACACCGACAGATGAAAAGAAGTATGACATTCAAGTGGAACCGGATGAAGTCATCATGAACACTCCTTCTATAATGAACTCACTATCGAGATGTCTATTGAAGATCAACTTAGAAACTGAGGATGATCAATTGTCTTTTGATAAATTGGCAGTGCCAAAGGTTTAATATAATGTAGATTCAGTTGAACATCTGAAACATGAAGATATTTTTGATATCTAATTTGCATTAGTTAATGATAAAACAAATACTTTATATTATGCTAATTTAGAATTCATGCAACAACTGATCAATCTGATTACCAATCAAAGGAAATTGATGCAACTGACTGATATGAACAAACAACCATAGAAAACCAAGAAGAAATTCAGTTCTTAACAATTGATTCAAGTGTACCCCAACAAAGTCGGGTTGTCACAATTTAGTTAGGATGATGCTAATAAACAATGAATAATTATTTCAACTAATTTACAACTCTTATTTTATATATTTATTTTGAATGGACTTTTAATTGCCCAAGAGGTATGGACTCAACAAACCTACTTTTAAAGTGATGTACAGTATATCCTAATAAGGGCTGGCTAACATTTTGCCAAATTCGATTCCTCACTCAAACCACTCAAAAATCTGAACACATTCATTGATCTCTCTAAACCCATTAAAGAACTCAATTACATCGAACACAGAAAGGTTCGTCAGATTATGCAGCATCTCAAATTCCAATCCCAGAGTCGCAGATTCATAAACCATTAGGATGAATAGATCGCTGCTATCAGTTAACAATTGGAAATGGAATTAGAAAATCTGGCAAGAGAAGATTGTCCAACACCCCAAGTCGATTTAGTCAAACTCAAATTCCCACCTGAAATGCAAACTAAATTTGTACATGAATCAGCAGCTACTCTCGAAACTCATTACAATCTGCACCGAATCAAAGAAAGAATGAATCATCGCAACATTACCTTAACAGAAAGTGATCTACTCAATAAAATTACATCAATCAATTTCTAAACTGCCAGAAACACTGATACTAAAGAATTTTATCATAATTTTAATAGTTCTCATCCAAGAGCACAGAAAGAACAACATTTATTAAGTCTTGATGAAAAGTACCAAATACTTAAGGAATATTTAAAAGAAAGAGGCATAGTGGTTGGAAGGAAGGAATCTGTTCCTAATGAAGGATACTTGTAATTCTATCATGAAGCAACCAACAGATTAATGAGATAAACAAAAGAGCAGTAACTCTTGAAATTCAGAAAGAGTATTACTCTCAAGACTGCTCCTGACAACTAGGATCATTCTCCACTTAAAAAAATGAGCATAACCAAAATTACCACTGTGCCAACTACTGTAGGAACCACACCTGCCTTGAATGGTGTAACTCCTAGTAATTTGACTACCCTTCATTAATCCATAATCAGATTGAATGCAGGCAACAATAGTTCCCCAGTCTTCATTTCTCATAGACATAGGATAGAAAGAGAGAAATCACCTGAAAAACCTTACTCTGAAAAATGGCAGGATTTTTAAAATAAGACTGAGGCTTTGCAAAGCTATTACCTTCACGAAGGAAAGGAATGCTAACAGACTTTGGAAGATTTGGAGAACACTATAGAAAAACCTTACTTGAGACACTTCAATCAAATCATCAAAGTAGAGTAAGAACAAGGAAATTTGGAAGAGGAATAAAAACAAAACAAAATAATGAGAAAGAGAAAATAGAACTTGCCTAAAAAATTAAGAATGCAGAAGATCTTCAAATCTGAATTATAATGATTTATGTGTGTGATTCTATAATTAGTTTCCCTAAATTAAGAAATTTGAGTATATATATAGGCTTAATACATGAACCTCAAGGCAAGTCCTATTAGTGTAATGGTAACACGTGAGATTCCGGCTCTCGAGTTCGAGGTTCAATTCCTCGGTGGGACGTTTTTTTTTATGATAATATAGATCATCAAATCAATTGAGCATTCCAAATAGCTACTTTTTGAATACAAAATCTATCATTGATTTATGTGTCTAAATAGTTATACACATCAATTCATTATTGTTATTATTATTGCTTTTACAATACAGTCTATTAGGAGAATACGTAATTCTTCTTTGTTAGAATGTGCTAGTCAGCATTTCTTTAATATTTTTGTGATGATAGATGGGGTCTAGTATGCAGTTATAAATCAATTTATGAGATTTTGGATGCTTAAAGTAAATAAACAATTAATATTATAAACATCTAATAATTATACAAATGTGTTGCCTCCTTTTATCATTGCTCTTTGTCTTGATATACAAATATGTGATTTCTTATTTGAGAAAACAAGATGAATTGAAATAGTAATAATATGCAAACAGAGCGCCTCCTTAGGTTCCAGAAACAGAGTTATCCACACAATATCAATCTCTCAAATCAGAGGTCTAAAAGATGAAGCAGGATGCTGAGGCATTGAATACAACTGAGACATTTGCAAAGTATAGTAAACTTCAGCGATAATTGATTCCAAAGGAGGAATTATTAGAATAACTAAAGAAATAATATGAGGAATATTAGGAATCATTTATAAAATAGTGGGAAGCTGAATAATCAAAAATCCCAAAACCCCCCTCAATATCTAAATAGCTTAAATACATTGATTATTTGATAAGTATTGTAATGATATTAGGATTCTGGCCATTTTACATTGAACTAAACAATGTTACTCTCGATCAATTTAATCCTATTTTAGGATCTATTGGTTACAAATAAAATGAATATAATCGTAGTTCAACACAGCTTTGGGGTACAAATTGGGTATTCTGCTGTCTTGTTGTGGGATAGTTAATTTTTAGATGAATGAGTGTATAATAATATATAAGCATTGTTATTTTGATTTATATCTGTCGCTAAATTTAGTTTTTCATTATTAATTATTTTCCTAATTTAAAATAGAGGGAGAATGTGATTTAGGTCCATTATTATAAAAATTACTTATAATAATTAAAAATCATAGGGATATGGTATTGAATGATTATATTCTATAGCCTCAGAAAGTTAAAATTAAAGAAAATAGGATTGTTATTGGTTACACATTAATTCAGATTCACCAATTAAAGATTTTGAAAGATTAAGAAAATTTGATAAATCTCAATAATATCTTGAAATTTACAGCTTAATTTAAGAGTTTAAATAGATATAATAATCAAATAAAGTGTTACAATGCTGAAATTGAATATTGAGTAGGTAATTTAACAGAGAAAGATTACTATATCCTTAATAACAGTAAGCTGTTTTAATCGAAAGAGTGTTACTTAGGTCAAACATTTTCAGGAAGAATACTGGACGAAACCAGTATATAATATATCTGCATTGTTAATAATCTTGCCGACTTAGTAGAATTGAAATGGAGGTTTTCTTGGAATCCATACAGTGAAGGATTTAGTTTGTTTACCAAAGGGGAAGTTTAGTCCTGGAGGAATGAGGATTGAATACAGTTATGCAAGTAAGGATATATGATAAATATTCTCATAATTTTAAGATTGAATAATTTATGGAAAATATATAGGACTCATATATATGTTTTATTGGTTTTAGGGAATTATTAATAATTTTATATTGGTAGATGGACATCTTGCCTTATCAACCTCGAATAGGTTTTACAAGAACTTAAAGGGTAAGATCTATGCTTTAAACTCCTATAAGTTTACCTCAAACTAGCTCGACTAATTTTAATCAAAACATTCAGGGATAAAATCAGTCTAACATCTAATTTAAAAGGAATCGATAGCTTCGTAATAGCTTCAGCGAGTTACCAGGATTTTAATTAAAGAACTACCAATTTTAAGGAACTTTGGGGAAGGGTTAATTTGCGAAGGTCTACAAGGCGTAAAGAAAAAGTGATGGTTTGATTGTGGCCATCAAAGTTTATGAGAAATGCTTTTTGAACATGATGAGGAAGTAGAATATCCAGAGAGAGATCAACATATTGAATCAGTTGGAACATCCAAATATCATAAAGTTGATTGAGGTGGTTGACAATTTGAGGGGAATAAATTTGATAATGGAATATGGGGGAGATGAGAACTTGAGAGATCTTTCTAATAGATCGGAAAGTAACATTAAACAGATAATTAGACAGATGACAAGAGCCTTGAATTATCTTCAAAGCAAATAGATCATACATAGAGATTTAAAGCTGGATAATGTATTAATAAACAATGGTGTGGTTAAACTAATTGATTTCGGATTTGCAGTTTAAACAGACGGCAATAAATTATCTGTGTTTTGTGGCACTCCAAATTATATGGCGCCAGAATTACTGCTAAAGATTGTTTGTTATTCTTATGAAGTGGACATGTGGGCATTAGGGATAATCCTGTATCATTTGATAGCCATTGCATATCCTTTCAAAGGGAAGAATGAACAGGAATTGTATGCTTGCATCAAATAGGGATTTTATTAGAGACCATAGAGCATCAGTGAGTTGGGATTCCAATTCCTGGATAAATTGCTTACGAGTAATCCCAGAAAAAGAATAACTGCTAAGGAAGCTCTTTTACACAAATGGTTAATCGAACCTATGATAAAATATTATGATTGATTTTAATTTCATTCCTCATTTATAAACTCTCTCTGGGTTGTATTCCCAAATAGTTAGTTGTGGTATTTTAAATCTACAATAGGTTAATAGATTGCTTTTCCATCCATAACTAAATGGAGATCCATTCCTTCTTTATAACTCTTGCAAATAAGAGATCTTATTCCAACTATAGAATTCCCCTATTCTAAATAACAAATAATACAAGTAGTTAAATTTTGAAACGAAAGAAATGTTTGAAAACACAGTAATCTTGTTACCAAGATTCCAAAAAATATGGTTACTGCAAAAAAGTAAATTGAAAAGAACTTTAAGAGAGGATTGTAATGATCAAATTCTAGATTTTGCAACGTCTAAAAACTAGTTTATTGAAACTTAATACGCTAATAAACGCATAGTAGATTTCTTGAATCTAAAATACTAAAAACCAATAATAGACACATCTATTCCTTTCTCCAATGCAATTGCCAGCCCAAGGACAATGATGGTCATAACAAGCTACACATTTGTTACATGATTAACAATGTTTAGCTCTTGCAATTTGGTCAATTGAACAAATTGGACAATATCTAATGTATTCAAAAATGTTGAACCTTTTCTCTATGAAAACCTTATTGGTTGCCCTAGTTGATTGAGTAATCTTGTTTCTCTCTGACATTCCTGGAGAATATTGTTCACTTATAAACTCATTCTAAACAGAATGCACTTAAATAGCTAGAGATGGTTGAAGTTTGTTGTTCCTTCTTTTCTCTTCGCTCTTACTAATCTGAGAAGACTTCTCTTCTTATTTCTGTGCATTGACATCCTTTTATTCATCATTATTGGTGATTGGAACTATGGTTTCATGTTCATTTTAGCTTGGAATCGAAAAGGCTTATGTGGATGGCTATTTGGAATCGAAATCTTGGAACATTTTTTATGCATTATTGGATTTAAAAGGAGATGGATATTTGTCTGGAGTTTTAGCAAAAGAGGGAATTTAATTCATGTCAAATTCTGGCATTTGATTAACATCCAATGAGGCTTCACATGGTAATTCTCTTTCAAATATTTAAATTAAATACTATTCGTTTTCTGATTTTTATTCTTATATTGGGTTTTGTTATTCAATAATTGGATAAGTTCTAGCATTCGAAGGCAAGGCTTAAAATTAAAACATTTTGCGTTTTTATGTCATTTAATTTGAACAATCCGTATTGCTAGGACTCCTGATTATCAGATAGCCAGGCTAATTCTTAAAATGCTATTTACATCTTTGAAAGAAGTCAAAGCATAAAATATCAAGGACAATATCATTACAAAAGCAAAATAATAAAAAGAAATTGTTGAAAAATCGAAGAATTGAGGATTAAGGATGCTATTTATCACTAAAGTGCTTCCTTAAAGTATCACATAAAGAATAGGGGCTATTTTAGTAAGTTTATTCTATACCTATCTTCATATTTCTTAGTGTTTTTAATTTATTAATGTTTGAAATCTCTAATATTGATATTCCTATAATATTATGGTATGAAAATATAATATAATATATAATATCATAAAAATATTTAATGTCAATCATCTTCATCGTTACCGCACAATGCAACTACATGGCAACGACTGGGGGGTGCTTATTTTTCAACTTCAGGCTCCATGATTTACTATGCAGCAAATTACATAAAGATCTATTCCAAATTAGGTTGACTTATTTAGAAATCCTTAATCAAATTAAATTCCTTTTGTAATTTTTCTTAAAAGAAATAAAAAGTCTAATGGAATTGGAATCCTTTCAAAGGAAATTTACAAATTATTTTGCCTGTGTGCATATCATTCATTATGTAAATATTCCCAAAATACTTTGTGATCTCCTAAGCAATCACATCTGCGTTGTCCTAATAAAATTATTAATTTAATTACCATATTATTTGTTGGTTCAATCACAACTCGATATCCATCTCCAAATTTAGATCTCAAATGTTGAACTGATCCTAAACATGCAAATCTACCATTAACTTAGATTGCAATCTTATTACAAAGACTTTCAGCCTCATCCATAGTGTGAGTGGTTAGAATAACAGAACTCTACCTTAACTTAACTCCCTATTGTATGGCATTCCATAAAAATCTTCTGGCAATTGGATCCACACCAGATGATGGTTCATCAAAAAACTACATATTGGTTCCACCCATCAAAGCCAAAGCAACACATAATTTCCTTTTATTACCTCCACTCAACTATGAGGCTAATGTGTTTTCATAAGCAGTCAATTGCATCACTTTCATAAAGTATTCTATAGTTTAATTCACTTCATCTCCTCTCAAACCCTTAAGATAAGCCCAAATTTATAGATGTCTCCTTACATTTACTATATCGTAGAGACTATCAAATTAAGGACAAATTCCAACATTCTAATACACATCCCCCAATCCTTTTCTAACCTCCTAATGTTCTAATAAAATAGTCCCTGTGGATGGCTTTAATTTAGAAGTTATCATATTGAATGTGGTTGACTTACCAGCCCCATTTGGACCCAATAATCCAAAAATTTATCCAGGTTCTATTCCAAATGAAGTGCCCTTTACTGCTTGAAATCCATTAGCATAAGTCTTAGATATTTTCTTAGCAATTATTCTATCTTAGCAAATTTGATTCTCAACTCTTTTTTCCTCTTGAATAACATCTTCATCTTGGTTAACACTTAAAATCCCTCCAGAATTGGCAGCCAATTGCTCTCTATTATCTATCAAGTATGTGATGAAAAAGTAGAGACAAGCTTAGAAGATCATGATGATCATAAAAACAAAAGAATAAGCTTTTTAGAATGGTGAACTTATATCATTATCATTAGTATCTTCTGCTATTTTATTATATACAGTTATAAATCCACTAAATGTTGCTAATGATGGGCACAAAAATGATAATATCCAAAGAATAGCCCCGAATTTAAAACATAAAACATAAATTACGGAAGCAATCAAAAAGAATCCAAATATCTGAAGCAAAACTAAGGATCTAACAGCTGATAAAAATTATGTAAATAGCCATGACAATATATAAGCAAGAGGTAAATATGCTAAATAGCAACAAAATACAAGTCCATAGACATTTGCATTGTTAAGTGCTTCAACATCGCAAATATTAACTGCTATGATGAATATAATCAGCACAAGGATACAAATAGTGATATCATAAAGATAGTATCCCAACCAATATGGTAATGTTCTGCATCCCATCACATTTAAAGCATACTTCTACTTTTTCTCTCTTTCTTCAACAGGAGCACTGCCAATTTAAGAACTAGCCATGGATACTCCAATTAATATGTAGACATAAGTATCAATTAAGGCAATTTCACCATAGACCAATTTTTTATTGGTAGTAGCATCTAATGTTGGTTCTATTGCATTATATGTGATTTTTGAAATCACAGGAGCAAGGACTGCAAAAAATGATGGCATAAACACACACATTAGATATCTTTTGGCTGTCATAGTATAATGCTTTTTAATGAAGCATGCCCAAAGTTGCAATCCAAAATTGTATTGTGGTGGTCTACTCAAACATTCAGGTGGTATTATTTTATTGAATTCCTCTGTAATATCAACGTTGATTTTAGAATCTTCATTTGTTAGTTGTTTCCCAGATGCTTTATTAAGAAAAGACTCTTCATCCATTCCTATATTGATAAATGCTTCTTCTAGAGTGTTCATCATTAAATTAACTTAAATAGATTGATCTCTTTCTAGTTATTCAAACAAGGGTAGGAATTTGTCTTTATGTTTAAAAGGAACCTAGAATGCTATACTGTCTTGAGATGTTTAACTGCTTGGTTTGGCTTAAGGAATGAATTTTTGAACGACATTTACGATTGTCTTACTCTTTTCACTCCACACTTATGGATTGTTGACTTTATCATATAAGCTCAAATGATATCCTATTCCAAAATTCATCTTTATAAAATCAACTGATCCAACAGTAAGCAATTTACCCTTGGCCATGATAGCCAATCTTTCTGATAAGACTTCAGCTTCATCTAAATGATGAGTGGTTAGTACTAAACACCTGCCTTCATTTTTAACTTGGATTAGAATGTCCCAAATCTTTTATCTTGATATTGGATCCATTCCAGAGGTAGGTTCATCTAGAAATACAACTTTAGATTGTCCTATCAATGAAATTGCGAGACTTAATTTTCTTCTTGTGCCTCCTGACAATTACTTTGCTAATTTCATTCTGTCATTAGTAAGATCGCATTTATTGATTATTTAATCTATTTCCATAAGGAGTTCTTTCTCATCGATCCCTTTTAATCTTCCATAATAGAGGAGATGCTAGTCACAATTTAAACTATCATAGAGTGCATCTTTCTATGGGCAAAATCCCAAATAATTTCTGATAACATCAAAATCTGTGTCTGTTCCATAATATGTGATTGCTCCACTATCTCTTTTTATTAGACCTGTCAATATTGAAATTAGAGTAGTCTTCCCAGCTCCATTATGTCCTAACAGACAAAGAATTTATGAATCGTACATTTGGAGTGTCACACCATTCACGGCCATAAGATCATTAAAACTTTTCTTCACGTTTTTAATTGAAATGGCTCTCTAAAATTGTAACATATACATTATTACCTTGGCTTATTTTTGATTATCGAAAACTTCATGATATATGGCTGAGCTATTGTCTTCTTAAGTTTCAGATTATCTTTCACCGATAAAAGGTTTGTTCATGTTGGGCAATTCAAATTGATTTGAAACATCCTCTCCTTAAATTTCGTATTTTTTTCCAATAAAAAACAAAGGATGTTTGCTTGTTCCATATTCGTTTGATAGAACTTATTCTAAATATAAATATAAAATTCCATAAAAAAATATTTCTGCTCCTTATAATCCAAAGTAAACTGAAGGATCTAAGGCTGGTTTTGTGCCTTTAGAAATAATTCCCAATATTTAATTGTATGGATAAATATCAAACAGGAATGTTGGAAACACAATGCCAAATACAATTACAATCCAAGAATGACTATTTTAAATAAGAAGAGTACGTTTAAAAGTAGGGGATGCTGAGTAATGCTGAACACACAGACCCGAATATGTTAAGTAGCATTGACACATCAGCTCCATTTTTAGGTTGGTCAAATAACGTTGTTAAGAAATATTGCTGCGCTGTCAATCCCATTGCATATAACAGATAACTACCAATAGTTTGGATAGGATTAAAGTAATGGATCGTCACTGTTTCATTATCTACTATGATTATCTCATCTTAAGGTCCAAAGCAACCTGTGGGTAGTGCCAGAACGAGAAAGAAGAATGAGACAGCCATAATTCTGGCAAAGTTGAATAGAAACCAACCTAACTAGTATGCTGATTGTTTTAAGCCCATGATCTAAAGATAAATGATGAAGGATTTTTACTTTTTAGATCTCCTTTTATCTGTCACTCTTCTCTGATATCATTGACGTGACTATGTACCTTGAACTGATCAAGAGAGTCATAGGTAAAAATTCTGCTCCAACTTAAAGGAGAGTAGAACTTGAAGTTTCCTCTAAAAAGGATATGCTGTATATTCTTACTTCCAACAAGCAGGATGACAAAGACAAGAAGTGCCACGAAGAACTCTTGCCTATATTACCGTTCTTGGTAATAAATGGTGAAGTTTTTGTGGAAAACTACGATGGCTTATTGCCAAATGGACATCATTCTTTTGATGGAATATTAATTTATTTAACAAAAATTTATTCTATAATTTAAGTTTTCAATTTAAATTTACAACACCAATTCCACATTCATTATTCAATATTATTTAATAAACGATGGCATGACATTTTCTACTTTTTGGTTACAATTTCAGTAATTGGAGAAAGTTGGGAATTTGAATAGTATTAAAGAATTTTTGAAATTGGTTATTAATTACCACAATTTGAATGTTAATATAAATAATTGATAATTCATATTAATTGAATAATAAAAATGTTAAACATTTGAGATATTAGATGATTTCAGATTTTCATTCATAAGTGCTGCGAACTAAGAGATTAGTTTTGATTGCAATAGGATTCTCAATAAAACTTGAGCAAGTCAAGTATTTTACAGGTTGTTGTTGATTATTGGCTGATAATGCTCTTGGATGAGCCTTAATCAGTTGTGTCTCTTTGTAAAACCTAATTGGTGGCATCTACTGTTTAGACTTCCCATTGTTACTAGGACTATTATTATGTTTGCTCACGTCAATCTATTCTTTTTTGGATAGTTAATCAGACTACTTATATACATTAATTACCTACTTTTTAATCTATTGGACTGACTTTCGGATGATCACCTTGTTTTTAATTGGTGAAGGTTTGTGTTGAACAATTTGTTTTTGCATGCAAGGACATAAACTGTCGAAAATGGGTTTCAATTGAATGTTACAGAAGTGATAATCCTGATTGTTCTGCAATGTAGTATATTTTTCTTTGATCAGATTCGGATATTCGATTTCAACATTTTAGACCCTATATTAATTATATATTAATATTACCTTTTTAAAGCATAATTGGTGTAATCAAAAACACTCTATTGAATAAGATTGTTTCTCAATCGAATCTTATCACAAAGAGCATCATAATTGGTCTTAAACTCCTCATAATTTTGAGTTTGTCTCTTGACTGTTTGATAATCACAGACCTACATATTAAGTTCATCCAGATCGTCAATGGCAGAATAGATATTTGCAAACATAGAAGTGAATGGAGTTTTTTCAACTTCCCTGAATTTGTTTCTGAGATACAAAGAAGGAGTCTCAGTGGTTGGAGATAGATCACATGAACTGTTTTTACTAATAGATAATTACCTTTGTATTTTAGAAATCGTCATTTGTTTTCGTTTAATTCTGTCAACCCTACTGATCATAGTAGTTGTAAGCGGTTTTTCAACTAATTTGACTTCTTCAATCTTTTGTGTTGAAGACCGAATGCGTTGATTTTCTATTCTAACCTTCTAAGGAGATGGTTCCTTTTTAACTTGATTGCTCAATTCATCAACAAAGTCTCTGTATTGTTTGCGAGAAGTTCCTAAAAGAGACTTAATTAGATCAGTCACTAATGAGATGTTACCAGCTCTGACAGCCTGCTTGAATTGTACTTTTAATTGGGACTCCTGATTGAGATGCTTCTGAAAGCTAGAATGAAGGATGTAATAATTTTCCAAGTATTAGTACAAATTACATGTAGGAACGTAGGGGATTTCTAAAAATTGATTGCTGATTGCTTTCATCATTTCGTTTGTCTTGACATAGATGTGACTAATGATGCCATCATATATTACCACATTTATTCTTCATTATATGATTTTGTGTTTCGAATCACTCCTATGATCCAATTCTCTTTCTCCACCCTTATTTTCTCCTCTTCCTTCAACTTCCTTACCATCGAGTATACAGTCAATCTCTCTTGTTGTTAATTACCCTTGATCTAATAAATAGCCTCTTGAATCTCAGTTATTTTGGCTTTTCTTTGCTATATAGCTCCTAATAGTTCGTCCATTTTAGAGTAAAATAATTTTTTATTATTAGATGGCTTAAAAATTTAAAGAGAGATTACTATAAGGTATCACCTTCCTTATCATATTTCTAGGTACTGGAGTGTCAAACAAGAAATTTGAATCTGATTATGCTATGAAATTGATGCAAAAGATGGGATGGAATCAAGGCCAAGGACTGGGCAAGAATAAAGATGGTCAAACTGATTGTGTCCAGATCGAAAGAAGAGCTGAATAATTGGCTGTAAGCCCATTTGTTTTATCCCTCTAGCTCGGAGCCCAACAGTACAGTCTGGGATAAAGTTGGAATGACTTGTGGTGGGAATAGAGCTATTCAAGCAGTCTCAAGAATCTTAAACCCATTTCCACTAAAAATGTAATCACTCTCTTCCTATCAATATTAGCTTCCGCAACCGATCTCCTCAGATGAAGAAGACAAATTCTCAGATTATGAAAAACACAAGATCAATCGTTCCAAAAAACCAAAAACTTATGCATAATCAGCTAAAGTTCTGATTGAATAAGATAGTGACTCAGAAGATGATACCTTTATTGCAATTCAAAAGAAAAAAATTAAAAAGACAAAATGATCATAAATAAATCACCATTCAGAAATCTATAACTTATTTACTCTTTAACTATTCCACCTCCTCATTCTCCAACCATTATGTTCTCTTCCCATCAGACCAAATTCCGTATTTTGCTGGCTGATTTGGCAAGTAATAAGCACCATAACCTTCTTATTTGCCATAAACCCAGTTGCCAACATATCTCCTACCGTCAGGCCACAAAAACTATCCTCTCCCATGCTTCAAATCCTCTTAGTAATTCTTTTATTGAATATTAACAATACTCCTATGAATTATCGACCGTCACTCCATTTTATTTCACCCACTCCGGTCATTTTGTTTTGTTTCCAATTCCCCTTGTAAACTCTCCCATCCTACCACTCATATATCCCATATCCGTGTATCTCATTATTAGCAAAAAACCCTGAATATTTTGACCCATCAGCAAAATAAAGAGTTCCATGACCCTCCTTCCTTCCCTCGTGATATTCTCCATCATAGCGAGCCCCATCTGGCCAAGACTCCATACCTTTGCCCTATTGCTTATCATTAAACCACTAGATTAAGATACACTACAATACTTGTCCTTCATATCGAGCACCATTTATATGCAAATACACGCCCACTCCATGTGCTCTATCATCTAGCCAGTCCCCTTCATATATGTCTCCATCCCCATGGATTAACTTTCCCTTCCCGCAACATCGACCTTCTACCCACTCTCCTTCATATATCGACCCATCAGGCCAAACTTACTTTCCAGTCCCATCCCGTTTCCCTTTTAACCATTCCCCTTCATACACTGCTCCTTTGTCGAGAGTCTTAGCTCCCAACTTTACTCTCACATCACTCATAGTCTCATCTTAATCAGTATTCAACACCTTTTAAGTATACTCTAAATTCTAATTCTTCGGCTTAGAAAAAACCGAGTTCTTACTTGCTTTATCCTACACCTCCTATTTATCTGCCTGACCCTTGCTCTCTTATTCTTTTGATTCAGGAATAGGTGTCTTATAATCTTCAATTTTATAACTTGCTTCTTTGTTCTTAGCTCTTCCTTAATTATCCTCTTTATCGTTATTCACACTACTGGAATCTTTTGGTTTATCTTTCTTTAAATTTAATTGTTTTTCCTCTTGTATACGATGTTCTTGAAATTTATCCCTGTCCTTCTACTATGAATTATGTGATTCCTTTATTTTTGAATCCTCAAATTCTGGATTGCCTTCATCAACATTACTTTCACTCTTCTGATGTGTTCTCAAACCATATTCTAAATCTTTATTACAGCAACTAGCCTGACAAGTTCCCATGTTATTAATATTAATATTTATGTTTTTATTTACCACTTATCCGACCAAATTTGACACAAAGAATATTCAGTAAAATTAAGTTGCTAATCTATATTCATTATATATAGGATACCCAAAAGTCCAAGCTTCGCTAAGCGTTACTTGTTAGTATTGTATCATAAAATAGATATATATAAAATTGTGTTGAATCCTGTACGAATTTGTTTGAGCATCCAATAAATATATAAATAATAAAAAGGGTAATGGTATAAGATATTTTTTGGAATTTCCAATAGAATAATATTATTTGGATTATTAATAAAATCACTATGATTGTTGCTATTAAGTTTACTCAATTTTATAGATGATGCACTATCCCTTTTCCTGTCCAAATGCAACGTGATAGACTTTATCAAATTCTCTAACAACACAACTAGTGGCCTTTTAGTCATGTAATTTCTCTGAAGAATCTTGCTCATAATTGTATAAACAGATTTTCTATTGTTATTGCTATTGAAATATAATGTTTTTATAATACCTAAGTACATGAAATGAGGACAATTGGCCATTGTTTAAGGATATGCATTGAACTGATCTCTCCAAATACTTATTCATGTATGAGTTAGTAATCACTATTGACTTTTCTTTCGAATATTTTAATTTTGTCCTATAATCCTACCACTAATTTAGTATCGTATGTTTGAATGGATATCACCTTTAAATTCGTATCTGACATTGGGATCATCTTCTTGGCCTAACTGACTGAGTCCCAAATGAATAAAAATTTGTTGCCACCAACATAAACATATTTTGAATCAACATGAAGTGCTGTTCCAACTTCCTAAATTTCACATCTCTTTGACTCTCTTAAAGTCTTTACCGGCAAGATTCTTATGACTTTCTCCTCTCCCAGAGTTACAAGTTGCTTCTCCTGTTGATTAATTTAGATAAGCAAATTGCCGTATTTATCAACGATTTGTGATGAATTGGTTCTAAATGTGAATGGATTCTCGCTATTTGATTCCCTAATGAAGGTTTCTATTTTGCCTCTTTTGGTGGCCAAATATAGTGTTCCATTAAAATCGTCGGTTTCCAAATATGCAACATCAGTTATGTCTGAGTCAACATTTAGAGTAAATAATTTTTGACAAGTCGAAATATCAAATCCTTAAAACAAATTTCCACCGCATCCTGCCACTACGGTCTTACTTAGAATCAATAATTTAGTGATCTCCTTTCCATTTTACACAAGTTAGAAGTTGTGATCCTATGAAACATTCAGAACTGTCTCTACTTCTCCTTGATTGTCCTCTTAGAAGGCATCTATTAATAAGATAAATTTGCATACCTTTGAGTGGAGATTGTTATAAAGGAAGAGGAGGAGCCTATTTTGGAGGAGCAGGGATGGAGCCATTAGTTGCTGGTTATTTTAAGTAGGGAGTAGTTTATTATAAAGGTAGAGGAGGTGCTTGTTTGGTTTTATTACTATAGGATGATTATTTAAGATTGCTTGTATAATTGGATTTGTTATCTTAATTTGCCGACTTCTTGGTACTATTACTGTCTAGGATATCGGTAATTGATATTTGTGAGTCTGATGTTTTTTGATAATTATTTTGATGGCCTAGATTATTCAAATTGAGTGGAGTGTTATTTTGGACATTGTTTGAATTATTATTGGTAATAGTATTATTATTGATGTTATTGTTATTATTTTATTTTTTAATTTTATTATTAGAATTCTCATTATTTCTATTATTTTTTTCGATCTCTTCTAAGTCATCGTCGATTGCAATGATTGATTTCTCCTAGATATCAAGAGAGGGTTGCTGAATTAGAGAGAGGGGGTTTGATTATTTTGGTTATTTTCCTTCATTTGACTCTTGTTCAAAGGGTCTTTTGGGTGCATTTAAAAAGTAGTTCTGTAGGTTTTTCTTGAGTGCTTCATGTTGATTTACAATCGATTCAACAATATTGTTAATGGCTGTCTGGTATTGTTGTGAATGGATTTTGCCATTTGCAATTCTTTCTTATATAAGGTCTATTTGATGTCCTTGAATCTTTTTGATGGAGAAGGAAAATCGATCAGGATTTGGTTTAAAGCTTTCAATTTCGGTGAGAAGTTAAAAGAAGTTCTCCTAATTCGAAGTTGATTCAAATTCTTTTAATTTCTGCATTTATACTGATTTGGCGGTCTCTTGCTAAGAAAATTATCCAATCATTTTTTTAGTGCTAAAATTAACATATAAGTTTACTCGAGTATAGTTTATTTAGATTTCTCGAACATTTCATTCAATTATTTTTATGCTTGTTCCATCGTAATCTTAATTTAATCATAAAAAGCAATAAGACTAATTAAATGTAATCATTATTACTCATCTATTTTAGGACTCAATTCCGCATTCTAAGAGTGAAGCTGCGATTTGAAGTCCCTCAGAAATTTTTTAACAGGATGTTTAATGCAAGATTAATGTTCCTCCATACAATAAACACATAATAGCTGATGTTTATTGCATTTTTCATCAATGCAAACCATATTCAAGAATTCTTCTTCGTGTTCCGCTATATTGCAGGATTGATAATGAAAATTTTGCATTTTATTAATTAGCAAATTTTCAGTCATGCAAATTTTGTTTAAATATGTATTATAAGTATTAAAAATTATACATTTCATCAATAAAGTCCTCTTAAAAATGTTACGCCCTACTCATTCTATTTCTTGTTCCCCAACACCGAGTCAGTTCGAGCAACCTTGTTCAAGGGACTTTTCACACTGAAATCAATTGGAGAAGTAGACTTTGTGGTGACAGCATTTCCCTTAGTACTCACTGCATTCCCTTTTGTGGGTTTCCATTCATAGTCCTTCAATGAGAGTTCATTATTATTCAAAAATGTCTTAATATTCTGGTTCTCTTTGATGGCCTTATTGGTAGTTGGTTCTGGTTTCTAACATCCTTATTTATGATTGTAGAAATATTAAGGTGGGTTGATTTCTTTTGCATCAATTCGAGGTTGAGAAACTGCTTTATAGAGATTGTTGATTCTATTCAAATTGTCCATCAATGAAGACTTGGGTTATTCTTCAAGTTCTTTTGGTTTCCTAATAACATTTTACTAATCGTATACTTTGAGTTCTATTATGTCTAATAATCCTTTAAAGGTTTCAATTCGGTGATATTAGGGTGATTCTTGTGGTACTATTACACAAACCCTAAACGCTATTAGAGACTGGATTCTTATGGTTATCTTTGCATTAGTGAACGTTAAATTAATAAAAATTTATATTTCATGAGTTTGTAGAAATCCTCTATTTTCTCTGAGTATTTCCAGTATTAATAATTGTTTTCTTGTGTTTTAGGAAATTCATATCTAACATCGAACAATTATTCCTGGCTGAAGAAATCAATTTAATTTCTGGTAGAGGATAAGTAGGTTTGATTAATTGACATCTTCCCAAATTCGATGGTAGATTGTTTTAAATTTATCCATTCATTTCTGTAAGACTCTGGCAGCACACATAACTTATGAATGGATTTGTTTAATTGGTAGTCTATGTAGTAGTTTATGTTAGAGCCTTTTCACTTATGTAACTTTAGATGGAAGCAAATGCCTTTTTAGATTTTCGAGAAATATTCAAGACTACTTTAGGTTTTTCAGATTCTACGACTGAAGATCTTAATTTATGTTTTTTCACTTCTTGAGATTATGTAACATTGTGTTCATCATTCCCTTATTATTGCGATTATAACATGAGTAACTATATTTCGCTGTTCCTTTCATTCCCTTGATTGCTAATATTACGAATGGTCGTTTGATGTTTGATGAGTATACTAGACATTCTCTTAAAAAGAGTCCTTTTTCTTTCCTTTGTTCTTTGCAATTCATTGGAGATCACCTCCTATTACTATACAATTGTTTTCGGGTATTAACAATCAATATGTAGCTACAATTCCATATCAAATGTTTTACCTACTTTTAAGATAGTTGTTCTGTACCACTTTTCCTTCTTTATTACTTTCTCGAATTCTTTATGCTACTCAATTCGAAACTCTTACTAATCCGTTTTAGTATTACTTCCTATTCTCTGATTCTTAGACTTTTCATTGTTCTCACCCTTTTTTATGGCGATTCAGTTTTTTGTAATGTCCTATATTATAGACTCAGATGAGGTAAACGAGTAGAAGAATAAGAATGTTCCATATTTTATTTTTTGAGATTACTAATGTTGGCATAGTTCATAGAAAGTATCTAGTTTTAAGTTGTATTAATTCTAATTTAAGAATTAATTGAAGATTCCATAATGAAATATTTTACAAATTAAATATATTTAATTATCTTAAGTCCAACCTCTTAGAAAAAGTAGAAATACCTTGATTATAAAAACTCTAATTTGCTGAAATAGCTTGATTTAAACTTATATCTCAACCTAATTTTCCTCCTTCATTCTTCTAAATTACAATTAATCTAATTAACTATAATAATTAAAAAATATTTATATAAGTGGATGAGTGAAATTTAATTTAGAGTCAAAAAGTTAACATAATCGCCACTTTTAATAACAAAATTATAAAATACTAAATTCTTATTCTAAATAATATTAATAAATAATAGGTAATGGCTATAAAATGATGTATGAGATTAAAAAAGTAATTCAATAATTTATGAATTCTTTTTTTTATTTGATCGCCTATTCTAATTCAAAAAAATTGATCCAAAATTTAATAATTTAAGTAGCCAATTCTTCCTCTATAAATAACCATTAATGACAATTCTTATATATATATAATATAGACATTATCTATTATTCTATTGAATTCAGAATTCTTTAAAGAAAAGTTAGCTGTAATTATAATTTTTATTATATTTTTTCTCAGGATTAATGAGTGTAAAATAAATGGCAAGTGGCTTTTATCAATTATATTAAATTTATATATATAGATATTATATTTGTTAGATCAACAGAAATCATCATAGTTTTATCAAGCATCCGTTTTTGATTATCACTAGGGAAAATTCAGAATCTAAACTCAAAAATTCACAAAAAGAATATTCTTGAGTTAGCATCTTTTTTTATTTTTCCTAGAGAATCTCTATTTTGGATAGGATCATATCAATTTCCTGAATGTTCCAACGAGGACTGATCTCGAAATCAGTCTTATTGAGTCTTTTGGCTTTGTGACCTAATTATAGAATTATTCGAATACCATAATATTTTTAAAGCTATTTGAATTTGTGTTTAAGAGCAAATTCGGTTCTTCTCTTGTATTTGGTGATCATTGACAATTTTAAAGATATGTCAGCCCACCTTCGTCCATTCTGAAGTAGCAATTATAGAAAGTGTAACTCCTCAGATCTAGACCATGGTTCTCTAGTTTGATTAAATGTGTATAATTACCTATTAATCTATGGATCAAGTTTGTTGTTCCATCTCTCTCTACATTGTTTAGCATTTCTAAGAATTTCAGATTTACAGATTAGATTGTATTGATTAGCAATAGAGCTCCACTTTTTCTTGCAACGACTGGTGTTGTCCCTAAGTAATAGTTAAATATGAATACAAAATGATTTGCAACAAAGTTTTATCCTCAAAGGAAGACCAAGGTTGTCTGGGAAGTTGTGCTTTATAGAAAGATTAGAATTTAAAGCACAATTCTGACAGACTCCTTTGCTTTGGCATTAACTTTTGGACCTTCTCCCAGTCGAAGCGATTCTTTAAATATTCGATCAATACTATACCTTTATGCATCTAGGATTTAGACTCAAGACAACGAGTTATAAGAAAATCTCTTCATTTTGATTCCAAGCTTCGTCACAACCAATCTTGGATGACTCATAAAGTTTGATAAAGTCATCAAAATTGGGTAGAGTTTTGAAATGTAATTTGAGCTTCAAAGATAGATATTCTGGTTCAATGGATTGAAGATTTTAGTATACTAAAGCCTAATCGTTAAGATCAGTAAATGAGCTTTGTGAAGAATTCATTTGTTTGATAAGATTAATAATGTATTATCTGAATACATATTTTATGATTTAAAAACATGAATTTTAATGCAATAAACAGATACAATCATTAATTTACAAGGTGATATAATAGACAATTAAGAACTTGTATCGGAATTTCTAAATTCAAACCTTACTAAGTATTATCATGAATAACAGCCATATATTAGCCGTTTCTAACTGTTAGATTACGTTATAGCAATATATATATATATAAATATATTCGCATTTTTCCTACAGTAATAATAATCATAACTTGAGTGCTCTTCTAAAATTATTATATACTATTTGTGGCAATAGAGGTTCATTCAGATAGGTAGCACAGTCTTGGATTAATTTAATCAGAAATTTTGGATGAGATTTTTTATCTTCAGATTCTACTATGTTTGGATTGTATTGATATGGAGCATCAGTTTCAAAAAGCAATTTATTTTTATCGATGTGATTTAATTGTTCCATTTTCATATTCAAACAAAGAGAATAATAAAAATTTGGATATAATTTATCCAAACTCCCTGTAATTTCCTTTGGACATCCATAACTATGCATGATGATAGCAGCATTGTAATTTTATCCCTTCAATTGCTTTTTAAAGATTTTAAGCATTTCACCTGAGGCTCTAACACAATGAATGCTCATGGATCTATTGTACTTGATAGCCAATTGTAATTAGTTTATAAAGATCTCACATTGTCTTTTTTAATCTTCCTTTTCTTTAGCTTTAATGAAATCTAATCCAATCTCTCCCACCTAGATTCTCTCATCTGATTTTAAGACATTCTCCATCTTTTCATACTCAACATTCTATTCCTTATTGATATACCAAGGATGCAAACCAATACAGGGTATTATGAATGGATATAAGTTAAGAAGGGATGGTGGAAGAAAATCAAAAGTTGTGGAGTTACAGACTACAGATAATATGAAGAGTAGTAATACTTATATGATTTATGCCTGAATCTGTTGATTCCTTGACGATTTGTTCGACATTCTCAAAATCTTAGATGTGAGAATGAGCATCTGCATATTTTTATAATTCCATTAAAAATAACAAAAATCATATTTTAGAAATCAATTTACCTTTTAACCAGATTCCATTATGCTTTTCTCCATTCTTTTTAGTTAATTATCCCATTCCATTTCGACAGTCACTTTCAAAGTTTCCAACATACATAGAACCATCTTTGTAATACTCAATTCCAGCTCCACACCTTTATCCAAACTGAAATTCCCCAATATATTTGGTGAATTAGGAATTTACATCATGATTATACATAATACCATTACCATGCATTTGATCATTAAATAATACTCCTTCATAAACCAAAATGCCTTAAGCATTATACAATTTACCGAGGCCTGTTCTGTATAGTCCAGAACCTATATCTTCTTATTATTCTTATTTGATATCCTTAATAATTATTTTATCTGAACTTTTGGAGTACTTTTTAAGCACCTCTCGATTGGATTTCATCAGTTTAATGAGTGTGTCATTGTCAAAGTTTTAAACTTTTTTAATTGGAGAATCTTCTACCTTGGAATTCCGTTGATGTGTGGTAGCAAATGGAGCATAATTAGTAATAATCTAAAAGAGATATTGCTATATAAAATTACAGTACGATATGGTCCAATAGGTCTACCTGATTTTATGTAAAATAAGTATTACTTGCAGAAGCAGTTGATGGTTTTAAGGGACTTGAAGTGTTGGTTGATTGCATTTTATTATATATTTATATTTGTGTTTTAAGTCTCAGAAAATCAATTTCTTTGGGGATTGATAATCCTATGGATCAACATAATAGTCTTCTCCCATTTTCTGTGTCTGTGATGTTACTGCTCCTCTGTAAATCAGGAATGATAGAATTAATGTTGGAATTGCTATATGAACTGAGTGTCTAAACCATTATCTATTGTAGAGCCAGGCATCACTCTAGAGACATTTATGAGATCATTATTACCAACACATAACGAGGAATTGGATATTTCTAAAAACCTCCCATTTTACAATATTTTAATTAATAATAATTATCACAAGTAATATTTCTATGTATTTAAAATGAGGATTCAGTTATTTGAGAGGAATATCAGAATGTCAATTGAATATGTTATAGGTAATTAATATTATTTAAGATTTGAAGAGGATGATAAATATCAATACAAAAGTAGGAATTTAATTATTAATAAATATTATCAATATATAATGTTAGAAATAAAAGATTGAAATTAATATCTTTTAATTTGATATAATTTTACTCTCCTCTCCAGAGAAACATTTTTGGTGGCCAATTTAGCATTCCAATAAAATATTAAAATCCAATTTACTTTATTTAATATAATATTATCTTTTTATATCAAATGACTACGACCTTGGGACCCAAGTTAAAGTTTGTGATGCCTCCCAAAAAGATTGTCGTAAACGAAGAGATTCTTGAAGGGAATTGCGATCCAGAATTGAGATAATGGAGTCTTTCCAAAGTGGAACGCAAAGTAAGTTTTGCAGCTTCGACTCTGGTATTCCTCAGATACTCAGAAGAGGAAATTACACATTTTAGATAAAGATTGAGATCCTAATTACAATGTAGTATAGAGTCGATCGAGTCTTCATATTTAAATCCATAATTGTGTAGTTTGGGCAAATCCAACAGAAGGAAGTCCTGCTTCAAGGAATACGATGATCAATTCAATTGATTACTTGCTTCATGTACTCAATAGCTCTATATAAACTTCAGTAGATATTACATTTTATTTTTAAAATTTTATTCATTAATTTAATAGATGTCAATCAATGAAGTTGAATGAGGAGAGCAACAGAACATTTATAATATATTGTACTAATGATATAAAACTTAACTATCATCAAATAATTTTCTATTTCATCGAACTGAATTGGGTTTCAAACTTATACACCCTCTAAATTACTCTTTTCATCAGGAATCTTTCCCATCCATCCAACCACCTAATCATAAGTTTAAATTATGTTACTTGTGCATCTCCTCTCGACTTCCCCCCTGTTGTATCCAATTCTCTAAGGTGGAGTTCAATTTCTCAATTAATGGCTGGAATATCATTTCAATATGTGGATCAATTTCCTCCATCCACTTGAAAATCTCCTTTATTGGCTGCACATTCTGATTTTACGGGTTGATTTCCAAATTGTGAAGACAGAACAACATCTTCGGTAAAACTGACATGTATAATAGATTTTTCCAATTTTCTCCTAAATATCTGGCCCAAGGTTACAGTACACTAAAGCCAAAGTCATCTCTATTAGTAAATTTCAATTGTTTCAATTTCTTCTCCACTTCCTCTAGCAATTCCTTGCTGTTCAGTTTAGAATTGATCCAAGGTTACAACCATTAATGTAAAGATATTGTTGAATTCAGATTCCATTCCTAAATCTTAAGTTTTAGTTTGGACATAACTATACCCATAATATCCTTTTATACTTATTAATCCAACAATCTTATAGTCTAAAATTGATTAACCCCCGTTTCTTCAGTTTCAACCAAGGCCAAGTCTTTCATCCACAATTCTAAAAATTCTACTAAATAATTTTCTTATGTTGGATCATATGCTGAAGAAAGATAATTTCTTAGTCTGATTAGAATGGGGGCAATCAATATCCCAATAAATCTTTTTAAATTATTCACATCCGAAGTTGAAATTTAATTATTTATTATAAAAACATCTAATTATTCAGCATATTTGCTTAAATTTTAAGATTTCTTCTAAATATACACATCCTTGGCCAAAGTGATTACTTTTGATATTAAGTGATGTTCATTTTATAAAATATCCATTTTTGTAATAGGTCCTTTCCACTTAATTGTCATTACCTTAATTTCCTATTCTGCATCTTTGACCAACAATCCAATTAAATTAAACTATATGAATTAATCACTGAACTTCCTAAAGCATTCTTCAAACTTTGCAAAAATTGGAAATTAATCATTCGAAATCAGAACCTCATCCTCTTTAAAGAATTTTAAATATTTTAAAAAGTCCTCCTTTCTTTTCACAGAATCGTTCCACTATGTAAATTATAATAATTCTTCTTTTTTTTCATGTTCCAGAATAATAATTTTATCCTTTTCCTTCTTAATACTCTATTCATTATTCTCCCATTTTCCTAAACGTTTTTCTAAAATCTTTTACACTGACCAAGTTAGTTCTTGAACTTCCTTCAAATATTCCCTAACTACTTTATTACTTGACACTTACACATCCTAACTCTTATTTAAATAATCATTAATATCACTACCAGTCATATCAATTATCTTGTACTTATTACTATTCTAATTGTCTTTATTAAGATTATCCATTATGTGATTCCTATCTAAATTCAGCACGTCTTCCTTCTTGTTTTAAACAATAGGCTATCCATCTTATTTATTTCTCTTTTTTCTCCATAGTTTTTCATATTTACTGAGTTTTTTAGATTAAAAAAAAGGCTTCTAATTATTGTCCTAAGTGGAATTATTCTCATTTTCTTGTTCGTCCTCCTCATTTTAATATTCATATTCCTAGACTCCCTCCCCTGTAAATGATTATTTCTTAACTGCAATCACTGGTTCCAGAATACCTTACTTATTAGCTCCTAACCCTTCTCCATATTTATATCCTAATTTCTACAAAAACTTCAACCCAACACCATAATCATGTTCTTCCACTCTTTTTTCTAATGTTTTTTTTTCTTATTAAGATAGATTTTTTTTATTTCTACTATCTTTAAATGCAACCTGCTCTACGGTTATTGTTTTCTTGCCATCATCTTCTTTGAAAACTTGTGGTTTCTTCTTTAAAATACCCTTCGGTTTAGGAGATGGAGTTTAACTCACTACCTCAATTATGGAATCATCACTCTCATCATCTTAAGCTTCTCCTTCAGAATCAGAATTGAGTCTGTACAATTACCAAGAACGTCTTATGTTATTTGAAAGATGAAGCTTCTCTGCCAAGGTCAAATACTCATCTTCATTTTTAACTATCGGATGGACAACATTGTTCTCAAGATTAAATTGAACCTATCGCTTTTACTTTATCCTATACTCTGTTTGGTTGACTTTTTCATTCTTCGGCATATTCTTATCAATTATCTTTACTGTCACACCCTTCTCCACATTAGACAAAAGTGAGGCATTGGATTTTTGAAAATTAGCGAATGCTTAATTTCTCTGGTATTCTTTATATATTTGTTAGTGTTAATTGTTGGGAGATTCCTAAACTTACTCTTTTGGATTTTATTCGAACTATTCCTAAAAGAGATTTAATCGAGCTCTCTATTGTTATTTTTGAGGAATCTTATATTTTGGTATTTCCATTTCCATTTCATGTTAATCATCATCATTTACCTTAGATTTCTTAAATCCCAAGCCTGTATGAAATAGTAAATCATCATCACTGCTAAGATTGTCAAGATCAACTTTCATCGATTTTAATAATTTATATTATGTATTTATTAACTTCATCAAGAAGCATAATAATCCTTATTAGGTCTTTCCTCTTGCTCTGTTCTTCTCAAGTAAGCCAACTCATATGAAAAATATGCAAACCAAGAAATACCCATAACCATCCAAAAAGCACCATCCTTTCTATCATAGTTTAATAGATTTCGTACTTGTAATTGATAGTCCAAGGTCTGTAGTCCTTTGGATAAGTGAATTATTCAGTATAAGCTATTGGGGCTTATTGTCCTGGATTGAAATTTCTAATACTTGATAAGATTTGAATTACCTCAATGGTCGGGACAAGTTGACACTTTTGGTATGGCTTAATCCAATTTACTCAAGTTTGGACACATTTGTTTATCCATAACGATAAGCTGCCCTTTGTATAAAATTCATTTTTAATATTAATATATGTATATATTAATAATTTATGGTAAAATTCAACACAATCTGTAGGTCTGGTTAAGAAAGATCGACAAATGCTGATATTACTAAAGTATATAGGAATCCTAATCCAAAAGTACATCCTTTAGCACATGCTAGAGAATATCAACGTGCTTTGGTGGCTACAAAAGTAGAGAAAATATATGCTCAACCATTCTTGGGAGCATTGAATGGACACTCAGATGGAGTAAGTTGCATTGAAGCATGCAGATTCAATTTGTCAAAATTAGTAAGTGGAAGCTATGATGGAGAAATACGAATTTGGGATATTCCCAGTAGAAGAACATTAGTTTAATTAAGTATGGAAATAATCACTAAATTTAATAGATGCACATTAATAGATGGTGAAGGGAGTTTCATTTAGTAGAGATGGAATGCGTGTAGTTTCTTCTGGCGAAGACAAAACCATCAATTTGTATGATTTTCCTTAATTATTGGAATAATCAAATAATACATTTTAAGAACCATTGATGAGATATTTAAGTAAAGGAACTTTGGGGAATGTTGATCATAATTACTAGTTATCGTAATTTGCTACTGCAGGATAAGTAGTTTAGGTTTGGGATTATGAAAGACCAAAGCCAATAATGAAATTCTAATGGGGAGTGGATTCAGTGAGTTGTGTGAAATATTCTCCAGCTGATAGTAATTTAATTTGTGGAACTTCAATGGATAGATGTGTAATATTGTATGACGTAAGAGCTGAATCTGCAATTCATAAAGTGGCTATGTTGAACAAGTCTTAATGTTTGGCATGGAATCCCATTGAACCATTAAATATTGTAATTGGGAATGATGATTCTAATTGTTATACATATGATATCAGGAAGATTGAATAGCCTACCATGATTCATAAAGATCACATTTCAGCTGTCATGTCAGTTGCATTTAGTTCAAGTGGGAGGGAATTCGTTTCTGGATCATTTGACAGAACTATTAGGATATTCCCATTCAATAAAGGGTATTCAAGGGAAGTTTATCACGGATAGAGAATGCAATAAGTGAACTCAGTTTCATTCTCAGCTGATGCTTAATTTGTGTATAGTGGATCAAATGATATGAATATCAGAATTTGGAAGGTCAATGCCAGTCAGAAGGTAGGAACTATTAATCAAAGAGAAGTCAATGCAACGAATTATAGATAGGCACTGAAAGAGAAGTTTAAGTATAATCCAGAAATCAAGAGAATTGCAAAACATAGACATCTACCTAAATACCTAATGAATAAAAAGAAGTAGAGACAAGAGATGAAGGAATCTAAGAATAGAAAACAACGAAATGCAGAACTCAACAATCCAGGGTAATACGAGGCTCCAAAACCAGAGAAATAATAAAGGGTCGAACAATTTATTTAATGATATATAAATGTGTTTTAACAAAATTTAAAAGTTTAATAAGTTAATTAATTAAAATATGAAGAAAAAGCTATATAAATTATCATTATTTTAAATACTTAATTTTTATTTAACAGGTTTAGCGATGGATCAAGTGGTTCTTAACGAATATTTTTCAACGCAGGAAGAAGAGATAGATGAAAATAACCATCATTCTGAAAATTCTAGAGAAATAATGCTTTCGTTAAGAGGAGCTTTTTAAAATGGTCTCTTCTCTTATAAAATGTATTCAGAATGCCGACAAGAATATGTTTTAGAAAAATAGTTTAAAACAACAGAAATGGAAAAAGACATGTTGTACATTATAGCAGATTATATGCATTCACTCTTTAAAGTCCATGCATATGTTAATAAAGCAACATATGCTTGGTATGTTCATCATTATTAAAACAGTCCTAATTTTATTAATTATGCTATTGAACTGCCTAAAATAAAGCATCAGATTCTTGAAGCAGAGGTAGATTGGTATATTGAAAATATCACAAAAGACCTAGAAATGGTTGCAAAAGAAAACTGTCCTTCTTTATTTCAACCTGTTGCAGAGCAAGATCCACGAGAAGCCTGCCATACTCGTGCTGTCATTAATCATGCATTAGAACACTTAGAATCTATTGCAACAAAAATGACTCCTGCGAATACTTAAGATTACACAAAAAAGATAGAACGATATACATGGTGCTTAACAGGGATGGTCCCTTTACTCCCAGTTCAAGAATAAGACCCGTTAAATAATATGGCATTCATTAACGCTGGCAGAAAGCACGCAAAAAAATTCAACAGATCGCCCTTTGATTTATTTTTAGCACCCTTTATGATCTCTTTGTCTTACTAATAAGTCTATTTAAATGATTTTCTTTTTGTTTACATATCCCTTATTCATTTTTATCTATTTTTCTCATATTTTGCAAAAATAATTCCTTTTTTTTGATTTATTTAGGATCAAAATACATCTCCTTTAGAGAAGAGTCAATACCAATAACGAATTCGAAGAAGAAAACCGTTGTAAAGATTTTTCTGAAAGTCTTTCAATATTAGCTCATAGTATGAAATCAAATTTTTTTTTCGACAAGGCAATTATCAATAGTTGTAAAAACCTGTTAACGTCGAGATTGTAGAAATTATTAGATCTTCTACAATAGAACAGAAAGGAATTTTAGAACCAATATATGGACAAGTAATATCTATTTTTTCCTATTTTGTAAATTAGACAATAACACAATTTCTCCTAATTAAATAGAGATTGTTTTTTATTTAAAAAAGTGTAGTGTTTTCGTTATGTTAATTAATTATTTTAAACTATTCATCCATATCTGATGAATTTCTGAACTCTATACTCGAAGCATATTGTACTCATTCATATAAATTATTCAAAGAATCATAGATCTTTATAAGCAGCAATCAAACCTTTAGTTCAATTCACTCAGAATAACCTCAATTTATGCAAATAGTATTTTGACAAATCCGAAGAAAGCGAATAATCATTTGACTTCAACACCACTGATATTAACCAGACTTAAATTAAATATTGATGCCTATAACAGAACCACCTTAATTATGAGAAACATCCCGCAAATTTAGAAGCGTATTAAACATCATTCGATATAGTTACCCTAGGGGATCTTTAGAAGGATAATGCGAGCATCTAAAATCAAATGGCCATTTTTATTATGTATATTTCTAAAGAGTATATGACTTTTTTGTTGGAGAGAAAGGCCGAAATTACCAGTTGGTTCAAAGACAGAGAATTATTTTAGCAAGTGGTATTTTAAAAGATGCACATATTCTTATTTTAGATGAAGCAACATCAAATATGGATTAACTGACAGTGCAGAATATTCAAAATCATTTATGGGAGTTTATGAAAATTAAACAAATATAATTATAACTCATAGATTATTAACTTTATTGTTTATGGGTAGAATACTTGTATTGCATCGTAAAAAATCATAAAAGATGATTCTCATTCAACGATTTATCTCTTGGCATATACGTTGGCAATCTAGCTATTCGGAACTTGATTTTTCTAAGTAGGTCTCCAAATTCAAAAACATTTTAGAATACTTTAACTTCTGTTTAGATAGATTTACCAATCCTGACTATGCCTTCATCAACTTAAAGTCCGAATCTTACGTACGAGATTTCTATACACTTTAATGGAAGAAAGTGGAAAATACTCCTTCCAATAAAGTATTTTATTTCAATATTTAAATAGGCATGTTTTTTAAAATTGCGAAAATTATCATTAAAATTCAAACTAATAAATTCTTAGATTTATTTACAACAGCACAGCATGATGAAATTAGTCTAGAACCAGAAGTTACAATGCAATTTTTGAATTAGAGTAACGCTTTTTTCTACATACATATTTTATTGTTTTTTATTAATATCAATACTTAAAGAAATATCAATTTAATTGAAGTCTCTCTCTTAAATACTCCTTGAGTGTAACAATCTTATCTTAGATGTGATCAGATATTCTTGATATTAGATCTTAGGTCTAAACTCTAGATTGAGTTTCCATCTAATAGATATCTTATTGTTATCTACACCATTAATCTTATCCTTCTAGGTTGTTCTATTGTATAAATCTCTTTTTACCTGATTTCTCTCTACTTCAGCAGCATGATATTCCACTTTCCCTTCAGACTCTTCAATTATGCTTTGATAATTCAATATTGCTTATTCTAAATTTTATCTCTGATCTGATCTAAATATATTTAGCATAGAAATGTTACAATGTGTTTTTCTCATTTGTTAAGTCTGACAAGAATTATTGCCAATTCAAGCTTTGTTATTTCTCAATGGATTCGTCATTTCCTTTGCTTTCAACTATCTGAACTCTCAAATTGGCCAACAATTAAAGCACTTTCTTAGCAGTGTCTGAATCTGACTTTGAAGACAATTGGGTCATCATTGTTAAAATTGGTTAAAACAACAAACCTGTAGATTGACTATCACTTACTGAAATCTAAATACCTTTGTAATCTCTATAGAACTTTGTTAAATCTTCCCTTAACTTGAATGAATGAAGAACCTCCAGACAAATGTTCAATGAGTGCATAGGCTTCATCTATTGCTGAAATTGCTTCAGTATGATCCTTTATTTTGGATTAGAATTCTGCATATTATAAGTCTCTTTCACTTTATCCAGCATTAGTTTTCTTTGAATTTTCTTCAATTTCCACAGAAACTTCAGCAATTTTGTTGAGTGATCTTTATAAATTGTTTGTGTTTTCCTAAGATTATTATAATTTATCTAACATCAACTATTTTTTAGTGTGCCTTCAATTAGCTTTGATGATAAGCCAAGTTTGTGGAAAAGTCATGCAACAGTCTATTGCATGAGGCTTATGTATTTTGAATAAAGAGATCTGAATCCTTTTGTTCTTATTCCAACATGAATCTGATGTTATGCTTTGTAATTACCTGATATTGTTGATGTAGCTTTGAATTTCATGGACAGGTGATCCAGTTGCAAGACTGATTTGAATAGCATTCAAAAATGTTTTGCCCATATGATGGTCATCGATTTCGGCTAAGACTATCTTTGGATCTGTGCCTAATTTGCATAATGCCTATTATCCTATGTGAATACTACCAAGCCAATTAGAACTAATAATAGTATTTTCATTTTATTATTATTATTAAAAACGAATACAAATTATAAATACATTCTTTGGAAGTGTACTCATAATAATATTTTGATACAAGCACACATCTATAAATAATTTATATATATATTTATATAATAAATTATTTATGACTTCAATTATTCGCAAATTCTAGAACGAAACCCTAATAAAAAATCATGTTTTCTCGTTTGTAGGCTTTATGGCTGGATTGAAATTGTGTGATTATTTGCTTTTCGATGATGTATTTTGAAAAAGCATAATAGAAATAATTTTAAGAATTAAAGGAAGATATGGAAGATGAATTTTGGGCTCATAATGGTGAGCCCACCTAGATCCAACCATACATAGTTGATTCTGTAAAGGGAGGCAAGAGGAAATCTTGGATTTACATTATGTACGAGAAGGATCAATTAATTAAAAAGAAGGATGAGTTTGATTGAATGAGTTGTTATATAATATCAAATATACATATATATATTTATATATATCAATCAGATTCATCATCACTAAAGGGATAATCAATATGATACACATGATTTGAATTTTAATCCTTAACTACTTGTATATGTTCACTTGTTTTGAATGAACTTATATCAATTGATTTGAACTTCTTAAATTCTTCTGAAAGAGTGGAGACTGATGAATGTTTAACGGAATGTCTTTTCCAAATTTCCCCTGCTCCAAAAAGGAAGCAAAGTTATTTAATTTTCTTCTCGCTCACCTATGTTTCTTGAGGTTTCCAATTCAAAAATCGAGCCATATTCTTTTTCAATCTATCCCTCGGCAAATCTGACTAGTTCTGTACATTCTTGACCCAAGGGTGATCCAAAGCCTATTATGGAGTTAGTCTTCTTTAAGGATCAAATTGTAATAAGTTGCTTATCAAATCTTTAGCTTAATAAGATATCTGATCCCAAATGGGACCCACCATCTCGTATTTGCATTATTAAATCTTGTCAATCAAATCATTTAAATAATCAGAATTAAATGGTAATTCTCCACTTAACATTACATATAAGATCACTCCTGCACTCCATAAATCCACTTATTCACTAAGTAAATGAATGTTGTTACTTGTACAAACCTCCTGAGAATATCTCCGGGGCTGAAAAGGCCACCGTCCCTGTATATGTCCACATCTCTATTTTTCCATGTTCATTCAGATTCCCAAATTCTTTGTATCCATCCGTAAACTTAGAAACCTTGATTAGTTTGGGAGTATAATTTACATTAAAATCTGTAATCTTGATAGATCTACCATCTTCTGCACATAAAATATTATTAGGTTTCAAGTCTCTGTGACAACAATAGTTTTCATGCATGTAATCAATTGCTTCCAATACTTATTTAAATAAGATTCTGGCAATGCACTCTATTCTTATTTATTCAAATACCACTGTAATTCTTCTATTTTTAAATCACCTCAAACATCTCACTTCCTTTAACCTTCTCCATTACTACATAAACAGTCCCAGTTGATTGAAATCCCTCGTTCCATTAAATATATAATTCCTCCATTTTTACAATGTGAGGATGACTCAACTTTTTTAGATTCTTGAATTCCAATATCATCTAACTCATATATGATTATTATCTACATTCTTCACTATTTCCTCTGCATCCGTTTTAACTGTCTTACATGCAAATTCTTATCCATCATTCTTTCTTGTTATGCTCTTTACTAATCCTATACATCCCTCTCCCAATACTTCCCCTTCCACATACTTCTCTTAAAATTCACTCAGCTCAAATTTTATATATTTATAATCATCCCCGTCTAATTCAACACTTATTCGACTTAAAAATTATTATATTTCCTATTCTTTATTATTTCCATTGTCGTTCTTACTTATCAATTGTAACATCTAACCTATTCTATTCTACACCAAACTCTTACCTTTGAACTTATTCTTTAATTATTGCAAAGTATTTGACTATGGGTTATCACAAACAGGAGCTCGAGAAAATGAAAATTTGCTCTTTCTTCTCTAATTTTATAAATCCATATTTTATTTAATAATACTTATAAAATCAATAATTTCATATTCTACTACTATCGCTACTAATTTCAACAAGTTTAACTAAATTCAATAACTTACATTTACAATTGCCAAGCTTTATTTATATTATTAATTTTCTAGGTCAAATATTTTGTACTCTAAAAGTCGATCTTTACCTTCCCATTAAAAAAGAGGCGTTCTCCTATTCAAGTAGCTTTCCCTCAAAGTAGTAGATGATTACAAAAAAGGAATTTTACCCATTATCTATTCTCAAAATTGATATATAAGACGAGTAATAATATATTTTATAATACTACTCAAAATTTTATTTTACTCAAAAATTCCTTTTCAATCATCTTTGAAATCTATCTTTCAATTACTTACACTTATTTATCATTTCTTTCCATTAACTTATCAGAAAATATAATCTCATTGTTATATGTAACTATCACTTAATTTTCAATCTAATTTTCAATTGTAAGTATTTGAGTCGATTTTTAATTGCCCACTCCTAAATTAGAATCAAATTGTTTCTGAGCTACTATGTTGAAGTAATTTGCTTGAAATCTACTAAGATGTCTTTACAAAGTCGAATACATCCTGAAATTAAATACAATATACCTCTTATATGTTGATTAGTCAGAAAATACAAATATTTTTATTTGGCCTTATAAATCCTCCATCTCCATAAAAAATTGATTATAAGGATCAAAGTATACAGTTGGAAATGATTTATCAGATATTTTATTTGCTTTTAATTGAGCTTGGAGAACTATTTCATCTTCCTTGTGCTTAAACTCAAGGTTCAATTTTCTATATTCGTACCAATTAAAAAGAGCCAAAGGAGCACATATTAATGGTGTATAAACAAGTAATGGTTTAAGTTTTATCTTTATTGGACCTATTCTCATAATCAAAATTTAACCAATAATTATTTAATTAAAAAATAATGCTCCAGCAGACATCATAGTGTTCAAACTGCAGAGCCTAAATCTCTGATACAGTATTTGCATTGCATGAAATTTAGAAATAATATAGAAAGAGAGATGCGAATAATTTTTTGAAAAAATGATCCTTAATCTCATGAACAAGAATTTCATAAAGGTACTTCTTGTGAGTTTTTGGAAAGAAATATTCTAAGGTATTATAATATATTTAAAATAGATATTTCAACACATACCAAATGTCCCAAAAAACCAATCTAATTTATTGATGGTGGATTGGACTGAGCAAGAGAATTTATATTTTAACACGAAAACATTTGTGATAGTAGAACAGAAAAGTGTGATATTTGCAAACAATATTTAATGTTAAGTGAATTAATTTACTGATAAGAACCTGAATAAGTTAGCAGACCATAATAATTTTTAATAAGCAAAGCATGAGATTTTTGGTTATGAAAGGCCATCCTTCCCTTCTAATAATAATAAACTATATACCTATAAATAAATATGTTGATATTAAAGTAGATAATTATTCTCAAAATCACATTACAATTTTAATTAATAGTAATAACAAGTTGCAGCTGAACAGAAACTTAAATCAAAAGACTATCCCCTTCAACCAAAAAATGTTATTAAATGATAAGATTCAAGCAATTAAGATATCACTCATAAAAAGAAAATTAAATGACAAATATGCTAACTAATTACTGTACTAGCAGAGAGTTACAGATAAAAAGTCTCACTGAAAAATCATATTACGATTCTAATTCCTATTTTAATAGATAACAAGAAAATAAATATTAGGAGAATAAGTAATTAGATGATCGAGTTATTGATAAAAGTTCTCATATCAAAAATTTACAAAAATAATATAGTTAATAACCAGAATCAATAAAATAGTATATATAATTATGATAATTTTAGACAATTACCGAAGGCTATTGATAATCACATTGATTATCTGGTTTTGGGTTTAACAAGGGAAGAAATAGAATAATAAAAAGCTTATTTTGAAAGCTTATCATAGCAAAATAAGCCTTTAGAAGCCTAGCCAACAGCTTTGGAATATAAATTTTGATAAGATTATTATTAAGCACCCAGAACTTATAAATGATACTTTTTTTTTACTACTTTTAATAATATATATAGAAAAATTTACTCAGAATCCATTCATATTTCCAGGGTTTTATGGATTAGTATTCGTTCTGTTAGAATTGCCAGATTTTAATTATTCTAACAATTTTGCATTTTGTTAGCGTAATCCTTCTGTTTCTTTACACATCAATTCATATTCTCTAAAAAAGTCTTTCTTTTTTAACTACTCTCTTTATTTGATATTGAGTTGAGTAATTTCTTCTATCTAAATAAAAATAATTTTATACTTCATCTGATAATTATTTGATAGTATTTTCAAGGTTCTCTATTTGTTCTAATCTTTAGATTGGATTCAAAGATCCTCTATAAATGTCAGGTTCACTTTCTTCAATTTATTATTGTTATTATTATTATAGTTAAAGTTAAGATTGAGTCAATTATTGTTAAAGTGAACTAGTTGTCATTCTGAGTGAATTGATTTCTACTTACAATTTCTAAGCCTCACTAATCCTTTGCATCTGCTCTCCTTCAACTTACTATTTCAAATAGTAGATTTCATCTAATAACATGCTGAATCTTTTATAATTTTTGGTTAGAAATTGTTTGAGATCAAAGAGCTAATTAGTTTTTTCATAATTATTAGCATTCTCAATAAAATCCTCTAGGTACTTGATTTTTATTTTCAGTTTTTCATTCTCAAAACTAAATTATGTTTGATTAATATTCATTATATTAAATAATTAAGAACCCATAAATTAGAATATGGATATTGTTCATATTTATTAATAAAAGTTTCCGAAATAGATTGTTGTCTATGTGATAGGACATTTAATAATTAACTTAATAGATTTCCCTCTGTTGAGCTCTAAAATTGATTTTGATTACCAACATCTCCTTCAGTTCTGTGGTCAGTCTGTCCTCCTCTAGTTCTTGTCGCTCCACCCAGCTACTGACGATGTATGTGGGAATTTTAATGTAATTGTTTATTCTTAGCTCTAACAAATGTCTTAATAATTAATGAAAATATGAATAACAAGACTCATGAATTTGAACAAATTGTCCCTCTCTTCCTGAATTCCAAAATAATCCCCTTAAGATCCAGATATCCAATCTTCAGATTTCATTTCAATGATGTTCGCAAATTAGAGACTAAATCATAAGCGTTAATATATATTATATCCACACTAACTAGACAACAAATGGCCCTCAGCCATTGTATTTTTACAATGAGAAAATGCTATTTAAATTTTTAAGATGCGAGAGATTACTTTAAGAATTAAAGATTTCAAGTAAGCATCTAAAATCTCATAAGGTTGTGTATCAATCACCAAAATTACTTCACTTTACACATGAATTTGATTATATTTAAAAAATTGAATCCAATATTTTCAGATTAAAATTTTGCTTCCTTATTGAGAATTAGACCTATATTAAATATTAGTGAGTTGAGATTATAATATTGGTCTATTAAAAAATAACTTTAGTTTTAAGTTCTTAGATATTCTATTTTTCTGATATAACTGTTAGGGGTGTATTAATGTATAATGAAATATCAAGTCTTTATCAAATACTTATTATCAAAATATACTTTAAATAACAAAGTCATCAACCAATAGACTAGAACTCAGAATTCCGCGTCTATTGGCAGTTTCTTAAACTCTTAACTACTTGATGAGATTTCATATAACCATTTTAAAATCCTTTATAGACAAAATTAGTATAGTAGGAAAAACATTAATTGATATTTAGAAATTCAGCTTTTGACACAACATATTTTTATAAATACTATCATTTTCTTCTTGAACTCTTATGGTGATGATTCATTAACACATGTTACTTCTTCTGGAGATCAACATATATACTATTAATTTTATTATCTGTGCTCTCAGATTAAATAAATCTATCATATTTTTGTTTGTATTCTTTTTATTTTGACTAATAAAGTGGTACATCTTATTTCTGTTATTACTATTATCGCTAACCAAGCATGTTTATTGAATCAGTAATCTTTAAATTCTATTCTGCTTAAACTTAGGGCAAAGTTATTTGAGGTTAATCTTATTAAGCAGGTTATGTATTGGTTCCATCTTCAGGACTATCAAATTGTGACTTATGTTGAGTTTGCTACTCTTAGGGGGACTCTTCAGATAATGGCATCTAAACTTCATATTGTCCCAACTCCTTAAATTAATATAGATCATGAAGACTCTCTTAATGGTTGTTAAGAACATAATTTAATTCAAGCATTTCCTTAAATAAAGGGTCTACTTTTGCAAATTTTTAATAGTATTCCTTTGGAGGAGCTCTCAAATTAAATTTATCTAAAATATTCTAAGTATATTTTATATCTTATTTTTTCTACACTTAAGGTTGATTATTAAGCAAACCAACAAATTTGAGTTTTTCGTCCGACTTCTCGAAGTTATGCTAAAGCATTTTTGGTCTTGAAAATGGAACTTGTGGTTTGTTCATATGTAAAACTAGTTTTACTGAAGGAGAAACTTAATTAACATTTAGTTAAAGATGAGATAGTAAATATTTAGTTTATGCTGATACTTATACGTTCTGATCTTCAAACTATTCAATTTTTGTAGAATCCTTCCTCACTATTTTTTGGGGTTTCAATTTTTCACTTAAATGTTTTGCAAATGTTAATCCATCCCCTGAAAGGTTAGGGAACATAAGTTTCCTTCCTAAAAACGTTTTTTCTTAGGCTTTTCTCTTTTATTCCAATTTCTTTTACATTATAATCTAATCTTAAATTCTCTCATATTCTAAAAACTTAGACGTAAAAATTTTATCTATTTATCCTCTTATATATGCATCTGATACATATAATCCATTTGAGTAAAATATCATTATATGATAACAATCGTATACAAACCTTCAATTATTTTGAAAAAACTACCTAATGTTCACTTGTTCTTTGTATTCTGGGTCTTTCCATAAATACCAATGAATATTATATGTTATTAAGAAAAGAATGAAATTGATAATCTCATCTTTTGGTTAAGGCAATTAAGCGAACAGCTTAACATATGTTTTTGAGTATTTATCTTTTAGTTGGGTTGTACCACCTCGAAACTTTAAGTCAAGAACTTATTATAATTTAATTCTATACTTATATCAATACCAATTAAAGTTAACTTTGAAACTCTCTTCAACTAAAGACTTTAAATAACTTTATTTTTCAGCTATACGTTCTCAATATTTTTTAATATTCCATTTTCAATGATTTACTGCATTTAACTTTGCAATTCTTCCTCTGTGTTATTAGACATATTTTTGTAAAAAAATAAATAAATAATCAATATAAATATACTTAGAAGTTGTCCTCTTTTATAAATGCGATTAATGAGATACCATTAAAATACATGTGTATTTTTAATATGGATCTTTTTCAAAAGTTTTCATAAGTAAAGATTGTTTAATAATTAGAAAGGTGACAAACTTAGCATAGAGCAATTGTTTTCTTAAATTAAATATATATGAATATTTTTAAATGTAGAATTATTTTCACTCCAAGCATTTAGATTAAACACAATCAAGTAGGGCAACTGCAGGCTTACTCTCATTAATGCAATCCAAATACTATAAATATAAATATGTAGTCTTACAGCTTGATATCCAGCAACATAGACTACATTCTTGCATTATTCTAATTTTGAGTTGCAAGTCTTGTCACAGTCTTTAGCTTATGACCCACATTTATCTTCGATGCATGATCTGAATTTCTTTTCTTCAGGGCTTTATTTTGGCTCCTCCTTTTTCTTTTCCTCTTTCTTTTCATCCTTCTTGTCTTTCTTTTCATCCTTATCATCCTTCTTGTCTTTCTTTTCATCCTTCTTTTCATCTTTTTTCTCATCTTTCTTTTCATCCTTCTTCTCATCCTTCTTTTCATCCTTCTTTTCATCCTTCTTCTCATCCTTCTTTTCATCCTTCTTCTCGTCTTTCTTCTCATCCTTCTTTTCATCTTTCTTCTCGTCTTTCTTTTCATCTTTCTTCTCGTCTTTCTTTTCATCTTTCTTCTCGTCTTTCTTACCTTCATCCTTTTTAGGTTCTTCTTTCTTTCCTTCATCTTTCTTCTCGTCTTTCTTTTCGTCTTTCTTTCCTTCATCCTTTTTAGGTTCTTCTTTCTTTCCCTCATCCTTTTTAGGTTCTTCTTTCTTTCCTTCATCTTTTTTTGGCTCCTCCTTCTTTCCTTCGTCTTTTTTTGGTTCTTCTTTCTTTCCTTCGTCTTTTTTTGGTTCTTCTTTCTTTCCTTCGTCTTTTTTTGGTTCTTCCTTCTTTCCTTCATCCTTTTTGGGTTCTTCTTTCTTTCCCTCATCCTTTTTAGGCTCTTCCTTCTTTCCTTCATCCTTTTTAGGGTCGGCTGCTTTAGGATCAGCTGCTTTTGGATCAGTTGGTTTAGCTGCGGCAGCTTTAGGATCAGCTGCTTTAGGATCGGCTGCTTTAGGATCGGCTGCTTTTGGATCGGCTGCTTTTGGATCGGTTGGTTTAGTTGCGGCAGCTTTAGGATCAGCTGCTTTAGGATCAGCTGCTTTGGGATCGGTTGGCTTTGCAGTGTCTGCAAGGTGATTAACAGCCCTGGCAGATATTAAAGATATGAAAAGCAAACAGATTAGGATTCTTTTCATTAATTAAATTTTATTTATATTTAATTAAAAAAGTTCTGTCAGTTAAATATATTTGATTCTAGTTGTGATTTTATTTAGATAAAATCTTAATTTTGATGAACTTAATAAAGTGATTCGATAATATCCCTTCCTAGGTTAACAAAGTCATTAATCTCATATTTAAATACTTATTTGTTTTTTGTATAAAACCTGTAGTTAACTTCTAGAGTATAACTAAACATCACGTGTGTTGTAAGGTAAACATCAGATTTTGCAACTCCTGTCAAATAGGGATTTATGGAATATGGACAATCATCATTCATACTTTAAGGTACTAGATTCTCCTTAGTGAAGTGAATTTTGAGGTCTGGTGCTTTTTAAATATTTTCTTCTTTTTCGGTGTAAATTCCTTCAATTTCATACTAATTTTTTTCATAATTTATTTAGGTTGACATAGCTTCTTTTATGCGAAAATGAACTACTTTTGATTTCATTTGTTTAGGGAATTCCTACTGATAATTAAATAATTTACTAGTATAGCTTGATGAATAGATGGATCAGGATGCCAATTTGTATAGACAAAGCTGTTACTTAGTACACTATGTGCATGAAGATCAATATAGAAGGCTACATTGTAATTTTTACAAGTTTCCAAGACTGCTAAAGGACCATTAAATTTTGGAAATTTTACAATTCTATTGTAAACTCTATTTTGATCATATCCTAATGAATCCAATCTATAATGTCCACGATAAACTCCATCCGGATTTAGCATTGGAATGATTAAAAAAACATAGTTTTCAAGTAAAAACTTAGCAGATTCATTATAATTTTGTAAGGATTCAAGAATTCCTTTTAAAATAAATGACGATGGCACTTCCCCTGCATGTACACGGCATGAAATTAAAATATATTACTTCTTGAATTTTATTAAACCTTCATTTAATTATTTATCTGGAAATAAATATTCAGGACAATAATACTCTTATTATTCATGTGGCCCATCTTTAGTGATAGTAATTAATTCTATGTTTCTTCCTTCTAATGAATGTGCAATGGTTTCTCTTCTGAAATAGATATCAGGATGTAATTAAGAAAAATAAAAGTCAAAAAACTTTTAATTCTTTTTGTAAGACCAAGGTGGCATATATGCAAATTAAACAATTTAATTAGCTTTAAATTCGAATGAAAACTTCACTTAAAATCCTTGATATACTGCTGGATATCTACTCCAAATTTTGTTAATCTTCACATAAATATCAGAATCGGTTGTCCAAATTTTCTTAAATCTCGTTGCTATATTGACAATAACAAAGTTTGCTTAACAATCTGCAACAGAAACAACCTTAAAATTAAACCATTATCTGGTGCCTTTATTGGACTATACTGGAGGAATTCTTCCATGGCAATCTTCCGATATACTTAAATTAAATGTGGATGCTTCAACTTATTCCACATAATATAGATTCCCAGAATCATAATTGCTCCAAAAAGTGATTCCCTTTAAAGTTACATTGATTTTAGATGGACAATTATCCGAAGATGGAAATATTAATTCTTAAGAAAGTAATTCTTATTTCGATACTTTATTGATAGTTATATTAGATTTAGATAATTAGCTCTCTCTAGCTGAGTTTTAGGATATTTATGACTCTGATATTTACTTTTCATTTGATTATTTGTTTCCCATTTTTATGAATTTAATTATATATACTCATTTAATATACCCAAGTTTTTAAAGTAACTTTATTGTGTTATCAAACAATACGTTATCGTCTGATTTTAGATACTTAGGATAGCAATCTTTATAATAATATCCATTCTTTAGATTGTTGTTTGGTGATGTTGCTAAATATTTTGAAGTGACTGATCCTTATTCAGGAGTTTTAGTGAAATACCATATAAATGGAGCTAAAAATGAATAAAACCGAAATTAATTAAGCATATTTGTTCGTACTACTCCAGGATGCAATGAATAAACTTTAATATTAGTTCCTTTGAGATGATTTGCAAATGATGATGCTTCATACATATTAGCTAATTTAGAAATGGCATATGTTTTATGACAAGGATATGGTATAGGGTCTTGTTTTAGATAATAGTTGAAATCAACTTAACGCGGAGAATCTGTGTGTGCACGTGAAGCAACAAAGATTATTCTTGATTCTTACTCATTTGGAATGTGACTAAGTAAATTATAAGTTAACAAAAAAGGAGATAAATAATTAATACCAAAATTCTATTCAAATCCTTATTTAGTATATTTTAATTCTAAATTAAAAACTCCTGCATTATTAATTAGGATATCTAATTTTCCATAACTCTTTTTAAATTCATCACAGAATTACTACACTTTATCCAAATCATTTAAATCTAACTACATGTATTGGATGTTGGTGTAATTATTTAATTAGGATTTGATTCTTTCAATATTTCTTCCTGCAACAATTATACTTTTGGCTTTTGATAATTTTTTGGCTGTTTCCCAACCAATTCCATCTGTAGCCCCAGTTATCAATATAGTTTTATCATGCAAAGCAATCTCATTTAAAATAATTTGTACTTCTTGATGTTTTCTAAAATAGTTAATTCCTCCCATAATTTGTAATTTTCCTGCTATCAAACTAATAGATCCTAAAGAGAGAGCTAGAAGCTTGTTCATTTAATTAAAATAATAAATTCATAAATGTGTTTTAATTTTCATTAATAATTTTATTAATCTCTTGCTGTATCTTTATTCTAAATACGCCCAATTGTGAATCAAAACATCAGTGGCTAGAAAACATGATAAAACTAAAATTCTAATATATTTCGAATCAAATACTTTTAACTGTCCTAATTAGTTGATAGGAATGTACAAATATTACAAAATATAATAAAAATCAATGCAATTAAACTTGTAATGTTGTGCATTTTAATTACTTATTCTTATCTATCTTCTCTTACTTATAAAGATTTAATTGATATGATCAAAAAGGAATAGCTAAATTATTAAATAATTAATACCTACTAATTAATGCAACCAAAGAGAATATATCAAACTTTGATTTATCATATTTATATAGAACATTAACAACTCTTAAAAAAAATATAGCTATTATGCCAATCATAGCAAACTTGAATCTTTCCAAAAAACTAGTGTTAATCAATCTCTTACAAGCTTTGACATGCATTAAAGGAATTCTTAACATCACAATAATCTGAATTAGTTTGTTAATCTAATTATGGATCATTAGTTTGAGTTTCAATTACATCTTATACTTTTGAATTTGAGATTTTAGAATTATCTGGAAGCAGAACGTAATATTTTTCTTCTAATCGTTAAATTTATTTCCTTGTCAGAGAATAGTTGTACATATTGACAATAATAAAATAATTTATAATATATTAATCTGACTTCTCATTCATGTATTTACACATATATATAAATAAAAATAAGACAAAATACTGATCCAGATATACTATTTCAAATCATTCGAAATTATAACTGTTACAACATCAATACTAAACAAATCATTAAAATTACGTAAATGTCAAATTCGATTAATCCGTTCTATCAATTTATTTCCTTACTTACAATTCTTTTATTCTAATTAACTAAGACAACCCTAAATGAGATTTAAAGATAAATCATTTAAAAATAATGTTGATACATATAATAACTATTTTTAGGATTTTCTTATATCTCAGTTGATGTTTAAATGAGATTGTCATAGTAAAGTTTACTTACAAATTAGGCTAATGGATATGCTCAGGGATTAATTATAGTTTCTATGATTAATAAAATTAATTATGCATTATTAAAATAGCTTTCTCTGATGGTTGTCAAATTTATTAAATATAGAATTTAAAACTGATTTTATTTGATCTTCTCAATTGCACTTGAATAGGGAAAAGCAATACAAAATGAATTTGTAAATGCCATAGGGATGCATAATTAATCGCAATTAATTCAATAGATTAGTTGATAAGATTAATTAGATGAACAGAGGAATTCACTTAGATTTCGATAATATTTTGTATATGAATAACAAAAGAAGTAGAACTTACACTAAATTTTCTTGTATTAATTTTAATGATAATTTGAATTTGTTTTGTAAAATTTATATATTAAAAATGAATACAAGTGAATTGGTTGAGTATCAATAAAAAGTGGAGGCTTACATAAAGGAGCATAAAATGACTGACTTATTTGAAAATCTGACGAGATTATTAGTGCTTTCGAGACCTCAGGATCCTATGACATTTTTGGTTGATGTGCTTGAAAATAGAAGAGTGCAACGGCTTATCCTAGTAGCAGGTGTAGTTGCTACAACAAGATAGGAAATAGTAGTATCACTTGCTAATTTGTTCAATTACAAAGTTATTACCATAGAAGATCACTTTAAATCTCATTGGGTGGATGATGATTAAGTAAATGAATTCATTCATTCAGAATTGAAAAAAACTGAAAAACATTTCAGGGGTGTCATAATATCTGGGTATCCCAATAACATCAAACAAGCATATTATTTACAATCCTTAGGGATAATACAAGAGAGGTAAAATATGAATTCATATTAGATTCTTTTATTTGGAGAGTGATTTGGATTTTTGCAGACAATATTACGAATAAATATCTTAATCTCAAGAGGAAGTCACTAAGGCATTGACTAGAGATAGACTGAATAAGAAAGATTTGGAGTACATCTACGGATCTTATATGGACATTTTCAATACATCCAAAAGAACTAAAGAAGATATTATTGAAAATATCAAATAGATTATTCGATTGAGGGATAGGAAGTTTCCTCCTCTTCGTTTTCCAAGAGTAGCAATTATACGTCCTCCTGGTTTAAAAGAAAGAGCAACTTAATTGACATAAATATTTAGTAAGAGATATGGCCTGGTTTAACTAATAACTTTTGATATGATTCAATAATAAATTCAAAATAAAGGAGCCTTGGGTCCTCTAATTTATAATACTCTTTAAAAAGAGGAAGAAATACCTAATGACATAATGAATAGTATAGTTTATACAGAAGTACTATCAACTGAGGCCAGAACTAAGGGATGGGTTTTGGAAGGATTTCCAAAGAATGAAGCTTAATTAAAGTTTTTGGAAGCTCAACATGTAAACTTGTTTGTAGTGTTGAATGAAGATGAAGATGTCTTAATTAACAAGTCTAAGTAACTGAAGATTGATCCTGTTACTAAAATCAAATATGAGAAAGTGCCATTAAATAATAAACCATTATTAGACAGATTACAGAATTTTTAGGTAATTGAATAAACTAATTTAGATTCACAATGAATAATTACTAAAATAAAGGATAACTAGATATTAAGCATTTGTGAAATTGATTGAACAGAAATTTAGTGAACGAGTCTAAGTGTTTAAATTGGAAAAGGATTCAACTGAGAATATCATTAGAGTGACAGATGTTTTTTTGAATAACCCTAAAATTTATAATTGATAGATTAAAGTTATTTGTGCTCATTATTTTTAGAATTAATCAATAAACTCAAATATAATTTATTCATATTTTACAATCATTTTCATTATCCTAAATGGTTGATGTTTCTGCTAATTCTTATTTATTTAATACACCTGAAATAATAAATATCTTTTCAATTTATTTTATAATAATATATGATACCAAATAATACTCATATTAAATACAATATAATATAGATAACAATATTCATAGAATTCCAAAGAACTTTCGAGTAGCCACCTTCTTGGTTTCGCTTTAACTTTCCTTAATAATTTCATTTGTCAAATTGTATAGGTTGTGAATATCCTTTTGCATTTCTAACAAATTCTTATATAGATTTTAATATTCATCATAAAACTCTGGTATTTCATTCAAAGTGATATTCTCAAAGATATATACAATTTTACATTTAACTATTTTTGATTGAATTTTAATTTATATTTCTTTGATTGTTCATAGAACTTTGATTTACGTTGTAGATCTTATATTTTCATTTTAATCATTTATAGATTGACATAATTTTAGTGTGCATCCATATTAAAAATTCCATTTTAAGATAATTCCTATTGAGGATAAGAGAATTTAATTACATTTTAAGAGTTTTTAATTACATCCAAACGTTCTTTGCTTAAATCTTGAAACTCTTGATGGTTGATATTTAATTTGTGGTAGTCTAATTTTTCAATAAATTGTAGTGTTGATTCATAAGTAGTAAAATAGTACTCATCTTCTCCTGTGATTCTCTTAGGTGATCTATAATAGCTCACAAATAAGATATTTGAATAGGCTTTTTATGGTTGTGCCTTCAAAGTGGCATATATTAACACAGGTAATAGATTATCGGCACCTGTCGGCTAATTATTAGCCATTTAATTGACAATAGCTATGTTATTTAAATTAATCTATTACCACTAGTTTATTTACCTGCATTAACAATGCAGTTTAGTTTTTCTCTTGGTGTCTCTACCTTATCAATTTTAGATATCACTAAGATAAATTCACTATTTACAATCAACTACTGAGTTAAAGATTTTATGTTTTTCTATGTTTTCATCAATTTCAAGATGTTTAGCTTAAACAAATGAATATGCTTTCATAGAAAATTCAATTTCTCTATCTTTGACTGGATCAATTGAAACCAATCTACAATTTCAGATGAATGCATGTACTTTGAACAAAGTGGTTTCATGACAAGTTTTTCAATGGCTTCTCCATTTTCTCTTAGATATTCATCAGATTCCTTCCATAGATCTTAAAATTCATCTTCAAAGTCGCTAATTTTTTATTGTACTATGCTTGGCACGGAATCAAGTGGTAGTTTGTTTTGTTATACATCTCGAATGAAACTTAACTTAAATGCATGATCAAAGCTACTTAATTATTTTTTATTTGAGTGTTGCAGATTCATTCCTTTTCATTTTATCTGATACTGTTGGTTCTACCCTTCTGGATTATTCAAAAGACTATTCTGATTCATCAATCATTAAGGTTTAATCCATTACGTGTAAAAATAATTAAATTATATCAATTCTCAATTGGAATTAATAATGATCAAATAGAAATTTAAGAAAAACTATGTCTAATTGTAAATATACTTATAAGTATTCATGCAATGAAATAATGAGACCATTGAAAATTGAGTTCCATATGTAATTCTATTTACATGAATTGTTTCACTATTTTTATCAAATTCAAAGTCATCTACTGTTAATGATGGCATATCACCTTAGAATGCTTGGATGTTAAGGAGAACAAATAACAATACCATGACTATGCATATCATTGTATCTAATATTAACCATTAAGGAGAATGCTACATTTTTATAGTAATCTTAAAATTGCTATAATTTAGAAGGTATTCAAATTCAATTTTAGGAGACATCCATTTATTTGAGTATATAAAGTATTATTACTATATTATTATTAGTTAATGTCATCCCTTAAGGCTGTTATACTATATTAGTAAAACACTGAATGAGTTAACTCAGTATACTGTCTCAATAATACGTACCAAGAATTGAAATTATTGGCAATTCATTTGGATTGATACACTGATTTTGAGACTTTTAAAAGTGGAATATTGATCAGTTACAACTTGAGTCATGAATTGACAATTTGATTACTTAATTTGAATTAAACATCAAATTGTTAGACAGAAGACAATCCTAAAACATATCTTGCAATAATAAATAGCGTTAAAATAATATATTAATATAATGAAATCTCATTCCTAACATGAAAATGGAACTTTGTAATAATTAGGTCGTTTGAGGATACCTAAGGTACTATTTTTACCAGGTGAACCAATGGCCAAATAGCGTGTTGATTCTCTTCCTTCGAGTCCTGTGAAGGGGATTCCAAATTAGGCTGATGTTTAAGAGAAGTTAAAGATATTGCAGGCGGAGAGAGAGGCAAGATAGAAATTGCAGGAACAAGAAATGTTTGAAAGAGAGAAACGAAGTTCGTTCAATAGATAAGCTCACATAATAAACAAGTTGCATAATGTCGAATAGTAGTTAGAAAAATGGAAGAAGACCAGACATAACATAGAATTGTAAGTAGTTAGAGTAGCAAAAGTGTTAACAAGACCAAGATGAGCTAGATGATCGAATGTCAATAAAAGACTGGAGTCGAATTTCACCGTTCAATTTAACAAAGGAACAAGAGTTACTCTGATTTTGAACATAGAAGTGCTGGAGTTTACTTAAATCATGAAATATTTTAAAGACGAAAGGAGAGAGAGAGGGAACGAAATTAATTAGTAAATTAAACTAGATATCGAAACAATGTTGATTAGGTATCAATATTTAAGTATTTAAGATTGATCGAAATGTTCGGATAATGCAGAAAAAGTATAGAACAGAAAAGAAATGCTTTGCACTTCGCAAACCCTTTTATAATATAAATGATCTTAAAAATTATTCTCACTTCTTATTATTTTGACAATCATTATGATATATTCAGTTTCTCCATATAATTAATATCAATTTTAATCATCCAAAAAGTGTGTGATTATATATGTCCAATCTGCATATTGATTTAGTATGATGAATGGACATGTAAGTCAATATAAACATATGAAATTAAAAAGATTTCATTACTAGAGATATAATAAAAATAATACACAATAATATAAATAATACATCAATGAAATAATGTTCCATAATAGTTTTTGGAGACATAGGAAGATCACCAAGAATGGTTAATCATGCTTTAGCAATAGCTGATAACACAGAGTACCGCATTAATTTCTATGGGTATTTGGATAATAAGCCGACTTAGGCTTTGTTGTCAAATCCAAACATCAGAATAGTGGATCTGAACCTTTGGATAGTCAATTAATTAAAGAAAATGCCAAGATTCCTATTTTTATTGTATGCTTTACTCCGAATTGTATTGCAATCATGTTACTTATTCCTCTTGCTTTTATTTAGTAGGAAATAGGAGTTTATTTTGGTTTAGAATCCTCCCTCAATCCCAGTCCTGCAAGTAGTAAGTTTAATAAAGGCCATCCGTAGATCTAAGATCATCATAGATTTTCACAATTATGGACATACAATATTGGCATTGCAGATGAGAAACAGATATATCTTGAAGATGGCTAGATCCTATGAGCATCACTTTAGTCGATCATAGGATTTCGCCTTATGCGTATCACAGGCTATGCAGAAGGATTTGTAGCAGAATTGGAGGATAAAGTATAGATAATAATACTATAGATGAAAGTGCTACTGTCGTATATGATAAGGCAAACATCAATTTTAATGTGATAAATAAGGCTAGGGAGAAACACGAGTTGTATATGAAATTAGATTTCCATTGGCAATGGGAAGTGTTGAACAGCAATGAGACCTTGTTCACTGAGGAAATAAACAATCAGCAGGTGGTAGAGAAAGTGAATAGACCCGGGTTGATAGTGAGTAGCACTTCTTGGACAAAGGATGAGGATTTCAATATACTGGTGTAGGCATTGTAGAAATACGAAGATTTGGCAAGTAAGTTAGAGATTGATGATTTAGATATTGAGTAAGGGAGAGAGTATAGAAAATTGTATGTGGTTATAACAGGTAAGGGACCAATGAAGGAGGAGTTTAGAGAGATATTTTAGAAGTGCAATATATGTTGGAATCATGTAAAAGTAAATTTAGCCTGGTTAGACATCGATGACTATCCTAAATTATTGGCATGTGCTGATTTAGGAATTTGTTTACATTACTCTTCATCTGGTTTAGATTTACCAATGAAAGTAGTGGATATGTTTGGGGCTGGCACTCCTGTCTTTGCTAAATCATTCAATGCGTATTCATATAATATCCATTCTTTAGAATATCTGAATTGGTGTAACATCAGCAGAACGGCATAGTATTTGATACTCCAGATGATTTATTTGATCATTTGTCATAAGCTTTTAGATTTGAATCCTAAATTCTACAGAAATTGAAGAACGGTGTGGAGGCTTTTAGGACTGAGACTTTTGATTAAGAGTGGAGAACCAAAGTCTTACCCTATATAAGAAATTTAAAATGAAATATTTTTATTTTTAATGGCATACCGCATTGATTTGTCTCAATTAAAATGTATTATTGATGACACTCCTCAATTGAAGAGGGATCCTCAACCCTTATTTGTAATGAAAGCATCAACCGAGTATTTCGATGCCAATTCTACTATTTGTGAATGCAATGAAGAATCAGAACCTTATTCATTTTGGCTGAAATTTAAAGTGGAATTGAAGTAAGATCCAATTACACAATCAAATGAGGACAAAGAATTGTACAATATGGGTTCAAGTTTCGGAGTCAATGAAGTTGATAATCCTAAGAACTTGAAATGTTCTAATGATATAAACGATAACACCAAGTCTGATTAGGACGACAATCATCCGATTAAGAAACGCAGTGTGTCTGTATAAACTAACAACCTATCTCTTAAAAATAAATTATAGCTATTTAAATATAACTAGAAATACAGCAGTAATGCAGTTTATCAAGAAACTCTCCTCAAATTGAAGTAGAATTAAAGATTCTAAAAATTCGTAAGCAAAAATAATAACAAAAATCGATCCATCCATTTACTCTTACTATTGATTTTATTTATAATACTAATTATGTGTATATGATTAATATATTATTAGATCAGAATCTTAATACTCTGTCTTGGACATACAACATTTCATATCTGGTGTTGTAATCCATGTCACCTGAAGGTTTGCATGCCAAATCCCAATACGAAGTATTAAACACCTATTGATTATTGATTGAGTGATACTTAGCAAGGATCTCCCAATAAGAAAGTATTCCAAATTAAAATGTAAGCAAACAAAACCCAGCCACTTCTGTACATAAGATTCATGGCCATCACATGCATCTTATAAGTATAACTGTGATCCTCTTCCATTCCGATGCTATCTCCTGCCTATCTTAACACCAATGTCTTGAATAGCCCTCTTTCATAATTGTGATTCAATATCTTACTATCTACCGATTCCATGATAATATCCTGTCTAATATGTTGCTAACAATTTTGGATCAAATCTATTGATGTACTAATAGTAAGCATGCTTTGAACATGTCTTATAAAATCTCTTCTCCATTTTTATTAATATATATGAAATCCCCCCTTTCAATAATTATTTATGCACTCAACACAATAGATGTCTAAATTTTCTAGCACCTACTCCACTAATCACAATCCCAGCACAAGACGATATGTTTCAAGTGCCAAAACCTCCCCAGTGACGGGACCTCTCCAAAAATTAATTGAAACTGACAATGATAACTTTTCAAAGAGAGATAAGAATCCATAAGTAATTATATCCTCCAATTCCTCAGCATCTCTTATAAGAAATCCTCTACACAAATAACATAACAAAAATCTAGAAATTGATATCTACATTCGGTCAACCTGATTCCAACATAGAAAATCTGTCTCAACAAGAACTCCTTAATATCATCCTCAAAGTATACCAACTCAATCTCTATGAAGAAATCAATTTCATCAATATCCTTTATGATGCCTATACAGATAAATAGCATAAAGATGTTCTGAAATATATTATATTGCATTGCCATGAATAACTAATTGGTAAATCTGGGAATACTACTCGTCTCTTAGAGATCTTTTAAGAAATGCTAACCCTTAACCCTGATTTCACTTCATTTCAATTGGAATATCAACTAGATTCTGTTCCTGTTTCATTCAATCGAATTCAATTACGATGCATGTTCCTCCTTAATCAATATGACATATTGCGATCATTAAAGGGAGCAGTGGCATTGTTCGAACAATTAGAAGGCTTTATATTTCAACAATTTAAGACCAACACCATACCTACTTAAAGTGATATAAGTACACTTGTTATTGCATACATATTATTGAGTGAACAATTAGAGTTATGTAATAGACTTGGCTTGAGTAAATAGGCATTAGAAATCATTGGCAAGCCAATTGATGGCTCGATAACTGACCTCAAAAGAAAGTTCATCTTTAATGCATCCAAATTATCACAAAAATATCTAGGCCAAATGATCTTTGAGTAAATCAATGGATTGCATAGAAAAATGAGTCCTGATTTAAATCGATCTCAAATAGTCTCCCAGGATACACTTATACACTAATTTCTTATAGACTCACTTGACATGCTTTATCTCAAAAATTATAAGGATATGTTTAACATTGATCGCTTAAGCACCAACATTATAACCTCACCTTATGTTTATACAATAATGGAGAAGTAAAAACTCTATTGTAATTATTATTATAGAATCCTGCCTGAGAACAAGAAAAAAGATAAAGTGTTATCAATCTTCAGTGATGATCAAGCCAGACCAAGTTCAGGTAAGCAATTCTAAATTAAACAAATTAAAAATGATATCAACAGTCCCAATCAAGGCAAATTCAAAACATAAAATTTTAATGTTCTCTCCAATAACAATTCTTAAACACAAATACAAGCTATCACAACCAATAAACCAAATTCAAATAGACCTCCTCTTAATCAATAATTATCATCTGGATCATTACATTCCACTGGCAAACTTAATTAATTTGATTCACAAGAATTTGAAATCATTCAAAACAAATTAGTTGTACAATAAAGAGAATTAGATGAATTAAAATAATTATATACTCAATCACTAAACAATAAAAAATAAGAACCAGAAAATAATCAATTAGCTGAACAATTAAAGAAAAAGATAGATTTATTAGAGAGCAATCTATTCTAAATTAAAAATGAAAATTCAACCAATAAAAAAGAAAAAGAATAAAAATAAACAGAAGTCATTGAATTAAAAGCTTAATTATAAGATTTGATTGCAAAATAATCCTAATTAGAGAAACTATTACAATCCTAATCCTAATAATAATAAATGATAATATACTAACAAAATCTTTTATAATAATAATAAGCTGCTGCCTAAACTATCTAATCATTAAATTAGTAACCCTCAAATTCTCTCATACAAACAGCCCCAATGAGCATCCAAATACCACTAAAGGAAGTCTAAAAACAATAGAACATCCTTTATCATTCACCAGATGACGACTTTATTTAAATGGATGAAACCACTCCTTATGCATACAAATAAAACTAAAACTATATAGTACAGTTATTAGAAATGCTTGATGTCAACATTGTCTTTTCTAAAATGTATACTAGATATCATTCAGCATCCTAAGATGAAAATGATCAATGGAATAGTGATATATAAAACATTGCTAATTACAGAGTAGAAGCTACAGTAGTTGAAACCAGAGATGAAGGTAAATCAATACTCCTTAGAGCATTTGATGAAAAAAATTCATAGATGTGCTAAGAAAATATCAATTTAGAATTACTGAAAGGTTTAATAACTTATGTAGATTTCTAAGAAATGCTACCAACTAATCAACCAAGCATTAATACAACTCATTAATTCTTTAAATTTTTGGTTTTACCATATACTGCTGTTGTTCCAGATGAGATAACACAAGATATGAAGTTGTAGTTCTGGCCAAAACCATATGGATTATTAAATGGATTGACTTTGAGACTCGATTTCATGGATACAAATTGCTTAATTTATATCCATCATATTGAAACTGATCAATTCAGAATATCAATTTGTGATCCCATAAGTAAGGATACTTTGAGATTAGACTTAGAAATGGATTATTCAACAATGGATGCTTTCTTTTAAGATGCTAAATCTATTAAAGATCAGTATGCATATTTCAGCAAGACAACATTGCTAAAAATGACTGAAAAAACACCGAAATTTGGTGATGATGATGTGGCTGAAGCATTACAGGAGAAACATTTTGATAAATCTAAAGTAAAGTAGGTCCATTAAACAATCTCATTAAATTAAACCTTTATGACGGAGAATCTGATTTTCAAAAATCCTAGAGAATTTCTAAAGTATTTAAAGACCATTGTAATATAATTTGAGTAATATCTGAAATCTTTAGGAATTTCATTCTCGAATACTTTATTTGGATAGAAATATTTTAGATGTAAAAGTTGGAATACTGGATCTAAAAATTAATTGCAAATCGTATTAGATAATTAAGATCAATAGAGTATTTAAATTTGTTTATACAATTGTTTTGAGACATTTGGACCAAACAAAACTAAAATTAAAGCAAAAGGATAAACTACCCTTCCATATTCATCCATACAAAGAGAATTCTCAGTAATGTTTGATAAATTGTAATCTGAAGAGAAGATCGTAATATTTTAATAACTCTTATATTCGTTCAATCTCAACGTATTTGAGAAAGTCTGTGAATAAAGCCAAGAACAATTTGATAAAAATCCAATAATTTAGAATTCTTATGACTGTGGTTCCTTCAAAAGGTATTATCAATTATAAATCTATTAGAATGATTTTATACGACAATTCAAAAATATCAGTAGTTACAATTTCAGTGATTGGAGCAAATAGAAGGATGTGTGGAGTCAAGTTCTCTGTTTTCAACATTGAAACAACTCAAGAAATCGGTGTATTTTTACCAACTTCCTAAGGGGAATGGGATTTGAGATCACTAGACAAACAAAAGATTAAATCTTCTGTAGAGAATGTCCCTTTTGCAGAGTTTTTCCTTACTTAGATTCTTCGATGTCCAATCACAACATAAGTAATGATGATTCATTAAATTCTAGATTTTATTTAAGAAAATATTGAAGGCAGATAGTAAAAACAATCAGATTAATAGTAACGAAATAAAAAATCGTAAAGCGTTCATTGAGAGAATAGATAATCTGATAACGTGGTAAGAAGTATTGGCTGCTGCTTAAAACTGATTTTGTAACAATACTCTTGAGTTTCTATTATTTTATATGATTTAATCATTATTTGATTAGAATCTATGGGTTCAATATCAGAATATTAGAGTTACGAGAAATTATAAGGTTCTTAATATCTAAAATGTAGAAATAGAGTTAATAGCTCATTTTTATAATATGATTTTATTAACCTTTTCTTCTTGGTATCTATAGTATTAAGTTTTCTAGTAAACGTCATTCTCTAGGTAATATTTATATAAATCTGACAGGGGAGCATTGCTATTGAGTACAAGTTTCTTGGCTTTAATAAAGTCCTTAAATTAAAGGTATTCATCAAATTCTTATTTGAGACTTGCATTGTATTAAGTTTATTGAGGATTGATAGAATATTGAAGTGGTTGACTTCGTTAGTTTGTGAATTATTTTTATTATTATTATGAATATTACATGTTATCCTTTCCAATAAACGAATTATATTAAGAAGGAGGAAGTTAAGTTTCAAGTTGACTATTATTTAAGTGGGACTCTTATTATTTTTATTGATTCATTAAGGAGGGAGTGAACTAATTTAAAGTTTCAAGCATTTAATCCAATTTTAAGTTGATTTTCTGAATTTCAGGTCTTGTATACTCTTATATTTTGAGTGATTGATTATTATTTTGTGGTAATACTGTTCTAGATTAATAGGTAGAATATGTTTAGTATTAGGAAAATGAATTGAGGTTGTTGTCATTCATTGATTAAATAAAATATTATTTTTAGATTATATAACATATCAAAAATGAAAATACATCAATTATATCATAAATAATGATTGAATACAAAGAATAAATGTGAATATTTAATTAATAAAATATTCTGAATGCTATTAATTACATTAATTGTACTAAGTTGTATAGTGGCGAGAGATGCTGATTTGATTGAAATTGAGATAGCATAATTGGAACATTTAATATCATTGCACACTGAGAAACTACATTACTTAAAGGAATTGAGAGAAATTGCAATAGCCAATTAATAAAACATTCCTGTATTGAATGATTAATATAGGATAGTCAATCGATTAATAAGTACTCTAAGAAATTGTATAAAAGAAATCTTACAAGACTTAGAGTGGTGAGAAGCAAAATTTGAATAAAGAGAGATCATTCACAAATAGAATGCTTAAGAAATATTAATTTAATATTACTAATTCAATTTTGGATGCATCATTGATTCAAACGTAATTGATTCCCCATATTTATAGTTTCTAATACAAATCACCCACCACTGACAATTCCTTCAATTAAATGCTATATGTTGTAACAAACACTAAAGAAATTGAGATTTACGATCTATCCAATACAATGATAGTAAATACCTAATTGGGTATTTTATTATTTGATTCTAGAATTTTAACCGCAATATGTATCAATTAGTAATCGAGCAGATGATCCCATATTAGCATTGGCAAGTAATCATTATGCTTACATCATACTAGGTAGAGATGGACTATTTGCACTTTATAAAATAGAGAATTCCAGAGTACCAATTGAAACCCAAGATTCACAAAAGGCCAAAACCAAAGTAGTGATTCAATTGAGCAAAGAATTCGAATTGAACATTGAGAACCAATAAATCACATCTATGATATATGCAATGGTGAAAGGAACTAAATATATCCTTTTTAGTTCAAGCAACGGGAGTGTCTAGTAAGTTAATATATCTATATAATAAAAGTGTGTACAATCGTAATGGTACATTAATAGGTGAGAGGAATTTCAATACTCCCATTTTACAAGTAGTTAAATCTTATCCAAATATGTTATACTTAACATCGACAGGATTTGGATACATTAATCCTATCAACTTGGAGATAGTGTAACCAATTTGTGATAATGTACAATATTTTATATTATTGACAGTTGCCTTTTTAAATAGTTCATTTGACATTAGATATTTAACAAACCAATATTGTTTATGCTCTTTCTGATTTAGGTGAAGTATATGTTTTCGAAATCAAACAAAATGAGTAATGCAAAATGAAATTGAAATTAGTTAATAATCAATAACCATAATTCCTATTTAGCAATCCAAAATTATTTAGTTTAAGACATTATCTAATTGTTTATGATTAGGAAAGCAGAGAATCTCTATTATATAATACTACTGATATCTTGACTGAAGGGGATTATGATCAACCATTTAATATTGATTTCTTTAAGTAAATCAAAGGTCAATAAGTTGTATTGTAGTCTATTAAGGGAAGTGGTGCATCTCATTACCTATTGACTAGAGAAGTATAGAATGATCACGAATTGATCAGTTATTATGAGATAACTATGCCCTAGAAGAAGGATACAGACATTTTCTCAAATTTTAGATTCCCCATAATCATTATTGCAATTGTAATTGTGCTCTTGTATTAATTCTGGTTTAGAGGGAAGAAGTAAGACAAGAAAGAAAAAGGATCTAAGAACAAACTAAGAAGCGAAGATGAAGAAATTGAATAAATTTTGAATCAACAAAAGAAACCTTTTTCAGGTCCTGGCGGATCTGCTTCCACAATAAATAATAGATCTCCAACTAGATCAGAAGTACAGAATGGATAAAAACAAGTCAGGTTTGATGAAAATCTCAAAAGAGCTGATAAGTAACTTGATAATTTGGATCAAAAAACAAAATTACTTAATGAGAGAGTAGGAGTAACAAATAATATTGAAGCCCAGAGACAAAGTATATATGTCTATTATTATTAGAATTGGCATAACAAGCATTACTGTAGAAAAATAAATATGTATGATAAATCATAAAATAATATAAATCATCCTTTCTGTTTTTCATCAATATTCTTATATAAAGTATTTACGCAATAGAGGACTGAATCTATATCATAATATTACTGAAGTTGTTTCATGAATTCATTGGTAGGAAATTCTATAGGTCTTTTAAATTTAACTATTTCCAAAGCATTATTTATCATTGCTAAACATTTATAGCTTGAAGAAATAATACTAGAATTTTTGATTCTATAGATTGTCTTAATACAAAATTCTTCAAAATCCATTATTGATATGAAATCTTAGCATAAAAATTCCCTTTTTTTTGGATATATAATAATATAAATTATTGGAAAAATATAAAATAAATGCTCCTGAATATTTAAACAAACTGCAATTCTAAAAAATTTTATTTGTTTAAATATACCAATTAGATTGATTTTTGCATCAACTATCTGAGAGCGTCCAATGATGAGAATATCAGAAAAAATCAACAAGAAGTTATCAGATAGAATATTTTTAAACAATGATCAACTGCTGATTTAGATATATATAATTTAACATAAATAATAATAATAAAAATGTACAACAATCAGGAAGGAATTCTAGATTCGATTGTTTCAAATGATAAAATACAATTAAGAGGAGGAGGTATTTGCTCATCCAAGCCAAAAAATATACAATAGACTAATCCAATTGAGGAATTGTAGATAAAATTACAATAATTTAAGAAAATCAGAGGAGAACTTGATTAACAACTATAAACAATATTAATCAAAGAATGTTTAGATTTAATTGTGAACATCTATAAGGGTGAGATTAAAAATATTGATTATCACCAATTATTTTATTAAGATATTGAATGGATAGATACATATTTGAGAAATGAAGACGGTTTATCTAGATAATGTTGTTTATAGTATTACTTAGAATTGATTAGCATTTCTTTAAAAAATTTGTTAATGGACGTATCACAAAGGGAAACAAGTATTAATATCATAGACTTATTTATAAAAATTTCAAAGGAACAAAATAATAATTCAAAGGAAAAAAATAATAATTCAAGCATCTCATAATTAATTGAAACTGCTAGTATTTTACTTATAGATGTTTAATCTAGATATTACTATTAATTGTAAAAATTTGAAACATATTATTTTTTTAATACTTTGAGTTAAATAATAAAAGAGTTGGTTGTTTAAGGTGTATAAGTCGATATTCAAAAAAACCTTGATAATATTAAAAATGACTACATATAAAATTCATCAAATTGGACTCTCCATAATTACTGGGTAGAGATTTCAGTTGATCTACTTATTTTTTGTTACAAATTTAAGGAATAAAATAAACATTAACCCTCTAAAGCATAGAAAGCCGATAAAATTATATCATATATTTGGAATAGTAAAAATATATTTGAAATTTATATCAACGATTTCCATTATAAAGAATTTTAAAACAATAGTTGGGAATAGATGAATAGAGATAATCATGAATTTTATAGGTTATAGAGAATATTAAGTATGTTTACAAGCTTAGTTTAATAAATTAAGACTAAATTCTAAGATTTTTCATAATATATAGATTTGAGCGTATAACAGATTTTCTAAATCATATATCATGATTTTAAGTTTATTGATATCCATCTCTTAGAAATATACCAGTCAATTTATAAGATTGAAAAAAAATAAAATGACCAATTAATGAGATCTTTGATTGCAACTATACAAGATGAAATCAAAAACCATTTTTGGATTAACAGTATAGTTGATTACTATTGCTAACTTTAAATGATCGAAAATGGTTATGTAAGACAATCAGTTTTGGATGATATTAAGGAATTATTGAATAGCCAAATTGAAAAATTCAGTTTGATTGTAACTGATGTTTAAAACCTTATTCTACAAGAAAGAATATCAAAATCAAATATATAATTTCAAGACATTGGTATTAAAAAGATATTTTAATCATAATAACATTATTCATCATAATCGTCTCCTACCATAGAAACACAGAAAGATTTACAATTAAAAATTAACATTCATCTCTAATAATATAAGATAATTAATTTATTCCAGAAAATCAAAAATTTCAAGCATGGTCAAACCAATCCTGACCTTCCAAACGAAATCAAAAATAAAATTACTGAATTAAAACAATTAATTATAAAAATAAGAAATCCTGAATAACTAAACTATTGTATTGAAGAATTTTACAAGATAAAAAGAAATTACTGTTTTAATCACCTAAGCTATATATTCATAGAATCAACTATAATAGGTTTTTGGGATGAACCAGAATTTCCATTAATTTATAAATCATTATATTAAGAATTTGAATAAATAAGAGGCTGTTCAAATGAGGATACACATAAAATAAAATAATCCTTAAAATTTCATCTTTAAATAATCGAAGATAAGTAATTGATAATTTACCTTAGAAATAAAATATTGCCTGTCTTAAAAAACTTGAATAATTTAAATGCACCATCATAAACAAATTATGAATAATAAAATTTTTTTGATATTTTGACGTAATTTGATTCTGCTAGCAATTTATCGACTGGAAGCTAAGAATAAGGTGAAGAGAGTTAGGAGCTGAAAACAATCATCAAAAGGAAAGCTGATAACATGAGACGAAAAACAAACAAAATTGAAATTGCCTTAAACACTTAGAATAAAAGGTATGATGACCTTAAGAATCAGTTTGTTAATGTAGGCTAAACTAGATAATTATTCAAAGGATTTGGATCTAGTTAAGATCCAAAAGATTCTTTAGATGCTGAAATTAATGACTTTATTTGGTCAAAATAGAATCAAAATGTCGTGTTAGTAATATCTGGTCCAAATGGATGTGGTAAAACAAATACTTTGAAGAAATTAGAAAATTAGTTGTTATAACATTATAAAGCCAATCCATATGGGCACAATTGGATTCCAATTTACGTAAATCTTTTGAGTATACATGAACCTGAAAAGAACCTATTGAACAAAGCCATACTCTCTAAATACAGATAACTAAATAAAATGCTCCAAGAATTTTACTTAGCAATTCTTAAAGGCCAAGAAAATGTTGTATTAATTTTGGATAGTAATTATATAACCAATAATCTGGATTTGTTAAATTAATTCAAGAAAAAAATAAAGAATCTCAATTAAAATGTGACTTTAAAAATTATTATATCAACAAGAAAAGATTTTAATTCCTTGTAGATTATTAGGAAAAAAAACATTCAATTTACAGAAATATAACTTATTAATAGTAGTCAATAGTAAGAATACATAAAGTAATCATATAAATCAATAGTTAAAGTATAGTAAGATTCAGAAGCAGAAGTTGATTTAATTTTTTAAACGATTCCAAATTTCTATATTATTCCAGAGAATAGTGAAGAGAATTTGAAGAATGAATTGAAGAAATTTATTACAGAAGAAGACTTTGAAAGATTATCTTAGAAAATGAAGAAAATGAAAAACTTCTTTGAAAACATTCTGAATCCATACTTGAAAGATATACTTCTCACTCCTTTGTTGCTTAAAATAGCGATTAAACATTTTCAACGCTCAGAAAATTTAGAAAACTTACTCTCTATAAATATTAATGGAAGAGTTAAGGCTCGTAAAGAGGATCAAGAGCTGATTTTATTGCCAAATAATTCATAAATTTATTCAAAATATAAAGTTTTAACAGAATTCATGAAAAAGTGTCTCTATCAAAGAAAAAAAAAAAATTAATCCCCAGACAGGCAAATTACTTTCAAAGACCTTTTGATCAATTTAAAATAATCCTAAATACTAATAAATAATTAGGGAGATCTAGGTCTTGAAATTTCAAAAATAGAGTCCATAAATAATAGTAAATTGATTGCTTTTAATAATAACTAAATATAATTTCTTCATAAATAAATTCTAGATCTCTTCATTGCCGAAAAAATTGCACAATTATTTTTTAAAAGTAGAGATGAAATCATTAACTTCTTGAATAATGAATAAGTTAATTTATCATAACAACATTATGAAGGTGTTGTTGAATTATTAGTTGATCCATAGGAAAATAGGTTACAAAAAATAAATACTCTCTCAAATATTGTAAAGCTATCAAAAACAGACAAATAGAAAGTTAGAGCTTCATCGAATGCAATATTTTTATTATCTAAACTGGGAGCTCGTTTAGAAGGTTAGGATTTCAAAGGCATTGAAATTGAAAATACTAGTATGATAGGATTAAATGCGATTTAATGTGACTTTACCTAATGTAAAATTACAAACGTTGAATTGGATTTTGCCAATTTTCATGGTTGCAAATTGATTAATTCTGAATTTAATGATGTTTCATGTTGTGAATTTCCAGAAATAAACGAAGAAGATGTAGTCTTATATGACTTTGTACAATGTTGCTAATATTCCCCTGATGGAAAGAAGTTATTGATCGTATCTTCTAAAAAGACTTTATTTTATAATATAGATTAGAACACATACGTTAGGATTTTTTAATTAGTTGATTCTTTTTGTTTTCATCCAATTAAAAATATTTTGGTGACTTTTTCAAAACAAGGATTACAATTTTGGCAGATTGACGAGGAACCTAAATTAATGCCAGAATTTGATAAATTGTAAGAATTCAAAGGATAAAAATTGATATTCTCATAAGACGGGAAATGGTTGGTTCTTTGTAATAACTAAAGTGTAAGCATTATGAACATATCCACAATTTTGTATAATAAATAAGTTTAACCCGAGGATGTTAATTAAATTCCAAATTTTAATTACAATGAGAACGACTAATTCAACTTTAGTATAGATTTGTTGTAATTCAGATTTGAGACAAATTAACTTCTTAAATTCAATCCACAAACACAACAGTGTGACAACATAAAAGATTTTGATGAAAATTGTAAAGCTTAAACATTTTCTCCATCAGGCAAATATATTGCTTTTGCTAATATAAATAGCAAAGAGGTAATTATATACAATATCTCTAATAAAGAGAAATTTTTAGATTCAATAATTGAACAGAAAATCAATACTATTTAATTTTCTAAAAATGAAGAGTAGTTGTATTTAGTGACAGAAAATCACAATCAGATATAAATTTATTTTATTAAAGAAAGAAATAGTATGCGAGAGCTTTAATATATATAAGTTATTCGATTGAATCAGAGAGTAAATTCTCTTTAATTTCATCCAAAAGATCTGTAATTTTTAGTAGTTGCTAAAAATGGAGAAATTTTGTTTTTTAATTACAAATAGGATTCAAATCAATATCAAATGTCCAAAAAAATCACTTACTTAGATGAATTATGTTTTCTAAATACCGATATATCTTCATTAAAAATTACATCTAAAATTCCACAACAGAATTTGCATAAATTATTTAAGTAAAAAGGAGCCAAGAATTGATGACTCTATATATTAAAATTCTGTATTGATAATCAATCAAAAAATATTTTCCTACTTTATTATATATATAGAAAATGACAGCTATATTATTCTATCATGTTTCCATTTTCATTGAAAAATATTATCAACTTCATCCACTCTCCTCATTTAATATTACTTATTCATTTATGTAATAGCGCATCTACTCCCACAACAATTCTTAGGCATCTTTTATGTCTAAATTATTAATATTAATGGAAAACTTTGATTAAAACTTGAAAACAGATGATCGAAATTTGCAACTTTCCCAACTTGTTTTATAATAGAAAAGAGAAAAAATCATTCTCCAAAAAAAGATTCAAGCATTGGAAAAATAAAATAAGTATTAATTCATTGATTAGAATCCTGACTGAGTAAATGGAATCCTATAAAATTGAAAAAGATGAGCAAGCTGTTTAAATTATGTAACTCAAAGAATACATAGCCAAATAAGATTCTGTGACTGCTAAATTAAATGGATTAATGTAAATAAATAATTATGATGAAGAAAAAAGTTATTGCAAAAGGATGAAGAGAAATAATAACATGAGCATTCATTAAGCGCACCTAAAACTGATGCAAAATCAAATAAATATGACAATTAAGAGAGGAAAAAAAAAGATAAACAGTAATCAAAATTTATAATACTGTAGATATTTAGATGAGCAATAAAAGTTGGATCTAAATGAACACATTATTGCCTAATACAAAAAGCATTCTCTTAAAGATCAATCAGCATCAAGCAAGCTTCCTCCTATTGAAGATACAAAGAATAAACCAATTATTGTCTAAGTTCCAAAAAGCTAATTAAAGAAAATTAACCCTTAATAATTAATTGAACAAATGCAAAAAGAATGAAAATAAATTAATCAATCTATTTTTTGCTAATTATTCCTATAAAACTAGAACATTTCTTCTTCGATGGGATGTAATTCCTTAGCACAAATTACAAATGAATGTAATGGCGACCCCATATCTATTTCTAAAAACTCATGCAAAAATCTAGAAACAATCTAAATATGCAATTAATATTTACTTTTTAACTCTCAAACCCAACTCTTGCCACTCAAAGCATATAGTTTTTTCATCTACTGCATTTAAATCTAATTATTTATCAGATTCTATAATTTAATTGACGGCTACTTGTGACTCATAAATCTAGGAGCCTCATAAATTTTTTTTCCTCTAGCTAAATTTTCTTCCCAAATTTCCTTTAACTTTTATATCTAAAATAATTAGAGTGTGCAGATTATGATCTAAATTGGCCTTGATTTTAGGATAGAATCTATAAGGCTTCCATTTTTCAGTAAAGAATGACACAGATACTGTTTCTCCAAATCTATAGACTTGTAAACCTGTGCAACCAATAGCATTAATAGTAGAAGCATTGTGAATCACTTCTACTTTTATTCCCAATATTACTGCTCTTAAAAAGAGATCTGTATGTATACATTTGATTCAGATGAGTTTTGTGAATTCTCTAAAATGATGAGAGAAATCAATTAAATTTACATAAATCAACCTTTGATTTTAATTCTATCATTTAGGGGTCAATAATAGTAGCACAAAAGGGAACTCTAACTACTAAAAATGCATAGTTGTTTAAGGATCTGCAGAAACATTTACAAGTGTTCTATCAATTCCAGTTTCTCAACATTCTCTATCAGCTTCGATTACTTCTCTTCCATAAAACTCTTGAAGTTTTAATCTATCAATTCCAAGAATAGATATGTAACTTTCTAAATAAATTTCCTTGCAGGTTTTTACAGCCTAATTTAAAATTATTGTATACCTCAAGTCCTTTGACAGTAATACAAGTAATATCTATTACGTTATGCTATTAGAGAAATAATAAGTGTATCTAAATGATCCCCAAGTCCTAAACCAATGATGCAGAAACCATTAATTAATATTTATACAAAAATATTGTTAATCAATATTATTATTGTCTTCTTACATTACTTTATTAGATTGAAGTTGTTTTCTCTGTTGTGGTTATTGTTTTTTGTTTCTTCAATGAATCCAATTCTGCTTAAGCCATCATACATTATTCTTAAGCAGTATGATAATCTTGATTAGCTTTCATGAATTTTTCTTTCCATACATTTGCTTCATTTGAATAGTATTTCAATTTTTCATTTGTCTGTTGGAATTCACTCATTTCAGATTCTAATTGCCGAATCATTTATTTATATTATCCAATTTCTTATTCTTTATTTCTATTATGTAATAACATAAAATATTTACTAGATCACTCTATTCTAATTTTGCATTTCCATTAATTGTTGATTCAATGCTCCTTCTAATTTTAATAGTTGTCTTTCTTTATCAGCCAATGCATCTCTTAATTATCTTACTTCATCTCCTCCTTACAACAATTACTAATATTCTAATTACAATTTTTAATATCTCTGTCTCCATGAATCGATTTCACTCTATTAATTTTATATTTCTTTTCTTAATCCATCTTCAATATCCTTCATCATCTTTATTTTTGCTTCCAATTCTCTAACTTAAAACTCTTCATTAGAAGTGACCTTTAATTCTTAACCCTAATTCTTATATCGTGCCAACTCTGTTTACAAGTCATAAATCTTGACTTCCAATTCTACACATTTCTTCTTCCATGGCTCTTCGACATCCTCAACTGATAGCACTTGCATTTCTCTTTCCACATGATATAGTTCATTTATTTCCGGTTATTAAGGAGGTGGAGTAGCTAATTGTTAAGGTTGCACCTATTAAGGCGATCTTTATTAATATTAATATTAGGGTATTTTATATTCATGTGTGTGGTGCCTACAATATTTTTATTCAAATACGTGTGATGAGTCTAAACTGTTTTCACCTATTGATTTTGAATATATTAATTCTAAATTCCTTGTTAAGTGTAAATCGCCTGTCCTGTTGGAACCTTAATTGGTGATTAATAAGGTTGATAAGGTGGTCTTTAAATGCCGCTGGTTCCTAAGACCACTGATTACACTGGGGCACTAGCTATTTGTTACGGATACATTTTAATATTTAATTAATAATTCAATTTAAATTAGTATTGCAAATAATCATATATATCACTTATACAACAACTTCCCCTTTTTAATAATCATTCTGTCTTTCGTTGAAAAACTTCTCTTTTTATCAATTTAATGAAATATATCCTAATATTCAGTTTATATTGTCGTAGGCTCCAAGAATTATCCAGCATGCAAACTCGGAAATAATTTCTAATGTAAGGCTTATAGCAATTTTTCATTTATTAACACAAGTTCTAATACTTTTAATTTATCTTCTTTTCTAAAAACATTAAAATCAGATAATTTATTGTCAACTTGAACATTTTGACGACGTCTCAAAATATCTTTACGAACTTACTTTATTATTTATTATTCATTACCTCAACACAATCAATAAAGAATTCCTCATACTCACTTCTCGTTGCAAATGCCTTTGTTGATTGACAAATTGCTTAATTCATTTTCTAGCGTAATAATTGTATCTACTTGGTCTTAGTATTTTCGATGAATGTCACATACTGAGCAACTTCATTTATTATTTAATTTTGATCATCATGTGGTATCCTTTCAAAGATGTCTTGCAATTATTTAATATGCTTTGGTTATGCATACCCTGACATAATCCTTTTAGGTTTTGGTTAAGTACAGAATAATTATTGTTCTTTAATTTATTCTGCTTATTCTGTTGCCACACTTGTTGTGTGTCTAATAACTTCATATTTCTTATTCTTTCGCATCAATTACTTAATTTATTCTTCAAGGAACTCGTTTTCTTTTTGAACTTCTTGCAATCTAAATTTCAATTCAAAGATATCTTTGTTTTTTACCTCTATTTTAGTATACAGCTTAACACTTTCATCTCTGAACCATTCTAATTATTACTCCATATTTTGAATGCGTTTGTTATCTTTATAGTATCTCTCCATCTCGACACTTTTCTCCTTTAAATATTTCAAGTCTTCCTTCACTTATCTCATATAACCATTATATGCTATAATGAACTCAGAAAGTGCTTTCTCTTTTACCATTGTTACTTTAGATTCCAACATATCTAAATAGTTTTCCACTTAATTTTTTAAATCATTAATCCTAGTGAGTTTAAGTGGGGATGATGGTTAAGATTACAAATCTTCATAATTCTTTCCTGAGATGTATGATTTATGAGAATTTCTGATAGGAAAGATTTCACTATCTAACATAAATTAATTAATGATTATGAAATTAAAAGAAAAATAAAACTAATCAATGCTGATGATTGGATAACTGATCTCCTATTAATAATAAATTAACAAATTAGTTACAAAAATATAGATGAATCAACAAAATAAATATGAGAATGCATAGGATTAGGAAATATAGATGGAACCAAATATATTTAAATCATTATATGAATAGATTAAACTTTTTGAAGGAAATTTTGAATCAAATTGAATGTATTATCAATTTAAGCCAAATAATAACTAGAATTTAAGGAATTGTGTAAATAAGTTGAACAAAACCTATTGACCTTAAAAAAATTAATCTACTTATTTTAAGGAGGTGTGAATATTGATTTGAATCATTCTGTGTGTTCCTTATTTGTTTAAAATAGAAATTTCTCAGGAATTATCCATCCAGTTACTAATGGTAAACCTTACTATCAATAAATTAAGACGCCTTACTTTCATTTATTCGCACATCAATTTAAATTGTGCCAAAGCAATTTGAACCTCATATTTCTAATCTTATTGTTATTACTAAGATTACTATTATTACTACTACTAAGCAATTGCTTATAATGAAATACGAGTTGCTTTATTGGCATAGTCAACTTAAACTGTGAAGGTTAAATTGCCTTTGATAGTCTACTCTTCAAGTTTGATTTCAGGGCTAGTTGACATTTAATCGCATAAATCTATAATATAACCACAGTTCTCGTAGCTAATTGGAAAATTTAAAGATTCTTTATTATTAACCTAGAATTGAATAACCTCTTTATACTTCTTTTCCAATTTCTGCAATAGGTTAAAATCTCCATAAATAAATATAATTTCTTGTGTATTTCATCTTTGCAACAACAGAACCTTATTTAGTCACTTGATATTGAGGCTACATCATATTTTATGTTACATAACAAGGCATAAGTGAAACTATGGCTCCTTTTCCTTTGATTTTACTGATTTGATCATAGTGATTTATCACATCGAAAGTGTAGGAATAATTAGTAGATGCTGCTTTCATTCCTGGCTTCCCTTAACTTTGCTTATTCATATTACAGAAGCTGAATCTAAGATTACTTAACTTTTGTAAAGCATGTCCAAACATTAAATAAATTATATCACTATTAAAATTTATGATCCAATAATTTATTCATTTTATCGATACCTTCCCAAATTCCTTCTCCTGTTTTTGCACTGCATCTCTACATTACTACATCTTATTCCTGCTATTGAATATCCTTATATAGTTCCATAGGTCCTGATCTTGGTAAATCTATTTTATTCAAATATATTAGCAACACTATCTATTTTAGATGACTTAATACTTTCTATTTTATTTCGCTGCCCAATTTTTTCAATTCATTTTTAACAATTTCTATTCTCTCTGAATCCGTTGTATCAATTACAAATACTAATCCATCTAAGTTTTCATAGTAATGAGACCATAATGTTCTAACTTTTCCCCCAACATCAAATACTAAATAATGTCTTGCCTTAAATTAAATTGTTTCCACATTCAAACCTAATTTCATTTTGCAATACCTATTGTAGGCTAAGTTTCTGTAAATTTTCCATTTTTCAAATATTGAAGTATTGATGTTTTTCCGCTTCCTTCTAATCCAACTATCACTATTTTAAGCTTCTTAGAACTTTGCAAAGTCATGCTTATATCTTCTTCTTTTGAAGACGAAGTAAGGCAACCCATATTTACGAAATATTTAAAATATTTATAAAAAATTTATTAATCCTTTATATTATTTCTATTTTATACTTTGCTGAATGTTAAATATTGAAACTGAATTTTCACCTCATCATTTACCTAAGCTATACTTTTTAGTTACGAGTGTTAATACAAAACATAATTGAATTTTCAATCTGTAAAATTAAGAAGTTGGATTAAACAATTAGCTTAATACTATTTTAAAAGATTGATTTAAGCTCGATCTAAATGAAAAATTGGGAGATAACCCATAAGACCGATAAAAAAAAAAGAAGGCACAAAATCCTTCTTAAAATTGATCATTCAAAATATTTTATCTATTTGATTGTTTGAGGAGTAAAGCAAAATTTAAATGAAATACATTATTATTTTTCATAAAATTACTGGTGTAATAATTTATGTATAAAAATACTTTTGAAATGGGAAACTAAAATTTCTATGTAATTCATAATTTCTCGCAACAATAAACTTCAGAATATTCTGTTGTTCAAAACGAAATCATAAATGATTTTATTACAAAGTAGTCAAAATAATGAAATTCTTCTGATGAGTCAATTTCTAACATATATTATATATACTTAAATATTTCATCACCATTTTGTTCTTCTTATCAAGCCGATTACATCTACTATAAATTTAAATATTCCTTTATTTTATATTTTTTAATAATTTAATCAAGAATAAATTCTATTTATCGTTAGAATTCTATAATTAAGTTCTTCTCTTTACAAAATGGCTCATGTGCGTTAAAAATATTCAAATTTCAATTGCTCTTTTCTATCAAAAAGAATTTGGTATGACATCCATTTTACTTAATTTTCACGAAACAAATTTAAAAGAAACAAACAAAATAATAATATCTGGTGTCACTTATAATGATATTAATCAATCGTATTTTATAAATAGATTCAAAGTTTTATTTACAGTTGGATTCTATTCAGGTTAAAATAAAATGAATTAAGTGGCAAGTGTACTTTTTTGCTTTATTTGAAGGGCCATTAGCAAAATTTTTTTGCCACTAATTATGAAAAGAACAATTTAATTTTAGGATTAAATAATTATTTATTAAGAATTATTACCTATATTATCACTACAGGTCTTAATTTTGGTATTATGAGATTTTTTGTTTGCAAAAACGATCTAAATTTTATCTCGTCCAAAGTTGAATCAGTTAAATTAGCCCCAAAAAATATCTTTGAGAATATATAGTTAGAGTAATTTGAGATTTTAGAATCAAAATGAAGGATAAAAAAGGGAAATCACTAAGAGATTATGGTCATTTTCTAAGAAGCCGAAAAGCAAGTACAAGAACCGCACTCTACTTAATCTAAATAGCTAAAATATAAATAGAAGGAAATGCTCTAAAAATTGAGAAGATACTAAACAGTATTTAGATTAAAATAAGAACTAAATCATCTGAAATCCTTATAGAACCTAAAAAAAACCTATGCTTAAGGATTACAAAAGTATGATTAATTTAGTCTGCCTTATAATTAGAAATACAATCATATTTCTACGTATTTATGAAAATTGCAATTATTTGATTCAATTAGGCTAAAATGGCTGATACCACTGGTTAAATAGCCTTTGAACATCTCATTGATAATAGGCAGGATGTGAGGATAAAAAAAGAATTGATAAAACTTTTTCCAAAAGAATAAAATCTAAAAGTATTCGTGATGAAAGGTGAAAATTCAAAATAAATATAAAAGATACTAAAAGAAATTCAGATCATTAGCAAAAGGACCTAAAACATTGATGAAAAAAATGCTAAAGAAAATAAAAAGCAATAGAAATTAAAAGAACACTAGCAATAGCAAAGATAAAATTACAGAAAAATGTGCTTAAGAAATAGAAAAAAATCAAGATGTCAAGTAAAATATTATTTTGATGAAAGGCTAAGAGAACAATTGAGAAATGGATATGCAAGAAATGAAGGACAGAATTCATAAGGGAGCAAGACGGATATCGGCATTTTGAACACCATCATAAAGATTTTAAAAAAATAGGAGAAAAAATTCTTTGTGCAGAAAGAAAGGAAAATGTTGCAGAATCAGAGTAGTAGCAAGAAGAAAAATGATATCTATATATATACTGCGCTTATTAACGTTACTAACTCATCAGATAATTTGATAATTTAAAAACTTTTTGCTTAAATATGGTCTTTGTGAGTCTGCTATTTTTTGCTATCTTATTTAAATTTCTCAACTTGCCCCTACATTTTGCAGAAATATCTCAACATGNTACTTTTTTGCTTTATTTGAAGGGCCATTAGCAAAATTTTTTTGCCACTAATTATGAAAAGAACAATTTAATTTTAGGATTAAATAATTATTTATTAAGAATTATTACCTATATTATCACTACAGGTCTTAATTTTGGTATTATGAGATTTTTTGTTTGCAAAAACGATCTAAATTTTATCTCGTCCAAAGTTGAATCAGTTAAATTAGCCCCAAAAAATATCTTTGAGAATATATAGTTAGAGTAATTTGAGATTTTAGAATCAAAATGAAGGATAAAAAAGGGAAATCACTAAGAGATTATGGTCATTTTCTAAGAAGCCGAAAAGCAAGTACAAGAACCGCACTCTACTTAATCTAAATAGCTAAAATATAAATAGAAGGAAATGCTCTAAAAATTGAGAAGATACTAAACAGTATTTAGATTAAAATAAGAACTAAATCATCTGAAATCCTTATAGAACCTAAAAAAAACCTATGCTTAAGGATTACAAAAGTATGATTAATTTAGTCTGCCTTATAATTAGAAATACAATCATATTTCTACGTATTTATGAAAATTGCAATTATTTGATTCAATTAGGCTAAAATGGCTGATACCACTGGTTAAATAGCCTTTGAACATCTCATTGATAATAGGCAGGATGTGAGGATAAAAAAAGAATTGATAAAACTTTTTCCAAAAGAATAAAATCTAAAAGTATTCGTGATGAAAGGTGAAAATTCAAAATAAATATAAAAGATACTAAAAGAAATTCAGATCATTAGCAAAAGGACCTAAAACATTGATGAAAAAAATGCTAAAGAAAATAAAAAGCAATAGAAATTAAAAGAACACTAGCAATAGCAAAGATAAAATTACAGAAAAATGTGCTTAAGAAATAGAAAAAAATCAAGATGTCAAGTAAAATATTATTTTGATGAAAGGCTAAGAGAACAATTGAGAAATGGATATGCAAGAAATGAAGGACAGAATTCATAAGGGAGCAAGACGGATATCGGCATTTTGAACACCATCATAAAGATTTTAAAAAAATAGGAGAAAAAATTCTTTGTGCAGAAAGAAAGGAAAATGTTGCAGAATCAGAGTAGTAGCAAGAAGAAAAATGATATCTATATATATACTGCGCTTATTAACGTTACTAACTCATCAGATAATTTGATAATTTAAAAACTTTTTGCTTAAATATGGTCTTTGTGAGTCTGCTATTTTTTGCTATCTTATTTAAATTTCTCAACTTGCCCCTACATTTTGCAGAAATATCTCAACATGGATCTAATTAACGAATTATATTTTATTTGAAATAACTGTTACATTAGATCACCCTATGTAAGATTTGATTTGATAAATCATGCACTTTGGGATTCATGAAGAAAGAATGATTTGGATCTATCGTTTCAAGAAAATTGACTGCCCATGTTTGATCAGGGTGGTTTCTATCACCAAAGCCAAGCACTTAGGCATTTTAGTTTCTTTTAAATTTCGTGTAGAATTCCTCTTAAGTTGTCTATCTTAGCAATTATCCTATTTGAAATTTTTTTGATTCTAAGCTATAGCAATTTTTGTAGTACTGAGCAAATATTATACTGTTACACCTGAAGAACGGATAGTGGGCAAATAATATCCAGCTAAGATAAATCCATACTACATAGATTAAACCGAACTAGTTGCCTAATTTCTTTGTAAAATGGAAATCCTAAAGAATTCTAAATCTTTGTTCAATTAATTAAAATTGCAAAAGAAAATTGATAATAAAAAAAATTCATTCAAACCAAATGCCTTTTAGAAAGAAGATTTGAATTTGCAAAATAATTTAAAACTCTTCGACGTTGAGATTAAAAATTAGTCTATATTGTGTGCTCAAATGTAAAATTTTTCTTATATATTGAAAATAATTTATTAAATAGAAGGAACAGTTTATTGAAATATTTTGGGAGAAATTAAATAATTAAAAAATTAGTATTACTTACCACGTCAAAAAACACGTTTACAAATTATAGATTATTGAAATCCACCTTCCAAAATTTTGTGAATGACTTTAATAGTATGCTTAGCAATTACTTAATCTAGTAAAAATCAACTGTTCTATAATGAAATTTAGTAGTGAAATTGAAAATCCACAAATCTTTTATTACTACTTTTATATAACTATTAAAGCTTAAAGAATGTCTTTTCGTATCTTGAGTTGCAACTGCTGGGCAAATTTATAAAATATGCTGTTGGATAAATATTTAAAATAAGTGATTTTTTTCCAATTAAATGATTATATAACTTTATAGATACATATTAAATGCTTTTTTTAAAGCTTATCTTGATGTACATTAATTTTACCTATGATCCATTTGTTACTCCAAGGTATTTGTATTTGGTTATTATAAGAAAACCTTGGATATTTAACTACTTCACTTATAAATGAGTTTAAATAAAGAAGATTCTACTCTTTAATTTATTTATTTAGAGTTATGTTTCAAAGATAGCACTGAAATTGTATGGAGAAAATTCTTTTACAATGTCTAACAAAGAATGCAATGTCATCAGTATATTAGTTGCTTTCACATTCAAATGAAATAGACTGAAAATTTTCCCATATAAATATTAAATAAAGCTGATTTATTTTCAATTGATTATATTGTACATTTTTACAAAAATCTACCTTAAGTTTCTCTATAATGAGAGGCGTTCAAAGATTGAATGATTAGAGTAGAATGAGTAAAAAATTTACTTAAGATCTTCTTAGGTCAATATTGATACACGGTGTATCTAGCTTTTAAACTGTTAATTAGAAGGGAACATTAACCATCCACGTTTTATCTTGGGTGATGTACTTCATCAAATCCCTAAGGTTTTCATAATACAATACTAGCCAGCATTTGCCAGAGTTTTAAATCTTAAAGTTGTATCCTACAAAATTTATTTGCCATTTTAGATTGATAATATATGGTTATAACTGAGATTATCTTTTTGGAAGGTATAATCCATTCAATATGATGCTGTTGCAAGCTGAATCAATCGAACCAAAGGTTGCATTGGCCTCTTACAAAGTTATTGACATTGAGGTTAGAAATTTAATTTTATATTTTTAATTTGAATTACATTTTATTTCTTTGATTCGATATATATTTTGTGAATTCAGAATTAAAGATTTAAATATTAGATTTTTAACAGAAAAACAATTACACAATACTCTAAATTCACGATTTTAAACTAAAATAACAATTAATTTTTGAATGTTTTATATCTTCTAACAGACAATTTATTAACAGACTTTTAGTTTAAATGAATACTGAGCAAATAATAAAGTGATTCTGACTTAGAGTTCTTCAGATTTTAACTTCAATAGTATCTATGTTAGAGTATATTGTTAAAAGACCACAATTGTTTTGGTTAGTGCTTAGATTATGCTATAGATTAACTTACAAACAAATTGAGATTAACTTAAGAAGCACAATCACTCTCTTTTCAATGATCAAAAATATTATTCTGCTCCTTAATAATATAATAATATCACTCATTGAATCCAATAAAATTGAAATAAAAAGAAATTTAAACAAGCAAAAACCAATGCCTTTCAAATACTAATTAAAAACCACCTATTCTATGAAGCAGATTCTCCGAAAACTGCAATAAAAACAAATTCCAATCACCACTCAAGCGGCTGTAACTGAATTTTCTGAAAGCAGTTGAGATGAATTCTTTTGGGACTGGGAGAAAGATATATATATACATACATAGATTATATATTCTAGGTTGATGAATCACATCATGCTTAGATTAAATAATACATTAATTAGTAGACAGAAAATAAGTTTAGGTCTTTGCAAAAAAATATATGAGGAAATGTGCCAGTATTTTAAATAAGCAGGAATTACATCCCGAAGTAGAGATTTAAATCAATTATGGAATCTTAAAGTTTTAATGAGGTTGCGTCAAAAAATTAACTTTAGAGCAACTGTATGTCTTAACAAAAGCAAGTTATATATGTACGCTTTAACAAATTTGCCCCGTATTAAAGAAGAAAAATAACTGATTAATATTGATGAACCAGAAATAGGCAAAGATTTTTTTAGCACCTAGAGTTTGGTGTATCAAAAAATAAGCGTTTTATATTTTACGAGAAGAGTTACTAAGGAGAATCAATAATGATTAAAGATTTACAAGTGTTTTAATGCTTAAAGGCAACATCAACGCTGAATCATAAAATTTTTGACAAAGTTGATTCATATTTGCATCAAAAATATGGGTTAAGGAAATATTTATTTGTTATGGATAATGCTTCTGTTCATAAGGAAGATAATTTATCAAAATTTGTTTTGAAATACATGCATAATGTGTATCTGCCACCATATTCAACTTTGTTGAATTTAATTGAACATGTATGTGTGAAATGAAAAATAAGCCATCTAAATAGGACTGTTGATAAAAGTTTGAAAATTAATTAAGACATACATTATTAACATTTTAGCTAAATAAGAGATGAGCACTTATATAAGTATTACCAATCAGTATTTAAAATGTTTCTAAGATTTTTGAAGAAAAAAAATTTACTAGAGTGATAGTATTAATTTAAAAACGAGTATTCAAAACCATTTATGTAATGAATTATGTGAAAATTAAATGAATCGAATTTTAAAATATCCTATCGACAAAGAAATTCATATTTTGATTGAAATAATATTTGATAAAAAAAATGATATTTCAATTTTCCTAAAATCAAATTCATAAAGGTTAATAATCACCAGAAATCTAATCATACAAAATTTCAATTTAACTACTATAACTGATAGAATAATCATTGCCAAGTTGCTATGGTGAAATTCATTTCGTTGAGCAAAATTATTAAAATTTAATTCAAAATTGTATATTTTAATACCTTTGATAATATTCAACATTATTTCTATACTTTTTTGCATTCTAACATCAAACTGCCTTTAGATTTGAATAAATATCGTAAATCTACACCTTAATAATTTAGAAATTCTCCTTTAAAAAATAAAGCTCCTTAGGCTTCTAAAATAGGATTTTAAGAAATTCGCAGTTTGGTAAAATAGGAGTTATCTAAATACTAACGAAATATAATTACTACATACAGGAAGCATGTTTTCAGTAAAGATAGAGGGCTTAAAATTTGAAATAGTTTCCTTGTAACTATCATCAGTTTATATGTTCCATAAATGAATGGAGCTGTCATAACTACAAGATGCTAATGTAGTACCATCAAGAGAAAAACAAACCTAACTCACATAATCAGTATGACCCTTTAATTTGACTTTTTAATATCCTGTCTTAATATCCCATAGACGGATAGACTCATCATAACTACCAGATGCTAATGTAGTACCATCAGGAGAGAAGCAAACTGAACGAACAAAATGTCCATGACCATCAAATTTGGCCTTTTGTTATCCTGTCTAAGTATCCCATAAACGGATAGACTGATCATCACTTCCAGATGCTAATGTAGTACCATCAGAGGAGAAGCAGACTGATAGCACATAATAAGTATGACCATCTAATTTGAAAATTTATTATCCTGTCTTCACATCCCATAAATAAACAGAATTATCAGAACTACCAAAAGCCAATTTTGTATTATCAGGAGAGAAACATACAGAATAAGCAATGCTTCTATGGCTTTCTAATTTTGTTTATTATTACCCTGTCTTAACATCCCATAAGCGGATGGAGCAATCATCGCTACAGGATGCTAATGTCTTACTATCAGTCGAGAAACACACTGCTCGAACATAATTAGTATGACCATTTAATTTGGCTTTTGATTATTTTGTTTTAACATCCCATAAACATATTGAGTTATCATTACTACCAGATGCTAATGTAATACCATCAGAAGAGAAATTGACTGACATAACATGACCAGTGTGACCATCTAGTTTGGCTTTTTATTATCCTGTCTTAACATCCCATAAGCGGATAGATTTATCTGAACTACCAGATGCTAATATAGTACAATCAGGAGAGATACAGACGGTTAGAACATAATGAGTATGACCATCGATTTTGGCTTTGTATTATTCCGAATTATAATCCCATAAACGTATAGATTTATCACTACTACCAGATGCTATAGAATTACCGTCAGGAGAGAAAGAGACTGATCGAACTTAATATTAATGACCATAGAATTATCCTTTTAATTATCTTGTCTCAACATCCCATAAACAGATGGGATGGTAATCACTACCAGATGCTAATTTAGTACCATCTGGAGAGAAACAAACTGATCGAACTAAATGAGTATGACCATCAAATTTTGCTTTGTATTTTCTTTTGTTCACATCCCATAAACGAATAGAGTTATCCAAACTACCAAATGCTAATGTTGTACCATCAGGAGAAAAACAGACTGAATTAAAAAAATTACTCTCCAATTTGAAAATCTATTAACCTGTCTTAACTTCCCATAAACGAATGGACTTATCTCCACCACCAGATGCTAATGTAGCACCATCAGGAGAGAAACATAGAGAGATAACATAAGGACAATCAAATTTTGCATTTTGTGATCCTGTTTTAACATCCCATATTCGGATAGACTTATCTTCACTACCAGATGCTAATTTTGTGCCATCAAGAGAGAAACAAAGTGAAAACACAGGACCAACATGACCAATTAATTTCGAAATATATTTTCCTGTTCTACAATTCCGTATACAGACATACATGCACCTGAAAGAAGCTATTATAGTTCCATTAGGTGAGAAGCATACTGAATTTTCCTAACTTTTTCCTTTGAATATTGACTTTATATTTCCTGTTTTCACATCAGACAACCTAATCGAATTATCATCACAACAAGAAGCTAATGACTTACTATCTGGAGAAAAGCAAACGTTACAGATTCCACCATGACCACTTATCTTCTTTAACTCATTTATTCTTAGATTCTTCCATTTGCAATTCAATAATTTTGCTCCATTCAAATTCATTCCACTAATAATGACATTATTAAATTCAGATCCACTTAAATCACATTTTACAAAATTTCCTCCAAACAATGAAGTATTTCTAATTTTAATATATTCAAAATTTTGGTCCTTCAAATCAACTTTCATTTAAACTAACAAATGAAGGGAATTTGATCCGGACTAAATGTAACTGTCATCTAAGGCTGTAAGATGAACTAAAAATTGTAATAATGTTATGATCTTTGTATCACAAGATATTTTTGTGATCAAATCTTATTTTATGCATTCATATTCTTTGATGGAGTAATTGTATTTATTAAAATCATGGTCTTTGGCTTTGTGAAGAAAATTTGCAATTTTCTTTATTTAGTTTTCTCTACATTCCAACCTCATATCTTCATTTTGTTCATGATTTTATACTTGCAATACATATTATTCAACTTTCTAATGATTATTCTTTTCTGAAAGAAATTCTAGAGAATTTTTAAGCTTTTCTTTTTTTAGCATTTCCAACATGAAAGTGAAAATATATTCATCTAAATCGATTAAAGATGCTAAGAACTCATACAAATCATTTTTGAGTTACAATTATTCTTTATTTTGTTTAATCCCTAAGTTTCCCATTAGAAATAAATATTATTATGAAATTTCTATTACTTTAATGTTTATTAGCCTTCAAATCTGAAATAATATCTTTAATTTTTTGTTGAAGATTAGTGTTGATTTTCATAGTTGCAAATCATCGTTGTGATGGCTCACTTAAATTTGTGCATTACTTTATTCTCAATTATCATAGAATAGAAACACAAACTATTAACAAAATATCTCACTAAATGCATCAATACCATAGGCTATTAGTGCTAAACTTCTAAATTTTCAATTATCCAACTATTAGTTTAATTTATATCATCTAATCAAAAATTATACTCTGAATAATTTTAAATAAATAAGTGAAAATTGGAGATACTATTATTGTAGATCAAATTTTTTTTTAGATTTGAATAATTATTGTAAATCTACATCTTAAAGATTTCTAAATGCTTGCCTTAAACTAATATTTCTTCTGTTTCTAAATTAGGATTTTGAGATATGCAAGTTTATTATTATTGTGGCTTATTATATGATAATTACACATACATACCTTTTGTAAAAATTAATTATCTTAAGATTGTTATTTTATTAGGTAAGTGCTTCTTTTTAATAATCAGAAAAGTATTTAATAACTGTTCTTGTTTTATTATCCCTTAATCTGATCATTCTCTACCATCAGAAGAGAACTGAATGAATTAAATTAGAATGACCATCTGTTTCGGATTTTATGATCTGGTTTAATATTTCTAAAAAATATACAATTCTAAATACAATAACAATATACCAATATTTCCTGATTTTTCTAGTTTCTATACTCCTAAACTATTACAAGGTTTTGAAAGAATCCTACTCTTTCTAAATAATACCAAGCGAAGCTTCAGTATTTAAATTCAAGTTTTCATAAACTGAGTATAATCAAATTTAGTTTTTAGGTTGATCTTACATATTTACAAAATAGATTAATTATTAATGAAGTTTTATTAACTTTTTAATGATTTTCTGACCACTATCGTTTATAAAAGTTAATTTTGATTCAGTTATAATTAAGAAATAAGCCTGAAGTGTTGTGTTTTTTGAGTAATGTCATTGTATTTTCCAAATTTGCTTGCGACCTATTATTGCTCAGCCAATATGTTTGTAAAAGTTTACCAGTCGTTTTCAATTCATTATATAGTCAATTTGAATTTGCCAATCTTGATTGATGAACTGCTCCTACAGGAATATGTGCAATTTTAAGAAACTTTTTATTAAATTCTAGCTCATAAAGTTCTATTGGTAAGGATTGACAAAGAATCTTCTAATTCAAATTATTCACTTGAAGTAGTAAACTTATTGAGAATAAATGAGATAATTAATTACAGTCAGGTTTACACTATTTAAATTTATGAGTTGAATATTAGGTAATGAAATATTTTAATCAAATCAAGTTCATTAAAATATTTCATTACCAATCACTACATTGTTATTTGTTATTTTGTAGCACTTTCTTTCTCTCAAAACATTTTCAATTATCTATTCTATAACGACAATCTCTCATTTATTCACTTTTTTCTTTTATCTTATTACATGTCAGAATAATAATATAATTCAATATTTTGGAGTTAAAATAATTCATAAAATATATATTTACTTTGTTTAGTTGAGGATGGCTTAATTTCTTAATTGAATAATATTATGCTATGTAATTTTTGTTTTAAATTTCGAATAACGAATGAAGATTGAACTTATAAAAAGATCTTATCGTTATTATAAGCTTTTTTCTTATAATTTCTGATGTTTGAAATCTATGTTTTAATAATTTATAACTTTAAAAATAATCCTTTTTTCTTATTATTTTTAATGAAGTCGAAAGACATAAATTTATTGATATCATCATATAATGATGTAAGTTAAATTATACATTCAAACGTTTCTTTTCACAAATTTAGATGATATTTATTTTCTTATCTTACTATTTTTGGATAAGAGGTTTAATTTCAACCAATTCGGAGTTTGAATAATTTTTCTTAAATGTTGTTTATTTCTTGGTGTCTTCTTCTTGAATAGCTTTTGTTTTAGCAATTTGATGAGTTATAGTATAGACTTTCTTTCACAGCCTTTGTTCTTAAGTTGTTTTGAGAAATCTGATTCTCTCCATTTTCTAATGTTAAAAGGTGAATATTTTTTCAAACAGGATTAAAATAATTATGGTTTGGGGAAATGTAATTTAATACATGAATCGACAATCTCTATCAGTAAGTTTATTAGAAGAAAACCTAAATCTTCCTTTTACAATAATTTGATAGGTTTTTCAAAACAGGGTCGATTTGTTGCTCTTCTTAGCAAACAACAACCCGAAGCATGAATTGATTTACTACTGATAAAAAATGTTTTGAGTGCAACTTTGTGCAAGTTTTCACTGTTAATTAATGGAGAATTATATTTTGGGAGAAATCCTCCTAGGATTAGGCCAGCATAGATGGATTTTAGTGATCCAACGAAGCATTATATGCTTCCTCTATTTTATTATATTACACCTAAATATTTTTAAGTTCAGTCAAATTGATATTTTAATGAATGCAAAAAATACATAATCTACATTTGGTTAATCATTATCTTTTTATCCTGTTAAAAATAAATATTTTCCAAATCAAAAATTTATATTGCAGCCCTAAAATAAAAACAATGATATCATAAATTATTATTAATGACTTAAAATATATTGAATTTGTTCAATTATTATTCATTGTTAGAAAATATTTCTACGTAGATTTTTACAATAAATATAGGAAACATTAACAATTTAATTGTTGATTAATCGAACAATAATATAATAAAGTGTGTAAAATTGTTATTCTTTTATAGTCCTATCAACTCTTAAACTTAAGGAACTTTTCATTAGCCTAATTTACATTCTGAAAATGAAATTAAATTAGTTACTCAAAGTTCAAACATTATGCACGCGACTGGTGAAGATTGGGTATAATTTAAGGAAGGAAGTATTTATTATTTAATAAACTTTATTATCATTTAATTCTGACCAAGAAGGCTATTTCAATTTCCTGTAATATCTTTTATCCTATCCTCAATCAATTGAATGTCTTTTTAACGTTCCTCAGTAAGTTTGTGTTAGCGATCCATCTTGACCTCTGAGTTTTTTTCTTCAAACTCTTTCTAAATTCTTCTGCATCTTATTTTTTCTCTTTAGAAATTCGGAAGAATATTTTCACGCTTGATTTTTCCCAAAGATAAATCAATTCTTGAATTTTTTTTGTGAATTTTTTTTCAGAACAATTCCTTGTATTATTCTAAGGTAAACAATTTCATATCTTATTTGACTACTATTGCGTTCTTTTTGATTCAATTCCCCAAATTTATTATTAAATAGAATCTTAATTCATTCTTGTATTAACTCATGCTTTGTACAGATTTTAGCTGTACACCTATTTTATCAAATAATGCTGCTTGAGGATTATCGAGTTTTAAATACTTTGTCGGAGCATTATGAGGATAACTTGTTGTAATATTAACTTTTTTCTGGCACAGATAAAGCTTATATATTTCAGGATTTTTTAATTTAAGTTATTAACAAGGTCATAAACACTATAAAAATCAAAAGTTTGTCTTAATTATGGATAATTGTAGTATCCATAAATCGAAATAGATTTTAAAGTTCCTTGTACTTTTACCCAATCAAGAATATGTTGGATGGTTAAAGAGAAGTCGAGTTGCATCTTAAGCAACTTCAACCAACCAAGTTATATAATGCAAAATTGATGTTCGAGTATTTACAAACCTTAGTTTCAAGAATTGGATTATTGCTCTTAATTATGTAGTGTTTTTCGACAATGAACTAAATTCGTATAAGTATAATTGCAAAATAGTAATCAAATAATCCCTTTAATAGAGATATATCATTTTATCTTTCATTAAATTGATTATCAATATAGAATGTTCATTGTTTTCTACAAGATAATTAAAAAAGGGAATAAATTCAACACAAACCAGTTGAAAAATCAATAATTCCTTAAAATTAGTATTCTATTAATTTTCAAGAGAAAAAAAAGTACAAATAATTGAATAACTTCAAGGTTTTGGTAAGTTAAATCTGTATAAACCAGCATTAATAAAGTTATTGAATAATCTTCTTAAATTAAAGTATTAACAATTAAAGAACATTGTGAAATATGAATGAAAAAGTACAAATTAAGTCAATGTTATTTATAGAATTAGGAAATAGTTGCATTGAATTGTTATAATCTATTATACATAAAAGAAAATTTTAAAGGAATCAATCATGAGAACTTCAACTCATTTAATATGTAAAATATCATTTTTCAATCAGTTTCTGGATGAATTGATAAAATACGAGGGAGCCATTTTGGCTTTTAGGATTTATACCTTATATGAATTGCTTTTCATAATATTAGAGTTAAATTAGATCACTTTTAAGATGGATATTGAAAAAATTATTATTTATCACCTTAAAAGCAAAAGAGATTAGGGAATTTGGCTGAAAGAAAATTTAAAATTGATGAATTATTCACAAAGGAATTTGTTACTCTTTATCTGATTCCCGATTCTCAACATTAAATATTGGTTATAACAAATAAATAATTAGTTCTTAATTGTTTCATAAATAATTAAATTTCGCATTAAATGTAATGAAATAATAGTCAATATCATGGGAAAACAATTTTAGGATAATTCTAATATCATAATTTAAGAGATAAAAAAATAAAAACAATTAATTTAACCTTTTGTAAAGCAAAAAAGTGTCAAAACTCCATAACAATATATCAAATTAGGAAATAATAAGGATATTCTTGATCTTAACGATATTATTATTGGAGAAGTTCCTAAATCTAATTTCAAGTCTCAATTTTAAATATTATTTTAACATTTTATGATTTAACTATATATCTTTGAATATTCTACTTTTGTACAAAGAGATGAGATCATTCTTAAATAAATAATAGAATGAAATTCTTTCTTCATTATAATTTGTTATTTGATGAAAATATAGTCATTTTTTGGAAGAATTCTGCTTCAAAATAATTTAAGAGAAAATGTATTATGTTAAGAGCAAGTTGATTTCATAAGAAAAGTAAAATTAATATTATTTCAATCTATAAGAATTTAATTAAAATTGTGAATTTCAAGTTATATATATAAGTCGATAAAATAATTGAATTTTATTTTCTTAATGTATATTTTCTTTTCGTGGAAAGATAAATATCCTTTATTGTGAAAAGAAAAATTTTCTTTTAACAATGAATTTTACCAAAGCAAAGAACAATTTTTTTGACCTGTGTATATAATTCTGTAAAATTTATGGTGAAAAGAAATTTTTTTCTTTCACCTAATGATTCTTATTTAGAATCCACAAATGACAGAAAAAATATGATAATTTAATGTTTGTTTTGTATATTTACAATAATTAATTTGTTTGCATCTGCTAATATTCACAATATGCTATATTCACTATAGAGAAAAAAACTCCTAACAGCCACAGCTAACACCTAATTTTACTTAACTTTGGAACATTTTGAATTGCTTCAAAGCTCAGAATATAAAGTATAAAAAGTATAAACAAGTCCTCGATTTACATAAGTTAATTTAGACTATTAAACATTATATCTAGATTCACAAATAAATAAAAAAACTAAAATGTTGGCAAGCGCAAGGAAATAATAAATTTATCTGGTCAGTTAACTTAAAAAGCAATTTAAGTGTAATAGGATGAACAAGAAATATTTATATCTCAAGATTTAAACAAAAAAAGGTGTCTAATATGGAATTTGAGGTTAAATTTGTAATATTTTTCAAGAAATTATTTTATTTAGTTGTCAAAGAATTGAATAAGATGATAATTATAATCATGTACTTATTGATAGAAATCTCGTTTTATTCCTTTTGGAAACAACACTTTTTGGATCAATAGCTAACATCCTTATCGTAATTTACATTATAATCCTATTATAAAAATGATGTTATTGAAATGACATTATTATTTTAATAATATATCTTCAAGTTTACAAATTACAAGGATTTATTGAAATTGACTTCTCTAATATTACTTAAGCCCTCTTAAACTTCGAATCGAAATATAGAATCAATTATTTAAAATATTTATAATAATTTATAACATAAAAAGACAGTAGCAGATATATTACCTTAATTGCATAGATAGTGAGCCATTTTCTTATAATTCTTTTCAAAGTATTAATTGCTTTTTTCAATATCAATGAAGTTTATTTCATGTTCTTCTGATAAAGGCAAAATTCCACATCTCCTATTGATATGAATTTTGCATTGTTAATAGAAATAAACTTTTAGGATTATTTGGTTAATTAAAACCATAGGTTTTTTTTTTTTATTATTATCTATAATTTTTTCTTCCTTCCTGTGTCTGAATTAACTCTTAATGGATGTTTCCCATTATTTTTCATCCAAACATGATCCATAAAGAAACCAATCATCTTTACATTAGTGTAATGATAGAAACCTCTTCATACTTTACTTCCAAATAACATTAATTTTGTTTTATATTTCTTTTGTTTGAGTGAATAAGATCGGAAGTATATATTAGATTTGAGGCTTAATCTATATAATCCATGGTTCCTAGACATGAGTCTTAAGGTATTTTTTATTTAAAATTCTAAATAATTTGTTTTTGATTTCATTGATTAACATGATTATTAATATTTCCTCTTCCATCGATAGCCACACCCAGGTTCTTATAGTTTCTTTGAAACTAAATACCAAATGATTTTTTTTTTATTCTAATTCATATATCTTCTAGTTATTCTAATAATTGCACATTTTGATTTATTTATTTGAAGATTTAGATTCTAATAAGCTTTCTTAAGACATTCTAATGTGTAATCAAGATACATCTGTTTGCATGTAAAGGCTAAATCATCTGCGTATAAGTAGTAATGGTCAATCCTGTTGAAATTAGCTTTTTGTTTTATTCCTTTTGTTAAGATGTGTGAATATATTCCAAAAAAATAGAGATAAAACACATCCTTATAGTGCTCCATTTAAAAACGCAATCTTTTAATTTTTACTTTTGATATATTGCCAACTCATATGGCTTTGGAGGAAATTTAACACACCTTCATCTAGTACCACCATTTCTTTGAGAAATTTAAATAATTCATCATTTTATGCACAGTTATATCCTGAACGAAGTCTATAAATATAACGACTCTGTTATCTTTTTTCTAAAATTATTACACGTCTGTAATCAGTTTTAATATCTGAGGTTGTGTTCCAGCTCCTTGTATAAAACCAAATTATTCTTTTATAATATTTTTTTCACAGTATTATTAGAGTTTCTTGAAGAACCTTGTCTCTCTGAAATTAAAACTTGTTATTTCAATTCATATATTTGAAATATATATTAGTGTTTAAAAATACCACTATTCTATTGTCTTAGTTAGAATTAAGAATGGTTATAAGAAATATTATCTTTTTACGATGAAAAGAAATAGTTCTTAACATACCATTTTAATACCTGAAAGTAGTAATTCTTATCAAAATACTGAAGTAATTCAAATAATTTTTTATACTATAATTGTAATCATGATTTAATCCAAAAATGAATAAAAATATTCAAGTATCCAACTCAAAAGAATAAACTTGGACGCAAGTGCATCCTATTTTCATTTGATACTCCTTAATTGATCTAAATATTAATAACGAAATAAGTACTTGACATATTTCTTCAAATGTGAGTTATCAATTTTTATGATTTAAATTTAGAAATTGTTAATAAATGATCTTGCTTGTTTTATTCCCTACAATCCAATATCATGAACTTGGTCTATTTTTTACATAAATTTTCAAAACTAAAATTTTATATATGATTTACAAATATGTCATGTTAAGGAATTCTTTGTTTTTCTTTAAAAGTTTAAATTATTGATTTGTTATTTAACAATTAGAATTCGTAAATTTTTTTATTTGGAATTTTTGTCTAGGACATACAGCTAAATTACTATGTTACTAAAACAGTAAAAATTTCTTAAGATTTAGGGTTATAAAATATAAATTCTTCCAATGTCTTTCATTCTGAAAATTGTATAGATAATATTTATAAATCTACCCTTTTAAATATTGAAAGAAACAGATCTCCTTTTACAAAAATAAAACAAATTCTCAACTTCTCATAAACACTAATCATTTGCCCCTGAAATAATATCAAATTAGATCATAAGTGTTTAATAAACTTCATCTTTTGGAATGTAAATTATAACTCAAATATATCACAATACTAAAACCTATAAAAAGTACTTCCCTACTTGAATCACTCTCAATAATTATTTATCTCTATTATTTTTATATTTAATAAAAATTTCAGTAAACGGAATTATTTGTGATCTCTAATTTACTACTAAACATAAGATTTCAATATTATATTTGCTCTCATTTATCTTCGGATATTCAATACACATTACTTTGAATGGAACAATCCTTCTAATTGATCGTAACAATCAAAATTAATTAGAATTAACCCAATATGATTTTTTTTTTTTTTAAATTCTCAAAGGATGTTTCTACCGTTATAATTGGTTTGGAACAGTAGCATCTATTCGCATTCTCGATTATAAATGAATTGGATATCATAATAATTTATAATATGTAGTATCATGCATTTTTCCTCTATCTATTAATAAATGTAAATTTAAAAGGAGATTTTTAGAAATAATTTTTCTAATTGAGTAGGAATAGTCAAGGAATAAAGTCAGAATATAAAAATAATACATTCGTTGAAAGAACTGCTTCATTATAGTGCCTATGAAAAAAATTTTAGTTGAGAAATTGTAGCAATTAATACATAAGAAAGCATAAACTAAGATGAATTAGTAGTGTAAATTCTTATGAGAATAGGTAGAAAGTATATTATAGTAATGGAATATTATGAAGAAAGCAATATTATCGAATTTTCACAAGAGGTATTGGCATTATTCTTTCTATTTCTATGAAAAATTTAATTTTGTAAAATTTGAAAATTTTCTCAATACAATTATGGAAGTAAGATACATAATTTAAGATAGAAAATGAGATGAATGAAATTCATGATTTAGGGTACGCGAATCGAGATTTTACGGCTGAAAATGACTTTTATTGGTGTGTTTGATTTTATGATTTTGGTTTCAAAAAAAATTTTGGTACTTGTTTTTAATTTATTTTAGAATAAGCGAATGGATATGATGGTAAAAAATGCTCAGCAATATTTGATATATAGACTTTTGGAGTTTGATTGCTGAACTATTGACATATTGACAGAAGAATCATCGTTATTGTAATATTTGAATTAAGTTAAGTAATAAGAGGAATGGTTTAAATTAAAATTATGACTTAGGCATATGGTATTGCTCAAGCGATTCTATCACTCAACAATGAAAAACAAATTTAGATCAGCTTAAAATGCCTAGAGGAAGGAAAATATCCTAAAACTATCTTATACTTGATAAGTTAACGATTTCGAAAGTTAATAATTATCTATCAAGTCAACAAAGGAAATCCAATTTCATGGGAGACAAAAATAATGAAGTAATCTCCCTTTATGAAAAATTTGGGTAATTTTCTCCTCATTAAAAGCAAAAGAGATTAGGGAATTTGGCTGAAAGAAAATTTAAAATTGATGAATTATTCACAAAGGAATTTGTTACTCTTTATCTGATTCCCGATTCTCAACATTAAATATTGGTTATAACAAATAAATAATTAGTTCTTAATTGTTTCATAAATAATTAAATTTCGCATTAAATGTAATGAAATAATAGTCAATATCATGGGAAAACAATTTTAGGATAATTCTAATATCATAATTTAAGAGATAAAAAAATAAAAACAATTAATTTAACCTTTTGTAAAGCAAAAAAGTGTCAAAACTCCATAACAATATATCAAATTAGGAAATAATAAGGATATTCTTGATCTTAACGATATTATTATTGGAGAAGTTCCTAAATCTAATTTCAAGTCTCAATTTTAAATATTATTTTAACATTTTATGATTTAACTATATATCTTTGAATATTCTACTTTTGTACAAAGAGATGAGATCATTCTTAAATAAATAATAGAATGAAATTCTTTCTTCATTATAATTTGTTATTTGATGAAAATATAGTCATTTTTTGGAAGAATTCTGCTTCAAAATAATTTAAGAGAAAATGTATTATGTTAAGAGCAAGTTGATTTCATAAGAAAAGTAAAATTAATATTATTTCAATCTATAAGAATTTAATTAAAATTGTGAATTTCAAGTTATATATATAAGTCGATAAAATAATTGAATTTTATTTTCTTAATGTATATTTTCTTTTCGTGGAAAGATAAATATCCTTTATTGTGAAAAGAAAAATTTTCTTTTAACAATGAATTTTACCAAAGCAAAGAACAATTTTTTTGACCTGTGTATATAATTCTGTAAAATTTATGGTGAAAAGAAATTTTTTTCTTTCACCTAATGATTCTTATTTAGAATCCACAAATGACAGAAAAAATATGATAATTTAATGTTTGTTTTGTATATTTACAATAATTAATTTGTTTGCATCTGCTAATATTCACAATATGCTATATTCACTATAGAGAAAAAAACTCCTAACAGCCACAGCTAACACCTAATTTTACTTAACTTTGGAACATTTTGAATTGCTTCAAAGCTCAGAATATAAAGTATAAAAAGTATAAACAAGTCCTCGATTTACATAAGTTAATTTAGACTATTAAACATTATATCTAGATTCACAAATAAATAAAAAAACTAAAATGTTGGCAAGCGCAAGGAAATAATAAATTTATCTGGTCAGTTAACTTAAAAAGCAATTTAAGTGTAATAGGATGAACAAGAAATATTTATATCTCAAGATTTAAACAAAAAAAGGTGTCTAATATGGAATTTGAGGTTAAATTTGTAATATTTTTCAAGAAATTATTTTATTTAGTTGTCAAAGAATTGAATAAGATGATAATTATAATCATGTACTTATTGATAGAAATCTCGTTTTATTCCTTTTGGAAACAACACTTTTTGGATCAATAGCTAACATCCTTATCGTAATTTACATTATAATCCTATTATAAAAATGATGTTATTGAAATGACATTATTATTTTAATAATATATCTTCAAGTTTACAAATTACAAGGATTTATTGAAATTGACTTCTCTAATATTACTTAAGCCCTCTTAAACTTCGAATCGAAATATAGAATCAATTATTTAAAATATTTATAATAATTTATAACATAAAAAGACAGTAGCAGATATATTACCTTAATTGCATAGATAGTGAGCCATTTTCTTATAATTCTTTTCAAAGTATTAATTGCTTTTTTCAATATCAATGAAGTTTATTTCATGTTCTTCTGATAAAGGCAAAATTCCACATCTCCTATTGATATGAATTTTGCATTGTTAATAGAAATAAACTTTTAGGATTATTTGGTTAATTAAAACCATAGGTTTTTTTTTTTTATTATTATCTATAATTTTTTCTTCCTTCCTGTGTCTGAATTAACTCTTAATGGATGTTTCCCATTATTTTTCATCCAAACATGATCCATAAAGAAACCAATCATCTTTACATTAGTGTAATGATAGAAACCTCTTCATACTTTACTTCCAAATAACATTAATTTTGTTTTATATTTCTTTTGTTTGAGTGAATAAGATCGGAAGTATATATTAGATTTGAGGCTTAATCTATATAATCCATGGTTCCTAGACATGAGTCTTAAGGTATTTTTTATTTAAAATTCTAAATAATTTGTTTTTGATTTCATTGATTAACATGATTATTAATATTTCCTCTTCCATCGATAGCCACACCCAGGTTCTTATAGTTTCTTTGAAACTAAATACCAAATGATTTTTTTTTTATTCTAATTCATATATCTTCTAGTTATTCTAATAATTGCACATTTTGATTTATTTATTTGAAGATTTAGATTCTAATAAGCTTTCTTAAGACATTCTAATGTGTAATCAAGATACATCTGTTTGCATGTAAAGGCTAAATCATCTGCGTATAAGTAGTAATGGTCAATCCTGTTGAAATTAGCTTTTTGTTTTATTCCTTTTGTTAAGATGTGTGAATATATTCCAAAAAAATAGAGATAAAACACATCCTTATAGTGCTCCATTTAAAAACGCAATCTTTTAATTTTTACTTTTGATATATTGCCAACTCATATGGCTTTGGAGGAAATTTAACACACCTTCATCTAGTACCACCATTTCTTTGAGAAATTTAAATAATTCATCATTTTATGCACAGTTATATCCTGAACGAAGTCTATAAATATAACGACTCTGTTATCTTTTTTCTAAAATTATTACACGTCTGTAATCAGTTTTAATATCTGAGGTTGTGTTCCAGCTCCTTGTATAAAACCAAATTATTCTTTTATAATATTTTTTTCACAGTATTATTAGAGTTTCTTGAAGAACCTTGTCTCTCTGAAATTAAAACTTGTTATTTCAATTCATATATTTGAAATATATATTAGTGTTTAAAAATACCACTATTCTATTGTCTTAGTTAGAATTAAGAATGGTTATAAGAAATATTATCTTTTTACGATGAAAAGAAATAGTTCTTAACATACCATTTTAATACCTGAAAGTAGTAATTCTTATCAAAATACTGAAGTAATTCAAATAATTTTTTATACTATAATTGTAATCATGATTTAATCCAAAAATGAATAAAAATATTCAAGTATCCAACTCAAAAGAATAAACTTGGACGCAAGTGCATCCTATTTTCATTTGATACTCCTTAATTGATCTAAATATTAATAACGAAATAAGTACTTGACATATTTCTTCAAATGTGAGTTATCAATTTTTATGATTTAAATTTAGAAATTGTTAATAAATGATCTTGCTTGTTTTATTCCCTACAATCCAATATCATGAACTTGGTCTATTTTTTACATAAATTTTCAAAACTAAAATTTTATATATGATTTACAAATATGTCATGTTAAGGAATTCTTTGTTTTTCTTTAAAAGTTTAAATTATTGATTTGTTATTTAACAATTAGAATTCGTAAATTTTTTTATTTGGAATTTTTGTCTAGGACATACAGCTAAATTACTATGTTACTAAAACAGTAAAAATTTCTTAAGATTTAGGGTTATAAAATATAAATTCTTCCAATGTCTTTCATTCTGAAAATTGTATAGATAATATTTATAAATCTACCCTTTTAAATATTGAAAGAAACAGATCTCCTTTTACAAAAATAAAACAAATTCTCAACTTCTCATAAACACTAATCATTTGCCCCTGAAATAATATCAAATTAGATCATAAGTGTTTAATAAACTTCATCTTTTGGAATGTAAATTATAACTCAAATATATCACAATACTAAAACCTATAAAAAGTACTTCCCTACTTGAATCACTCTCAATAATTATTTATCTCTATTATTTTTATATTTAATAAAAATTTCAGTAAACGGAATTATTTGTGATCTCTAATTTACTACTAAACATAAGATTTCAATATTATATTTGCTCTCATTTATCTTCGGATATTCAATACACATTACTTTGAATGGAACAATCCTTCTAATTGATCGTAACAATCAAAATTAATTAGAATTAACCCAATATGATTTTTTTTTTTTTTAAATTCTCAAAGGATGTTTCTACCGTTATAATTGGTTTGGAACAGTAGCATCTATTCGCATTCTCGATTATAAATGAATTGGATATCATAATAATTTATAATATGTAGTATCATGCATTTTTCCTCTATCTATTAATAAATGTAAATTTAAAAGGAGATTTTTAGAAATAATTTTTCTAATGGGTTTGGGTTTGGGTTTGGGTTTGGG